GACATTTCAAGAATGACTGCCCAACTATCAAGCGCGGGAGATTCAGTGCTATGGCTGCAAAGGATTTGGACACACTCAGCTGGAATGTGTCAACGATCAAAATCGCAGGAAGGACAAGTCCATGTTGGCTGAGGAAGAATCAGATGATGATTCAGAAGATGACTCAGTCGAAGAGTCAAACAACTTCGTGTCATTTATCGGGATTGCTGAAATTGAGGAGGGACAGCAGTCAGAGTCAGAGCCTGAAGAAGAAAAGGAGGATGATCTCATGAACAGCTACAAGGAAGTACGACATGTCCTGGTTAGTCTCAACCAAGAAAACAGTGAGTTGAAGAAAGAAAACCAGAGACTGTCTGAACTAGTAGACAAGCTCAGCAAAGATCTCGAAGCAGCAAATGCACTTGGCCAGGGAAGTGTCAATCTGATCAAGGAGAAGCTCGAGTTAGCCAACAAAGCTGAAGGTCTGAGGCAGCATTTAAAGGTTGAAAAGCGGATATCGGAGGATCTGGAGTCAGAACTAGATCAGCTAAAGAAGCAGATTCAGATGTTCGCAGGAACCAAGCAACTGGACAAGATCCTGAGCTACGGATGCCACGGCAATACGAAGCATGGATTGGGGTACAATGGAAAGGAACAGAAGAGCTCAGATGAAATCAAGTTTGTTTCATCAGGGTACAACCGGCCTGAAGATCAAAGACCTGTCACCAAACAGCGAAAAGGACGAGAGTGCTATTATTGTGGCAAGATCGGACATATCAAGGCATACTGCTACAGCAGATGGAACAAGGTTCAGAAACTAATGAAGCAACGGAAGTTCAGCTGGAATGGACCCACAAATCAAGTTTGGCTCAGGAAAGAGGACTTGAGGTTCGAGCCTAAGAGACAACAGAAGAAGAATTCTTTCAAGCCAAGAGAATTCACTGTCAAGAGATCCTTCAGGGATGATCCAATGTCAATGCTGTTGCATGGATTCAAGTGCAACATGGCTCAAGTTGAGAGCGACGAAGACGAGTCAGATCCTTGGTACTTCGATAGTGGCTGTTCACGGCACATGACTGGGAACCGGAGCTACCTCCAAAATGTTAAGAAGATTAAGGGAGGAAGAGTCACGTTTGGTGATGGAAGTGTCGGTGCTATACAAGGAAAAGGCATTACAAAAGACGAAGGTCAGCTTGATCTAGTCAATGCATACCTAGTACAAGGACTTAAGGCGAATCTTATCAGCATTAGTCAACTGTGTGATGAAGGGCTGATTGTGATATTCACCAACAAAGGATGCAGAGCAGTGAATGATGATGGACAAATTATCCTAGCTGGAGAAAGATCGGGCAACAACTGCTACATGTGGAACAAGTTAGGGTTGGTTATGAGCTGTTTTACTGCCTGTGATAATCTGCAGCTGTGGCATCAGCGACTCGGCCACATGAACATCAGGAATCTCAATGATCTCATCTCAAAGGAGAGCATTAGAGGAGTTCCAAAGATCAAGGGAGGAGATAAGTTCGTGTGTGGAGCATGCAACCAAGGCAAGCATGTGAAAGTCCAACACAAACGAGTACCTGATGTACAATCCAAGGCACCACTTGATCTAGTTCATATGGATCTGATGGGGCCAGTTCAGACAGAGAGTTTGGGAGGTAAAAAGTATGTATTTGTGCTGGTTGACGACTTCACAAGATTCACATGGGTTAGATTTCTCCGAGAAAAGTCTGACACGGCAGATAGCTTCAGAATCTGGGCTTTACAACTCATGAATGAACGAAGCTCAATAAAACGAGTCAGGAGTGATCATGGGGGAGAGTTTCAGAACGAGTTTATGAAGTTTTTCTGTGAAAGTCATGGAATAGCACATCAGTTTGCTGCACCCAGAACTCCACAACAAAACGGTGTAGTAGAGCGGAAGAATAGGACACTTCAGAAGATGGCTCGTGCGATGATTTATGGGAATCAAGTTCCAAAACGTTTTTGGGCAGAAGCAGTCAGCACAGCATGTTACATAATCAATCGAGTGTACATGCGAAAGGGAACATCGAAAACTCCTTATGAACTGTGGAAAGGAAAGATGCCTAACGTAAGTTACTTTCATGTCTTTGGATGCAGGTGCTACATCTTGAATGACAAGGATCATCTTGGGAAGTTTGATTCAAGGAGTGATGAAGGAATCTTTCTGGGTTACTCAGGTCATAGCTCAGCCTTTCGTGTGTTCAACATGAGGACAAAAGTTCTGGTTGAGTCAGTGAATGTGGTGTTCGATGACTACGCTCAGATGGAATGGGAGAAGCCTATGATTGGGAGTGATTCTGAAGGTGACGAAGGTGATCGGGTAACACAGACAGCAGAGGCAATGCAACAGCCATCTGTGTCAACCGAAGAACCTCAGATCGTGACTCAGGAGAACACAAAGCAAGTTCATCGGAATCATTCACCCTCATATGTCATCGGTGAGGTGAATGAAGGGAGGAAGACTCGTGGCATCCAACTGGACTTCAAGAAGATGGGTGGGAAGTTCTCTGAGATGGTGCTATATTCCTGCTTTGTGTCAGTGATTGAACCAAAAGATCACAGACAAGCGTTGCAGGATGAGTTCTGGATTGTTGCCATGGAACAAGAGCTCGAGCAGTTTGTTCGAAATGACGTATGGGAACTAGTGCCACGACCGATGGATTGCAACATTGTGGGAACCAAGTGGATTTTCAAGAATAAAATTGATGAAAAGGGAGCAGTGGTTCGGAACAAAGCTCGTCTAGTGGCTCAGGGATACTCTCAAGTGGAAGGTGTGGATTTTGAAGAGACATTTGCACCTGTGGCACGGCTTGAGTCAATCAGACTCTTTCAGCGAATGGCATGCATACTCAACTTCAGGGTATATCAGATGGATGTCAAGAGTGCTTTTCTGAATGGTCTGATTCAGGAGGAGGTTTATGTCGAGCTGCCGAAAGGGTTTGAAGATGCAGGCAACCCAACTCACGTTTACAAGCTCAAGAAAGCGTTGTATGATCTGAAGCAGGCACCCAGAGCCTGGTACGAACGATTGACGAGCTTTCTAGTTCACGAAGGTTACATGAGAGGCAGTGTGGACAAAACCTTGTTCATACTAGAGAAGAAAGATAAGATTATGGTCGTTCAGATTTATGTGGACGACATAATTTTTGGAGGGACCTCTCAGGAGCTAGTTGATGCTTTTGTTGCAAGCATGACGAGTGAGTTTGAGATGAGCATGGTGGGAGAGCTCAAGTACTTTTTGGGACTCCAGATCACACAATCTGAGGAAGGTGTTTTCATATCACAAAGCACCTATGCCAGAAATCTCTTGAAGAGATTCAAGCTTGATGCTGCCAAAGAAGCAAAGACCCCAATGAGCACAACCACCAGCCTCACGCGAGATGATGAGGGAGCAAGTGTCGATCCAACCCTGTATAGAGGAATGATTGGGAGTCTTCTCTATCTCACGGCAAGCAGACCAGATCTGTGCCTGAGTGTTGGCATCTGTGCTAGGTATCAAGCTAAACCTAAGCAATCGCATCTTGAGGCGGTAAAGAGGATCATGAAGTATGTCAAGGCCACAGTTGAGTTAGGCATCTGGTACTCAAAAGGATCGAATCAGAACCTAGTGGGTTACTGTGATGCAGATTGGGCAGGAAGTGCTGATGACAGGAAAAGCACCAGTGGTGGGTGTTTCTTTCTCGGAAACAACCTCATCTCGTGGCTCAGCAAAAAGCAAAACTCGGTGTCCCTCTCCACTGCTGAAGCAGAATACATTGTCATGGGGAGCTGTCGTAGCCAACTACTGTGGATGAAGCAGATGTCCGCTGACTATGGAATGGATTCAGGTCTACTTCTTGTGTACTGTGACAACAAGAGTGCTATAAGCATTTCCAAGAACCCAGTACAACACTCAAGGACCAAGCACATCGACATAAGACACCACTTTATCCGTGAGTTAGTGGAAGGAAAACAGGTAGTGATCGAGCATGTTGTCACTGAATCTCATCTGGCTGATTTATTCACAAAACCACTGGACTTTAATCGTTTTGTCACCTTAAGAAATGCAATTGGTGTTTGTGGAATGTAACAAGTGTTTTGAGATGTGCAGAACTGATACAGGTACAGGCTCAGGATGATCATAACGTTTCGATTCAGCCTTGAGGGTTAAAGGTCGGAGAAAAAGAGCTACTTATCTTGTCGTCATGACTTGACATCAGTACAGGTTTCACAGAGAGAACCAAACAGCCTGAAAGCAATGTAAGTCAGTCTTTGAGAAATCACAATGATAAGACTGAGCTACAGGTTGATCTATAGGTCAGAGACAGGTCTTACATCAAAAAGAAGACCTGTCCAAAGCTCAAAGGAAAAACACAAGGCAGAAAAAGAAAGGAAGCTGCCAAGTCACAGTGTACCCAATAAAAAATACACTGTGACAAGTACCTAAGGTTCTCTCTTGCTGAATAAAGGTTGAAAACTGGTGAAGAGCATGATAAAGACAAGGTAGTGTGAAAGCTAGTCTCAGTATCAAATCTGTCAAGGCACAAAGAATCAAGAAGAAGCGGAGTGATGATTCGAGTCATGTGCTGAATCAGCTTTTGTGTCATCTGTGAATCTGGGTGAATAAGCAAAAGAAAACTGTTTTCAAAAGCTAGTTGAGGTGTGATGAGGTAAACGATTACTATTTTCTGTTAGCCATCACAAAATTCTTCGGTTTAAATGTGTCAATGACTGTCGTGTTCCTTGTGATGTACTAATGAATGTTCTTGTGCTAGAAAAAGACTTGTCATGATTAAACAGGAAGTGGCCCGTGGACAAATGATGATCATGTAGACAGGCCCAACAGCAGCCCATGAGGAAAAAGGGAAATCAAATAAGGAGAGGGAAATCAAAGCGATGTTGCTATATTTGCGGGAGAGGAAGAGGAAGAGACGCTACATCAAACTGTTCAAAAACCCTAGGTGCAGAGAACTTGTGTGACTCAATTCAAAGCATCTCAGTCTAGATCCGCAAATAAAATGGTGTCTGCAACACGAAGAGGGCTCATCGGAAAGAAATCAAAGTCAAAGATGGCACATGCAACAGGTGATGCTTCGTCTCCTCACCTAATCGATGGATCGAGTGGTGAAGAACAGAATCCACCGGTGATTCAGAGCGAAGAGAAGTTCGGAACAGGAAAGGGGACCGGCAGCGAGAGCGAATCCTTCGCCACTGCAGAAGAAGGCGGAGACTCAGCAGCCAAATCGCCGGAGGATCTTGGAGAAGAATTTCCTCTTCCCGTGGAAGCTCAGGTTGAATCGATGGCACAAGAAGAGGAACACGAGGGTGTGAATGAGCCCGAGGCAGAAAACAAAGAAAGCCATCGAGCAGAAACTGAAACACAAGGTGCCGATCAACTGAGGGAGGATAAGGAAGCCACATCGGAGACCCGAATAGAGGCTGAGTCTGATGACAATGATAAGGTGGTGCCTGAGAATGAAGAAGAGATAGGTCAGCCATCTAAGACAGACGAGCGGCCAGAGGAGATGTCGGTTCAGGAGCAAATCGACGAGGTCAAAAGGAAGAGGAGTTTGGCGATGGTGACTGTCCCAGCTGCCAAGCGAGCTCGAAAAGAAAAGAAGAGAACCACATCCGCTGAAACCTCAAGACCAGGAGCTGAATCAACCCCTGCCGCTCCCTGCCCAGAACCTGAATCGAGTCATGTCAAGCAGAAAAAGAAGAAGTCCAACCTCAGGAGCAAAAAGAGGGTGGCGTCTGATGAACGATTCCAAGTGTTCAAGGATCGTCATATCTGGAGTGAACGAGTTGTAGATGTGGACGAAGAGGATGAATGGAAGTACCTTTAGGTACTTCGTGTGAGCGGAATGCGGTGGACGGTGACAGAACTCGAGCCATACATGAGCAAGGTGGTGCGTGAGTTCTATGCAGGGCTACCTCCAGAGTCACCGAGTGATCCATCTCAGGTGTTTGTGGTGAGAATCAGGGAAGCCAAAGTCAGAATTTCTCCAGGGATCATCAATGAGACCTTACGCCGCGAGCCTCTTACTGAAGCTGAGAGGAAAAAGGAGGCTGAGGCAGATCTTGTGCCAATCTCTGAGGTATCAAGATACCTGTCACAAGGGCATCAGTCTACATGGGCTGAGTTAACCTCAAGAGATTTTCCTCCACGGATAGCTGCACTGATGGTCATCGCATCCTACAATTGGGTTCCTTCGACGAATAAGCACCACATTTCTGAGGAACGGGCGAGGTTGGTGTATAAGCTGGCGCACGGGATCAACGTTGACATTGGGCGAATGATTTTCCAGCAGATGCTTGATCTGAGCAAGGTCATCAAGGGGGATAGACGGTGGTTGATGTTTCCCTGTCTCATCAGCAAGGTCATCAAGAGGCAGCTCATCCTGCAGCTCGAAGAAGGTGAAATGTGGATCTTTCCGACCAAATACAAGAAGGATCCACGAAGTGGGGAAACATTTCTCAAAAAGGAAGCTGCTGCTGCTGTCACCGAGGAAAAGGCCAAGGAGAAACGAAAGAAAGAGGCAAGAAAGAGGACTGGAGTTGCCTCGACATCGCATCCCTCAACCTCGAGTCCGCGTCCATCAACTGCTGCCCAGTCGAACACGCCAACTGGAGGAGTCAACAACGTGACTCTGGGAGTGATTCGAGTGCCTGAAGCACCAGCTGATGCAGAGGGAATCAGGACAGCTCTTGAAGATGTGGCAACAGTTCTTGAGCAACTCGGGGTAGTAACGACCATGCTGCGCACTGCAGTCACAGGTAAACCTGCTTAGATCCTATCTAAACCTTCGAGTTATGTTTGCTCATCGATTGTTTTTAACATCTGTGCTCACAAGCAGGGGGAGAAGATTGAAATCGGTGGATGCATGAACTATGGGGGAGTTTTTGGGGTTTTATGTTTGGGGTTTTAATTCTGGGGGAGTAAGGAGAGTTTTATTTAAGACATTATGTTTTATTTCTTAACTCCTTGAACTCGTTTATGTTAAGACTTGACACTCCATTGGTTTCTTGGAGTTTCTTTTGGTTAATCGGAATCTTTTGGAATCATTCCCAGAATTGTGTGGCTTGTGGTGTGTTGGTTGTTGCTTGTTTGGTTTCGATTTCCTGAACAGGTACTTGTGGAGCACATATGCTAAAAAGGGGGAGATTGAAGATGCAAACAAGGCTGGAGCAGCGCGTGTAGCAGTCCGACTAGCTCTGGAACTGACACGGGAAGACTTGCATAGCAATCTACACACGTGGAGGTGAGCTGGAAGCTGAGCTGGAGCTGCAGGACGTGCTGGATACTTCAAGAGACGTGAAGCTGACGTGGATAGGAAGCTTGGAGTATCTTGGAGGATCTATGAAGACAATATCGAGTTTCCTCTATCTTAGGAGAAGATAAGGAAGGTGAAGATTCTCATGAAGATTTGGTGTAATCCGAAGGAGAATCTAGGCGATGATCAGCCGCAAGTCCTATTGAGTATAAATAGGCGTGTTAGAGCTAGATAGGGTTTTAACACAACTGAGAGAATACTTAGCAAAATGTGAGCGAAAATCTGTGAAAGATTTTGTGAGCTAGTGTGCTAAGGGATTTGGGTGAGAGGTTCTTGAATCACGTATCGATTCAAGAACAAGTGAAACTAGTGTAGCAAATCAAGGCGTGTCTTGAGGTTGCTCTAAATTGGGTTCTGTATACTTGTAAGTTACAAACAAATTTACTAGTAAAGTATTTTTGAAGAGAAAAATCCTTGTGTTGTGTTCTGTGTTAGTTCTCGTATTACTACTCCTTACATTTTTATCACTGTCGTAGCCAAATTATATTTTTAGATATGTGAGATAGGTATATGTTTATTAGTTAAAACGCTGTTACCATTCACTATCGTAGCCAAATATATTCTTAGATATGTGAAATAGGTATACTAGTTAATTGCACCGATAGTGTGAAGAGGATGACAAAGAAGCTATAATAATTTAAACTAATTGAAGAGAGTAAAAATAGTGATTGAAGTGCGATAGATTCGAGGTTCGATCGTAGAGAAGACTTGAAAAACAAACAAAGTAGGAGGCTGATAGGTGTACGATTCGATGACTTCACGTGATTTGCGGTGTGTGAGCAGTTGACTATACAATACATTATCAAAAGACATCACTCCATTTTCGATGCTCCCAAACATTACTTAACCATATCTAAATACTATATCAAAATAAACCCTTAACGAAAAAAATTCGATTGTATCACTATACTATACTCACAATACTCACTTCATATTTTATAACAAAGAGTTGCGTTTTGTCGTTAGTACCATTATTATCTGGACTAAGTTCATATTTTATACGAAACTTTTTAGCATAAAAAGTATTTTATATGAAACAATTCTATAGTTAACTTGATATAATAAACTAAATGGTAGTGGGTTAATGGTTTTACAAAGAGCTGTAATTAATGTTGATTTAGGTCATATATTGATTTTCTTAAATCATGTAATTATAAAACTACTCTCATTAAGCTAAGTCTGAATATGTCTTATGTCAATATTTATTTGAAAATCTAGTGGATGAATTTCTCTATAAATATTAGTCAAAATAGTAAAAGTTTAAACCATCCCTAATTATAAAAAAGACAGAAAAAACAACTTCATAATATGAGTAAAATCAAGAGTCTCTCCTCAATTTCATCCATATTATTCACATTTTATTCTTACTATTATCATTGTGTGTGGTTGTACCAAAATTAGGATTTTATCCATATGGGAAAGAAAAAAAAAAATACAAAACATAGTATCATTAATGAAAAAATGTATAAGTCACGTGGGACCCGTGCGCCTGGCTTTTACCAGAATTCTCAACGGTTCCACCTCCTTCACGGCATCGACCCCGTGACGTCCGGCCTGAAAGTCCAAACCGAACCCACACGGTTCTAAGGAACGTCACTCTCCACCAGCCACGTGCATCGCAAATAGCCATTAATGATGCGTCACAACTCACAACTTTCACGAGAGCTCCGATTACTGAAAAATCAAATTTCTGATTTCTATGGTTCAAAGTCTTATTCATTCTTTTTTTTTATATAAATAACCATGTGAGTGTGATCTGATTGAACATTACGGCCTTTTAACAATTGACCAATTACTCTTACATATATACACTATTTGTTTCTGCTTATTTGACAAAAGTTGTTTTCTGTATTTTTTTTTTCTTTACATTATCAATTATATGTGAATACTAACAGCATGATTAGATCATTGATTATTATGGAATCTTTGTTTTATTAGTTAAGTCACATATTAGCTTGTCAGTTGTCACAAATATACTAATACCAAAAAAATATATGTTTTATTAGCTTGAAAATCTCTTTATTGTTTCAAGCTCACAGTTAAAGAGATTTTCATTTTCATTTGTTTGTTTACTAACTTGAATGTCGGAATATCTTTTTAAAAAAACTGATGAAAAGTATTTAAGAAAATACTATACGATATATCTCAATGATTTTTAACCTTTTTCGATAATTTAATTTTCACAAGTCGAATTCCCCATGATTTGTTCCGTAAAGCTTGACTTCTAATTCATAATATTATCCAAAATATACATCAACAGTATCAGTATGCAAAAGAGAAATTGAGAAAGACAAGACTACTTTGTCCAGTGTCCATTACTTTCGTTAATGCGACAAATTATCAAAGAAAACGAAAAGCCTGGGAACAAAGTTTTGACCTAACCACAAACTTTTGTTGACTTTGTTTCAACTAATAATTTAGTTGTTACCCACACTAATTTAATTGTGCAGAAAACATAGATTTATAACAAAGGACAACGGCTTTGTCTGCATATGCTTTTTAAGTTAAATCACTTTAGTTAGAAAAAAAAACAAGTTAAATCACTAAACCAAATATGTTTTTACTCAAAGGTTTGTACAATAAAAATAAATTTTCTCTGAACAATTTAAATAAAATAATTACGGTCAAACTGCGAGGTTTATCATTTCTAGAATATACACACTTGTGAGCTGCAATAAATAGTTGTGCAGGATTTTGTCCAGAAATTAAATAGTATTAATTTTAGTTGAAAGACTATAATTTATTAATTTGTAATCTAACTCATAAATAAATGAATAAGAAAGTGAAGGAGGTGCACACAAGACTTTTTGAGACGAGACGAGACCTCTCACGAAAAAAGAGTTAATAATAGCGAAAACTATCACTGTTCTTGAGAAAACGAAAGAACTTTCCTTTTCCGTTTTTTTCAATCTTATATTGTCTTCACCACTGTTTTTCCTCCTTTCAATTTCGAAATTAAAAACATTCACAATTTTAAATCCCAACTACTACTCTGTTTCTCGCTTTTTAGATTGTTTCTGTCTCGCCTCGAAAATGACCTGCACTTGCAGAATAGACATTATAAACCCTTGAAGAACAAAAATCTTCGGAATTATCATTTCCCTGAGAGGAAAATAGACTTTTGCGGATCATTCAATGTGTCATTGGCGGCTGTGAATTCGAAAGCTCTTATCTTTATCTGGGAAAGCTTTGCAATTTAGGGTTTTTACTGGCAAAATTGTTCAAGCTGCTTTAACGGTATTACTTTACTCTCTAGACTACTTTTGTTTTGAGCTTCTTTTTTTTTGCTTGCTTAAGTTACAAGTCTTGACTAGTTTGGGATCCCTTTCGAGGTGATTTTTGGGATGTGAGCAATTTAGTTTATACTTTATTTACAATCTAGCTTTTCTAGTTTGAGTCTTGTCTGTTAGTTTCTGCTTGATTTTCATACTGTTTCTTGGGATTCGATTTTCAGGAAGATACGTGTTTGCTGATCTCAATTTGCTTCCACAATGTTGCTTCAACTTCAAGTTGTGAAAGCTTGATTCTTTTGGGACATGAGCATGTGCTGAGTGATTTTCTCTTCTTCATAAGCTCCACTTATGAAAGTTTGAGTCTTTATCTGAGACTGAAAAACAGAAAATCTGGGTGATGGCATAATCTTATGCCGTGATTTTGAGCTGGCTAGAGAAGAGCTCGTCTCTGTTTGTTAGTCATGGTGATCACTCTCTTATTGGTGGTCTTCTATGTTGGTTCATCTCTGAGCCAACCTATGCTGGCATGTCATCCCAGCGACTTATCTGCGCTCAGGGAATTCGCAGGAGCGTTGAAGAACAGGTCTGTTACTGAAACTTGGTTAAACGGCTCGATTTGCTGCGAATGGGATGGTGTGTTTTGCGAGGGGAGTGGTTATGTTTCTCGTCGAGTTACGAAGCTGGTTCTGTCTGGAAAGGGTTTGGAAGGTGTGATTTCAGGTTCTTTAGGCGAGTTGAGTGAGCTGCGAGTACTTGATCTCTCTCGTAATCAGCTCAAAGGCGAATTGCCTGCAGATATCTCCAAGTTGCAGCAGCTTCAAGTTCTTGATTTGAGCCATAATTTGTTATCAGGGTCAGTTTCGGAAGCGGTTTCCGGTTTGAAGCTGATTCAGTCGCTGAACATTTCGAGCAATTTGCTGACCGGGAATGTATCAGATGTTGGAGTGTTTCCTGGTCTCTTGATGCTTAACGTAAGCAACAACTTGTTCCAAGGTGAGATTCATCCTGAGCTCTGCAATTCATCTGATGAGATTCAGGTTCTTGATTTATCGATGAATCGTTTGGTGGGCCAACTTCCGGATTCTCTTTACTCGATCCGGGGCTTGGAGAAACTCTCAGTCTCTGGAAACTACTTATCCGGACAGTTAAGTGAGAAGTTGAGTAATCTCAATGCTCTCAAGTCTCTGTTGGTGTCCGAGAACCGGTTTTCCGGTGTAATACCAGATGTTTTTGGTAACCTCACTCAACTGGAACACCTAGACGTAAGCTCCAACAAGTTTTTAGGGAGCTTTCCTTCAAGCTTATCTCAATGCTCGAAACTGCGGGTGCTTGATCTTAGGAACAACTCGTTATCCGGTTCTGTCAATCTTAACTTCACTGGATTGCCAGAACTCTGCGTCCTTGATCTTGCTAGTAATCATTTCTCTGGTCTTCTTCCTGATTCACTTGGCCATTGCACCAAGATGAAGATCTTGAGTTTGGCGAAAAACGAGTTCAGCGGCAGAATCCCCAACACCTTCAAGAATCTGACGTCTCTCTTGTTCCTGTCTTTATCTAACAACAGCTTTGTGGATTTGTCTGAGACAATGAATGTGCTTCAACACTGCAGCAACCTCTCCACTCTCATCCTCTCAAAGAACTTCATGCACGAGGAAACACCAAGAAACGTCACCGGTTTCGAAAACCTCAGGATTTTAGCTCTCGGAAACTGCGGTCTTAAAGGTCGGATTCCGAGCTGGTTATTGAGCTGCAAGAAGCTAGAAGTTCTTGATCTCTCTTGGAATCACTTCTACGGAACTATCCCTCGTTGGATTGGTCAGATGGAGAGTCTGTTCTACATAGACTTCTCGAACAATACTTTAACCGGAGAAATCCCTGTAGCCATAACCGAACTCAAGAGCTTAATCCATCTAAACTGCACCGACTCTCAGATGACCGACTCTTCTGGAATCCCTCTGTACGTAAAGCGGAACAAGAGCTCGAGTGGTCTTCCCTATAACCAAGTTTCAAGATTCCCGCCATCTATCTATCTAAACAATAACAGACTCAACGGTACGATCTTGCCGGAGATAGGACGTTTGAAGGAGCTTCACATGCTGGATTTGAGCAGGAACAACTTCACCGGGATGATACCTGAGTCCATTTCAGGGCTTGACAATTTGGAGCTTCTTGATTTGTCTTACAACCATCTCTACGGCTCGATTCCTCTGTCCTTTCAGAGTCTCACTTTCTTGTCAAGATTCAGCGTCGCGTATAACCGTCTCGTTGGCGCCATTCCATCAGGAGGTCAGTTCTACAGCTTCCCTCACTCGAGCTTCGAAGGAAACTTGGGACTCTGTCGTGCGATTGATTCTCCTTGCGATGTTCTGATGAGTAACATGTTGACACCGAAAGGCTCTCCGCGTAGTCACAACAATGGAGGAAAGTTTGGGAGAACCAGCATTGTTGTACTTACAATAAGTCTCGCCGTGGGGATTACTCTGCTTCTCTCTGTTATCCTACTAAGACTCTCAAGAAAAGATGCTGATGATCGAGTCAATGACATCGACGAGGAGATGATCAGCGACGTTCCTAAAGCTCCGGGGACATCAAAGATCGTGCTTTTCCATAGCTGTGGATGCAAAGACCTGAGTGTAGCGGATTTGCTCAAGTCTACGAACAGTTTCAGCCAGGCCAACATCATAGGATGTGGCGGGTTTGGTCTTGTGTACAAGGCGAATCTACCTGATGGCTCCAAAGCAGCGGTGAAGAGGCTTTCCGGTGACTGTGGGCAGATGGAAAGAGAGTTCCAAGCAGAAGTTGAAGCATTGTCGAGAGCAGAACACAAGAATCTCGTCTCTCTTCAAGGCTACTGCAAGCATGGTAACGATAGGCTGCTTATTTATTCGTTTATGGAGAATGGTAGCTTGGATTATTGGCTGCACGAGCGTGTAGATGGGAATATGACTCTCAAATGGGATGTGAGACTGAAGATAGCTCAAGGAGCAGCTCGTGGGCTTGCTTACTTGCATAAAGTCTGTGAACCAAATGTTATCCACAGAGACGTGAAATCGAGTAACATTCTCTTGGACGAGAAGTTTGAAGCTCATCTTGCGGATTTCGGGTTAGCCAGGTTGCTTAGGCCGTATGATACTCATGTGACGACTGATTTGGTGGGGACATTGGGTTATATTCCTCCAGAGTATAGCCAGTCTTTGATTGCGACTTGTAGAGGAGATGTTTACAGTTTTGGCGTTGTGCTTTTGGAGCTTGTTACTGGTCGTAGACCTGTGGAAGTCTGTAAAGGGAAAAGTTGCAGAGATTTGGTGTCTAGGGTGTTTCAGATGAAGGCAGAGAAGCGTGAAGCTGAGCTTATTGATGCAACGATACACGACAATCTGAATGAGAAAGCGGTTTTGGAGATGTTGGAGATTGCTTGCAAATGCATTGATCATGAGCCTAGAAGGAGACCGTTGATTGAAGATGTCGTTGCTTGGCTTGAAGATTTTCCAGTTGAGTCTGTTCAACAACAATGAAATCCCTTCTTAATTACCTTAGTTTTTGGAATGAAATGGAGAGTGTAGATCACTGGTTTTACTTTTGGTTAGATATATAAACTTGGGGTATACATGCAGGGGCGTGACCATGTTAATTAAGAAAGAAGAAACACTCGCCGAAGGGCCTTTGTGAATATAAATTTTTTGTTTTGGGATATATTTTGAAATAGAAATTTAGTTATAGTGACATAAAAGCAGAAACAATCAGAACAATATGTTACAACAACAACAACAAGGAGGAGGAGATTTAAAGAAAGAAACAAAGTAACAAGAACAGATTAAACTAAAAAAAAACTAGCATTGAAAGCTTTTCGTTAATCTTTTGAGAAGATTCATCTCTCTTTAAACCTGAATCTTGAACTTGTCAATCACCTCAAGAACGTCTCCATAACGTCAGGGAACATTCCTGCGTTGCTTCCGGAGTTGTTCCTGAACTCTAGTGGTTGCTGATCGAGAGAAGTTGATGATGAAGAAGAATCCATTCTTGCTGGCAATGTATAGCTTCTTCTAAACTTGTTAGGATGATGATTACTTTCAAGGCTCAAGAACTCGTTCTGGTTTTCGAGATTCATCGGGTTCTGCTCGTGATTAAAAAGAAGTCTACTAGCTTCGTCTGCACGGCCAGTCAAGGCATTGAACAGAGATAAACCGTTGGGCCATTTGATGTCATCTTCGTGTTCTTCCATTGGAGGAAGCATCTGAGGAGGAGGAGGAGGAGGAGGAGGAGCATTGGTTTCTTGAAGGAAACCGAATCTTGTAGATGCAGGTAGTTGGTTTTGAAAAGTAGGAGAAGGTAAGAATGGAGAGTGTGATCCCCAGTTAAAAGCCTGAGACTGAGGTTGCTGGTTTGGAACCGAGGAAGAAGATGGAGTTGTTGCTGTTCGGTTTGAAGCAAAGAGCTGGGAGAGGTAAAAACCGGATCGATAACCGATTGATTCAAACGTTTGCCTCATCCTCAGCACAAAATGAAGATCCTCTGGAATCTGTGAGGAATAAAACAAAAGATTGATCACACCATATAGCCAAATCGATATGAAACCTGTAAGATGAGAAAACTCACAATCTTGCAAGAACCTAGCTGTAACAGACCATGACCAGCTTGAATCACAGCAATTGTCTGGTAAAATATTTTAACAGTGTTAAGGTAAGATCAAGAACAGTAATCAAAGTTGGAAAATTTATCAAAACAAGTAAAAAAAAAGATGTTTGACTATTGACCTGGATGCCTGATTCGAATTGGTCGGTCCATTCTGGAGGAAGCTGCAATAAATTTTGTGAACAACCAAAGCTTGAAGTGTAAGGTAACCATCAAGATCATAAATTCCTCATCTAACCAAACAAAGAATTTAAAGATCTGTGGAAGATTGAGAAAACGTACAGCATCAAAAGAACTCTGCCAGTAATTAGCAAGATTGGGTTCAGATTCAGATGGTTCTTTGAATACCCACTTGTGACATTTGTCAGATGCAACTTTACCCATCAATCTGCACATACCATAGTTAAAAGACTCAGAAGATAAGATAAAACTTGTGTGTAAAACATATATCTTAGTGAAAGCTTTGCTAATTATTAAGTGATTAGGGTGTGTTTATATAGTCTAATTATCTTTCTCCATAATTACTTATATAACCACCTACCCAGTACCCACCCTTCTCCATAATTATATAACTGAATGGACATCTTGCTGAAAGCTTTTCTGACAAGATCTTCACCTTCAATGTCTGGTTCCAGACAAAGATCTTCACTTCTTCCTCCGCAAAACCCATCTTCCCACATCAACATCCTATAAAATTTAAAAACACAGAAGGAAATTAACAAATTGTCTCATAAAGAGATCTTAAGTTGAAACAGAGCAGCTCTGTTTCTGTCTCTCTTCAGAGGAAAGATAGAAAGAGAACTCACAAGCTGCCACTTTCGTCACCAATCTTGCAGCCACTACCACCACGGACCCTCCTGAAATCAGAAAGAGGAAACAAAAAGATAAAGAAACAGAGATAGAGAGAGAAAGATTAGATGAACAGAGAAAAGAGAGAGAGAATTGTGTGTACGGTCGGGGACGAATGGTCCAAAAAACAGAGTAAATCCAGTCGGAGTTAAGACAGACGCTTCTAAGTGCCTCGTGAAGTGCCATCATTCCTACAGCATCTTTGCTTCTATCTCCTCCTACACTTCCTGAGCCCACCATGTCTCTACTCTCTCTCTACTCTCTCTCTCTCTCTCACTGCATAACCCTTCAGAAATCTCCAAAAATACAGTTTCTTTTGCTAAGAATCATGACAACTCTTTAAGGTCTTTAACTCTTTAGCTTTCTTCAGACAGAGTCTCTTTTTTTGTAAATATTTTAAAACTACCCACTGAAAAGAAAAGAAAATATGTTATCTTTCTTTGTGAGAGCAAAAGAGTTTGTCAACCACAGAGTCTCATCTCTCTCTTATTTTCTCTCACTACTGTTGCTTTTGCTTCGAGTCTTTTAGTGAACAGAATTATGTTAATCGAAATCCCGGCGACAAGTTAGGGTTTAGCCGTTTAGGGGAATTATATATAATAAGAAAATCAATTCTTTATTGGAATATCCGTAAATATTATTTCTTTTAAGGTTATCACGATGCTCATAATGTCATCTCCACTTATCGATTTGCATACATAATAAATAAAGTAAATGTATGAGATATACCTGTTACTATTCCTAATTTGTAGATATATCCAAAACATTATTCGAGAACGAGAACTGTACATAATTTTATAATACTATCTTACCCTTGCCCACACATTCCGGGCAGGTAAAAAATTATAAGTTTTTTATATTGAAGATCGTGTATCAGATTATATAAATTTAGATAAATCTCGGAAATTCATAAATTACTAAATTCAAAGGCGGTTTCTTCTTTTCATTTCAAATTTTGAATCACACATTCACAAAATCTTCATATCCAAAGAATTTTGGTGAATTTCTTTGTTTGGTAAGCTTCTATTTCTGCAACTTTGTTTTCTCCGCTCTAGTTTATCCTCTGATTCCTTTTATTTTACGTTAACAGGGTTTCTCAAATATCTAATTTTCGTCTCTCTGAGAGGATTTTCGCCACGGGTTCAGAGCCAGTAGGGGAGAGGGTTAATTTTTACTAGAAATCTAAAACGTTTTATGCCATCCTTAGTGCACTTGACGACGACGAAGTGAGGAGAATGCAAGATTCACAACTGGAGATACCATCTTTTTCCGGTAATTTTGGTTTCTACATGCTAGCAAGACTTCTCCGTGTTAACAAAAAGCACGAGTTGGAGTTCTCTCTGAAGAAAATTGTGGTCGAATGATTTTTCTATGCTGTTCAATGATGACGGTTGTACCATCTCTGGACGAGAGCTTGACGAAGAAGAGAAGGTATAAGTATCATTTAAGTTATATATTTTTTTTTAACATCCACCATTTCTGATATTACGCTAACCAATACTTTAGAGCGTTTTAACTGACTTGTACCGTTGTAATGAATCTATCATTTTTTTGCCATGGCTGCTTTTGTCTGTATCACATTCTTTCTCACTAGGTTTGACTCAGGAAGAAACGCACCACGTCGAAGAACCCGACTACCTTAACGACAGAGAAGCCGGACACAAAGAATAGGGTCCTCGTAAAAGCAAAAGACTGAAGACTTCATCTATCGTTTATAGAGATTTCTATTGCGTGTTAAGGGATTGAAAGCCAAGCTGCTGGACGATTGATAGTATTGTCTAATTCTGTATTCTTGTTGTTAGTTGGAAATAATTCATTTGGATCGGTACAGGTAATTGTTACTAAGTTCATTTGGTAATATTGTCTAATTCTGTATTCTGCGTTTATCGTCCTAAATTTCTTAGACGTCCTATGGAAATAAACGAGGGTTCATCTCGTACCACCCAAGAGGTTTTCATTGGTGAGCGGATACGGGTGCTGGATCCTAAGGTAAGTCATTCTTAATTATTTGTGTATTGTTACCAAATTTGTTCAGTTTCTTATGATATCTCTTCTATCTCATTGCAGGTGATTGATGCCTTAATGTTCCACCTTCGGCACAAGTGCAGTCCGCAAATGTACTCGATGAACTACACCAAAATTGAGTTCTTCGATACCAACAAAATTAGTTAGCGTAATATCGGAAATGATGGATGTTATAAAAATTAGTAGATGTGTAATGAATCTAATTACAACGTTAGAAGTCAGTAAAACGCTCTAAAGTATTGGTTTGCGTAATATCGGAAATGGTGGATGTTATAAAAAATTATATAACTTAACAACAATGATACTTCTACCTTCTCTTCTTCGTGAAACCCTCGTGCATGATTGGAGCTAAGGGTCATCTTGGCAATGCTCGGGGCAGCAGTTACTCCAGCCATGACAGTATAACCAATAACAGTAAATTTGTCTACAACATCGATACTTAGACAATTTCCAAAGATTTTAACAACTACACGCTTCTGTAGACATGAAAAATATTCACTACATAACCTGCATACTGGTTTACATGAACAATAATAAGTTAACATCTAACAATGCGAGTTCCATAATTGAGTTTATAACTGATCTGTAATTTTTAACAAAATTAGTAGATGTGTAATGAATCAAATTACAATGGTAGAAGTCAGTAAAACGCTCTAAAGTATTGGTTAGCGTAATATCGGGAATGGTGGATGTTATAAAAGATTATATAACTTAACAACAATGATACTTCTACCTTCTCTTCTTCGTGAAACCCTTGTGCATGACTGGAGCTAAGGGTCATCTTGGCAACGCTCGGGGCAGCAGTTACTCCAGCCATGACCGTATAACCAATAACAGTAAATTTGTCTACAACATCGATACTTAGACAATTTCCAAAGATTTTAACAACTACACACTTCTGTAGACATGAAAAATATTCACTACATAACCTGCATACTGGTTTACATGAACAATAATAAGTTAACATCTAACAATGCGAGTTCCATGATAACAAATTTCATACCCTGAATTCACCACGAGAAAACATTCGCTGTTTACATGGGCGTCGAGGTGGACGTCTGATCACTGGAGACATGAGTGCAAATTGAGCCATGATATCCTTTGCTACAGTAGGTGCCTAGTAATCTGGAACAAGATATATGCTTTCCGAGCATGCCATCCTCCAAAACATAGTCGTTAACTCTTCTCCAATCAATTGCTTGATGTTAGTCTTCGTTTGTGTAGTCGTTGCAACGACATAGGAACAAAAAATCGACAAGAGCTGGAACTCGCTGTAGCTGCATATCTTCGTACAGAGATTCACTCGGTAAGATAATTCACGTTTGTCAGTCGAGTGAGCGATACCTCTTTATATAGAGTGTAAAAAACTTTAATAACATGCACATATATGTATACATAGTTATGCCATATACATCCTCCAAATCTTCTAGATTATGCATTAAATGTTGCGTTGAGTGGTAATATTCTGTGGTGGACAGACACCTACGAGCAGACCTACAACATCTACAGGAAGCTACATCGGCTGATATTATCTCTTAATTTATGTTTTAAAAAAATTAAAATAGCTCGCTACAATCAAAGAAACGCATGGGCAGGGGTTTTTGTGTAATTTGCCACGATTTTGAAATGCCAATTGTCCCTTAGATTACTGTTTTTTCTATATCGCAAATTTTGACTAATTTTAGGTATATTTCGCCAATTCACTCTAATAAATATTTGGTCCAACTACATTTATTAAAATTTTAGTTTAAAATTTTGATTTTTAACACGTTTTTCAGTTTTGATTTTTATGACAATTAAAATCTCTGTGAAATTGTGTCTATAACTATGAGTATTTTAAATTTTCAACAATTTTTTATTGTAATAAATTTATGGTGGTCCAGTGATTCAAACTTAAAATTAGGATTCATGTAGTTTCTCTACGATTCAATTATTTACCAAGAACAATTCAATTATAATTTATCACTAATAACATATTCTATTATGTGGATTTGAATCTAAAATAATACATCTACTAGTTACATATCATAGACTCCTAATCAATCAAAGACGTCAACATTCTTTTTAACAAACTCTAGATTGGTTTGGACTTGCTTTGAAACGTTTAAATATTTCCTTATGTTTTTATTTTAAGACATGAATGAAATTTGTCAAAATTGCATATTTGTCAGTGAAAAAAAATAGAAAGTAGAAAGATAGAAAATTTTGAGACGGTGGGGACAAGTATTATCTTCTTTCTGGCTAGCAAGACAAATGTAGGTGTTGAGGGATGACAAAAGTGGTTCTGTTTTTGTTTTCCCCTCTCATCACTCACTACCATCTCTTTAAAAATTATTATTTCACCCTTCTTCCTCCACATAAATTACGACCCAAGGACAATTCTTTATTATGTTTTATCGTATTGATGAAAATGAAGGTGGACCATTTCATCTCCATCTCACAATGGTTTCACTGCGGAAGCTTAAATTTAAAAGAACAAAAAAAAAATCTAAATTTACAAGACGATCCGTGATCGATTCACCAGACTCCACTATCAAAGCATCAGCAAGTATGGAATCGTTGGCTTCATCTAAGAACCACTACTTGATTTTCCTTTTAATTTTTTGCTCTGTTTGCGATGGATTTTATTTTTTCCAAGTTTTACAGGATTTATTTCTATATTTCAATACTATGTAATTTTTGTAATTTTCAATGATTTAAACATTTCAAACAAAAACACTTAGTTTTATCTATATTTCAGTCAACTAGCAGACTAGACTGCATATTGTCTTAGAATCTAACTCAAAACTTCTTATATATATTCTTCAATCCCACTAGTTTTTTGACCGAACAAATGGTTTCAGTTTTAACTTGAATGTCGGAAACTATTTGAGATGACATTTTCATAACTATATGTATATGTTCTTTTATCCCATTGTGCTTTCGTAGTTTCATCGACGTATCGCCTAAAAATTAATGTTGGTCCGAATTTAATATAAAGCTCTCATATAGCTTTTGCACATCATAAAACTCCTCATCAAATGATGATCGTTATCCTATATATGTTGTAAAAGAGATGTTTCAATTGGATAAAATCATTTGAAGATTTGTTGTGCGTCCATGGGAGGTTTGCTCCCCTTCGAGGGGAGGGAATTTGTAGCTTATTTAATCAACGTTTTTTTTAAAACTAAATTTTCTTATCGTTTTCATGTAATCGTTTAATATAGTTATAGCTTCTTTATCAACAAAAAAAAAAAGAATCAATAGATATGTTTATTATAACAATGATCGATCAGTACGTTTTGTCGATTACACTAACGCGACACTTACTTTTTACAAATCATATTAGCCTCGTAGATTCCTACTTAAATAAAGAAAGAAAGAAAACTTTATATCTCAAAAGCTTAGCAGAGTTATTCTTCATTACTTGTGTAAGAAACTACTAATTTATTGTTATGATCACTATTAACGCATGTTAGTTAATGTTGTTGCTTTTATAGATGTACGTATATACTATTTCAGTATTTTGTACCATTTGGTTAATAGATAAGAAATTTAGGAATCGATTGTTTAAAAGTAATTTTGCGTGTTTAGATGAGAAGAACAACAAAAATCACATATTCACCAAGTACAAATGTCAAATGCTAAGATTCCCCTTGCAATATTGCATTTAGCGATTGTGAACAAACCAATTAGAATCTCTAAGAAGTTATTTATTGCTCTAGCTCCTCTCCTATTCTCTTTAGATTTTTATGTAGGCTAGCTAAAGTGTATGCTTAATCCTAATTCAATCAAAATAATTTGTCAAACGGTATCACCTACAAAATTATAGTAATGTAATGTTTACCTTGTAATTTATTGAAAAACTCAATAAAGTAGTTACGAAACGAAATGGTATTAATATATGCATATTAAATTACACGAAAGTAAAAGGTCTGTGCAATAATGACCATTTGACTATGTACATACTAACATAAGTAAATACTAATATTATAAGTTTATAACTAATGATAAGTAAAGCTACACACAGTCCAACTCTTTTAAAATCAACGGAGAATATTCGTGTAGACAATTTAGAGATAAAGCTATCGGATTTAATAAATAGACTACCTAATCACTGAGATCTGTCTAGAGATAAAGAAGAAGATAATTTAATAGCAAAACGTACTAATTTAATCGGGTTAGTTCATAAGAACAAAAAAAAAAAAGGAGAAGGAGATCAAAAGGGAGGGGGGTCACGTGCGCACGTGCCGTGAGCAGTGAGTCGGTGCGTCACCTATCGTGAGGAAAGCGAACCGCACGAATCGGGGGACTATGCTTTCTCCGCCTGCGACACTCTTAACGTCTTCTCTCACAAACCCACGCGCCATCTCACGCAACATCCATTCTATTACTCAAACTTTTGGAATTGTGGAACTGAAACATTTTTTTTACCAATAGGAACTGAAACTTGAAAGCACAAATTAAACTGAAAGCTGTAAGTTAGTTGCTTGAATGGGTTATTATTGAGGAAATAGTTTGTTTATGCAAATAGACTGGATGAATATGCTAATATATCATGTTTGTTATTAAGTAACTCATATCTCTCATCTTTACGCAGGTGTTTGAACTCTAATTTAGATTATGTCGAATATCTTTTATTAGGTAAAATTTATTTTAATTGCTATGAGCTAGTTAAATGTTCTGATTAAACTAATTCAATTCAATGCATGACATGTTTGATAATTTGTCTAGTTTTTATTTCACACATCAGTTGAATTGTAAGCTAGTAGCTAAATCTTTTGGATTGGTTTAAGTTTGTAAATTTTTTCTAGTATTTTTTTCCATCTTTTAGGATTTGGTTATCTATAAAAAAAATACTGAAATTTAATTGTGTGATTGACAAAAACAACATATATCATTGGTATACAATCCCAAATGACCAAATTATATACATCTAACATCATAATATCTTCCAAGACTGTTTCTAATTTTCTATTATATGAATCTGGTGCTATGTTGAATAATTTGTTTATATATTCCAATAACATCATTACTACTAAGGACATGATATATTAGGGAGAACGGAATGAAAAATACATATTTAGCCAAAAAAACAAAAAAAAAAGGCAATGAAAAAGAAACGAAAACAAGTTTTATTTACCTAAATGAGACAGGCAATGGAGGACAAAAAAAAAAAAAATGAGACAGGCAATGAGGCAAACACTTGGCGCGTATAGAAGTTAGAGCGCGTCGAATGAGGAGGAAACTAAAAAAAAACAACAGATATGTGAGCAATATTCAACTAGGCTCCGCATTGACCGGCCAAGGCCTCGATCTAACTCCTCCCACGACCGTATCTATGGTGGGTCCTATATCGTATCTTATTATGTCTTTATGAATAGTAAAGTATATATATCCGATTTGTTTATTCGTTTAGTTTTAGCATTAAGAAAAGCAAGTCTAAATTCTCAGACGGTCAGAGACGTCCTCAATAGTAAAAAAGAAAATTTTAGACCTGAATATTAAATCAGTGGAGAAATGACGCATTTTGAACTAATCCATTGCATCTAATCGTCGAACACCTATTATTAGTGATTTATAAAGCCGCAATGATCGTAAATATCACTTTTGATTTCAATAATTGCTTTAAAATTAATAATCATGCTTTTTTTCTAGGTTACGGACTTTGAATTGTTTTTAACTTGAATGTAACAAAGAAGGAAAAAGCAAGAAAGAAGCAATAGTTAACTAGAGATGTAACTTATTGGATCCATAATCAACGGTAGAAACTACACCAAGTCAAATTTTTTTTGGGTAAAGGATATTTTTTTTCTATCTATTAATAATTTATAAACAATATTTTGAAAGTTTTTAAGAAAATTTATATTTATAGTGTAAGAATATTTAAAGATAATTAGAATATATATATATAGTAAACTTTATTTTCCCCCTGAATTAGTCGGAATGGACCAGCTATCCAGCCGTTCTGATGACCAATATAGTTACTTTTGTAAAAGTGAGAAAAATAGTAAACTAATTAAAAGATTCAAATATTGGAAGTTGGAACAAATGGGTTGACGTGTAAAAATTTATACGTAAACAGCAAGAAGAGACATCCTCTTATGAGATGCTTTGTGTTTATTACTAACAAGGCAACAACGCAGCTTTCTTAGATGTATGTGCGTGATGTAAGTTCTTTTAGCTTTTTGCAACAATTTTTAAATATAAAGCAACAAATCTGTTAGTTTCTTAACAAAGAAAAAACAGTTCTTTAGTTGGTTTTTTTTTTCTTTCAAATGTACATTATTGATCATCTCTAGATCTCGACCTCTAAACTCTAGTTAATGCTTTTTTACTTGATTTTATACAACCTACCATTTCTTACAGTTCCTATGTGCCGTTACACGTTACGTGATGTACGAGTATGTTTGCACGCACGTAAATATATATACAAAATTTGGAACTAAATAAAAATAGAAGATTTGATCAAAAAAAAAAATAGAAGTTAGAGGATGAGATAGGCAAAAATGGGGGAGAGTCACTGTCACGTGCGTCTTTGCGGTGGTTAAGAGTAGAGCGTGCATATGTCTCTACAAAAGTACATACAAAGACCACTTCCAAGTTCCACCTTCTGTGTCTTCTTCAGACCAAAAGGAAATGGTAAAATATTACACACACAATTTACCCCCTTTTCTCTTTTGCTAATGTACTTCACAATATAGAGTACAAAATGAAAGGTGACTAATGGTATTATTTATATTTTTATGTTTAGAAAATGTGATGTTGTTGCTTTCTTATCATTTATAGCATTTATCAAATTTAATTTATACGATTTTCAAAGTAATTCTGCTATATTTCAAAATATAACTAGAAATAAATAAAGTTATTGATCTACAAAATTAGATTTTTTTGTGTATCGTGATTATTCAGCCGAAACTCTATAAAAGTGAAGTTTTTACTATTTCATTATTTTCACTATTCATCTGATATGAGTTTCCAGATATCACCAAAGTGTAAAAATTATATATTAAGTTGATTCATCCGTAGCAAAGTGTGTGGACTTTTTTTCACATCTAACAATTTGTGTTTCATCTTTGTTGCAGGTAGTTAATCTTGAAGATTTACTTTACCGAATTTCAATTCAAATTTTGATGGCTCTGATGTTGGAATCAGACAAATAGCATGTAGAATGGATTGAAGAAGATCTGTGCATGAGACCAATAATAACTTGGCTGTGTATGAGCTTGCATTCAAAGAGGGACGAAACCAAACAAGAGATTGATGGGCTTTAAATAGAAGTGGGCCTTTCCCCATGTATCGCTAAATCAAAACCCATACATGCGTTTAGCAAATTTTATCTTTTGATGCTTGTAAGTATCCACAAGGATAAACGCTATGAGAAAGGCTTACAACTCTGGGATTCATGGAGACCAGTGGACTAAGGAAAACTCAGCTAACAATCTTTTGTTTTTAATTTATGATATTATATTACAGCTCGCATTAATAATGTGAAAACGTATTTATTTTTTTTAGTTTAAATGAAAGAGCGTGGTTCATCCTTGGTTGCATCCGGTGCTGTAGAAGATTGTTACTCGGTTTGGTCTTACCCTAGCCGGGGTGGTCGCACGGCGGTCTGACAGGTTTTCTTATTTTTTGAAATTTTTCCAAACACATATAATTTCTGTTTGGTGTTTACAAATTCTCGAAACTTTCTTTCAGCAGATTTCTGTTAATCTAGTGTTGTGCAGAAATCATCTTTGTTATTTTTTATCGCTAAACTTAAAAAAAAATCATATAAGATAGAAACGACAATAACATACATGTGAAAAAAGTATTCTATGACTTATTGGTATAGAGCAAACTCTTGAATGAATACAATATAATTAATAGAATATTAGTTGATGCGAGAGCAGCCATCCTTAAGAATAGGAGGGAATAATGGATTCAGTGGAAACATTTGTGGCCAACACTTTGCATCCACTTCCATAAACGCTTTGCAGCACATAGCTCTGATATTCTCAAACTTACCCGTCAGAACAAACTTGTAGATTTCCATCACACAACCTTCAACGTTGAAGAGCGTTGAAAAACATTTTGTGAGATCGATTGGGGAGCCAGGAATGGTAGGAAGTTGAGCTAGTCCCGGTTTCACAAAAGTAGTGGCACACAAAGTCATAACTAGAATTGTGGAGAGAAGAGCTTGGATCCTACCTTCCATGGTCCCTAGTTTCTTCCTCTCTTTTTCTATAGAGGAGAGTCAATTCAATTGCTTATTTGGGATGGTTTTAGGTAACAAAAGAAAACAAACAATTTATATGTAAGATGAAAATCAAAACGTTAAAATGTGTTCCGAGAGTTACAACTTTGAGAATCGTATGTTAAAAACAACCTCTTTGAACTAAAATATAGAAATGTTACACTTTACAAATAAAGTAACTTAATGTTGTAGCCTTTTCTCCATTGAATTCAAATAAATATCTGTTGACTGCCTTATCGATAGATATGAGTCGCTGTGAACAAATCTTTTCATTACAGAGAAAAAAAACCCAGAGTTAGTGGGCCACAAGTTCTGGCTTAAGACCAGCGGTTTAGTTATCAAACAAAACCAGATCACATGATATTGCTTTGCCTTGATGTCCCTTTACCCTCCTCGTGAAGATACATCAGTGCAGAGGCTATAGACTGAAAGCTATCATATACGTATCCCAAGAGAGATGGTGTCTTTTTCCTTAAGAGATGTGTGTCAAGGCTACCATTTGGCATGAACTCATATATCAGCAAATATTAGTCTTTTTCATTACACCAACCAATGAGTTGCACCAAATTTCAATATCTCAATTTGCTGATGATATTGACTTCGGTTACAAACTCTCTTTTTCCCCTGCTTTCCAAGATCAATGATGTAAGAAATCATAAAACTCTCCTGAGGATCAGAGGGTTAGTTCACAAGCCCAAGAAACGCTGTTCTTGGTAACAGAGTCATAAGAGATCTGTGCGTGACCAATATCTTGGCCGTGTGAGCTTTCATTCCAAGAGGAGAAGTGAAACGAACAAGCGAGTTACTATTGATTCCCACATGAGATCCGACAGTTGTAGAATCCCATTCTTGGTTTTTTTAATTAGTCAAATTCGAAAGCTAGTAAATTTGAAGCTAAGCGAATCAACAATAAAAAGGGAGACTGAGGATAAAGTAACTGAACAAGATTGAGTTTTGGCCATTTAAAGAGGTAGACGAAAAAATTTACAAAACAAGAGAGCAAAGTTGGTTTGATAAACTCAGACAAAACTGAGACCCATCATTAATGCTGCTACAAAGTCAACAAAGAATGAGTCTGATTTGAGGGTCCATTCAACGAAAAACGTTTATATATATATTGTAAGACACCAATTCCTGAAACAAGAAAGTTCTTTTTTATCTTTCCCAAAGGAATCGAATTTCGCACCGAGTCCCAAACCAGAGAACCATTCGGTTTACACTAGATGGAATCTCCGGTTTATACAATACGTCATCATCATTCACTACATTGCTAGTTGCGAACGGCTTACAACGTGGGCAGATCAAATATGGAAGAATGATAAATTTGGGATGGGCTTACAAATAAACATGGTATGGACTATGGACCATGAATAATTTTTATCTTACAGATTGTTTGTCCCACATCGGTTACATTAGTCAGAGAACACTGAATCAAATAGACTATAAAAAAGATGCAGAGTTATCTAAGTAAACTCACGGAGCCGTGCAGTGAAAACAAAGCGAACTATTCTTTCGCCTTTTACTAAAGAATACCGTGTTTTCTCTGCTCTTTAGTGGCATACGCCTATTTTTGGAAAGGGTTTATAAAAAACCCTCCATCAAACCTTTAGTTTAATATTTTTTTATAGAACTTGAAGTTTCCAAATTATAAGTTCATTTTCTTAGTAGTATGCAATTTCTCACAATTTACCATTGATTATTAAGCAGGATAATCTTAAGGTATATCTCACAATTATGGACGGACTTTTGTCTTGGCTCTGCCCCATTCGATCATCTAGTAAATGTGTTTAATTAAAAGCTTATACTGAGCATTGTAGAAGTTCCAAACCATCATCATTTAGCTTTGTATAGAGAATGATATTCTTTGTTAGTGTTGATGAAAACATATATCTTGAACCACGGATGGGTAAGGATGGTAGATTTTTTGCAGAAGATATTAAAGATTAATAGCCAGAAAGACAGAACAGCGGAAATGAGACGACCAAAGAAAACTGAAGGGATAAAGTAAAAGAGAAGCGATCAAGCAGGATTCAAGGCAAACAAAAGAATACGTACATATTTCTCTACCCTTTGGGTAAAGATTTATTCTAAAGTCAGTTAATATTAGTTTTGTACAAATAGAGTACTATTATGAGTTCATTCTGGGAAGAACGATAGAGATATATTAGATATAGGTATAAGAATGTCGATATGCATTTTCGTAAAACTAACTCGTCCCACATTGAAAACATTACAACTGATTTGAAGATGTCGTTGTTTAAATATTTTTTTTTTAAAGAAAAAAAAATCGTTGTTTCAAGATTACTAGAAGAAGCACCACTTTGTAATTCATTATATTTCAAGGAAGACAAAAGTGAATAGCAATCTGATTTTCACACAATTAATTTGCGAAAGTTGTTGACGTACACTATCAATTTCATGAAACGGATCGGATAGCTTCTTCTTTCAATTTTTTTTGGTTGCTTGGTGATGAAGCTATGTCCACAGTCCACTGGCGTTCAAAAAACATATGCTTATACTAAAGATTGTCGTTAAGGTTATCGGATTACTTTTGAACCAAAAAAAAAGGTTATCGGATTACTCTCTATATATATGGTATAAATTAGGTTATATGTGAGTCCTTTCTGTTCTTAATTAAATCGGCAATTCGGTCGGTACGCCTATTTTATAGGTTTTATACACGAAAGTCCCATCAATTCTTGAGTTTAAAGTTATATCATTCTAAATTTTAAGTTACAAGAAATTTACATTTAATAATAAGTTCTACGTTAACGATTGATTATTAAGCATGATCATCTATTGTCTTCTTTATTCACATTCGTGGGTCTACAAAGTTCCAAAAAAATGAATATGACTAAAGTTAGGTTCCCAAATTGATGCTCTAAAACTCTGCAAGCTTCTGCTCTCCCGGTGGACCCGGCCCATGGCTTCTTCACATTGATCAGAGAGAGTGAAAGACAGAGAGACGATCGATATAACTCGGGGAGTGTTGCTGACGTGGCATTGCGATCAAAGTGGAAAGATAGGACGTCTGATTTCAAAACTCCTTCCTACTAATCAAAAAAGGAAACAGTTTATTTACGAAACTGAAATCTATTAATTGGGCTTAGGCATAAATGAGATTTAGTTGAATGCATTTTGTTAAGCCCTTACACTTATCCCACATCGGAAGCAGAAGTCAGATTGGTAGGTCCTCATTTAAATATAAAAGGAAGAGCCTTACGACTTTCAAAACTCATCTTTGCGCTTGGGGCAATGACGCAGCTAATGAGGTACTAACCGAGGCGCGTCTATTGCTGGTTGAAAACTATTTCCAAACCCCCTCCTAGGCCTAAGTTTGTCTTGGGCCTTCGAGAATTTCTGGAAGGGTTCCCTCCGGGGTAAAGCCCTACAATTATCTTAGTTAAAATTTTATGTCATTTTGTTTCTGTTTAGCAGTAAAGAGTTCACCACCAAATGGACTTTAATGCAGAGCTCGACGTTTCCAAATCACGGAGCCGTGCAGTGAAAACAGAGCGAACTATTCTTTCGCCTTTTACTAAAGAATACCGTGTTTTCTCTGCTCTTTAGCGGCAAACGCTTATTTTTGGAAAGGGTTTTTATAAATGAAAACCCTCCATCAATCTTTGAGTTTAAAATTAATAATAAACGAAGCTATTCTAAGTGTGATTTTTTTTCACAGTTACCATTGATGGATGCATTTTTCGAAACACATGGACTTTTTGGTCATGTACCATTCGATCATCTTGTAAGAGTTAACAATAACAATTTGTGTTAACAGAGATATTCTTTCCTCGGTCCACCCATCATTTGCACCAACACTTACCGCTTCTGTAAAATCGACTTGTATACTACCTTTACGCAATCTTCACCGTTACAAAGCGACGACTAATATTTTTGTGAGATCGACCGGAGAACCAAGAATGGAAGGGACTTGAGGTGTGGCCAGTACCTCGGCTAGCATCGACGTCAATAGGGTAGTGGCACACAACAGGGCACACGCATAGTCTATATGATATTGTTTCTTATTGATGAAGAAGATGTTTACAATTCATATATATACAGAGAGTAACGAGATATTCTAGGAGATAATCTAAAGCATATATAGAGGATATACAAAGGATATTCCTAAGATACATGTATAACAGAATAACTATACAGATTTGATCTTATCTCCTAATACGCCCCCTGCAAGTTGATCGACCGATAGAGAGACCAATCTTGTCATTAAGAAGTTGAAGTCCCGGTCTAGACAAAAAATTCGTAAAAAGCATCGACCAATTGATCGGCTGACGAAACATGAGTGACTCAGAGAAAGCCTGCCTGAACAAGTTGACGAATGAAGTGGTAATCGAGAGCCACATGCTTCATCCGCGAGTGAAACACAGGATTAGCAGCAAGATAGGTAGCTCCCACATTATCACAGTAGATAACAGGCTGAGAGGTTGTTGAAATGCCAAGCTCAGACATCAAGGAATGAACCCACTGAAGCTCCACCGCAGCATCTGCAACTGTCCTAGCTATACTCGGCTTCAGTAGAAGATCGAGCAACAGTCTTTTGCTTCTTAGATTGCCAAGCAATTGGATGTGAACCAAGGTAAACTATGTGAGCGCCTGTGGAAGTATAATCATCACAATTTCCAGCCTAGTCGGCATCAGAAAAAGCATGGAGAATAGGAGTGTTGGTACTGCTGAAGAAGATACCTTGATTTCTTGTATCAGACAGGTATCGGAGAACGCGTTATTCTAGGAGATATTTTAGAAGATAATCTAAAGCATATACAAAGGATATTCCTAAGATACAGGTATAACAGAATAACTATACAGATTTGATCTTATCTCCTAATATAGTCACGACTAGAATCGTGGAGAGAAGCGTTTGGAATCCCATTCCACTTGTTGTTTCATTATTTTTTATTTTGATAAAGAGAGTGAGATAGTGAATTGTTTGATTGGTGGGCTGCTTATAGTATCAAAAGGATTAAACACTTTTGTAGTGCAACCCAAGTTGAACATATACAGTATAAGTTACATTTTAAGAATCGTCCGTTATGTCAACCTTTGAAACAAAACATAAATGTGTCTTTACAAAGAAAATTTACCACGTTGAAATTGATAAGTTCGGATCAAACGATTCAAATCAGTCTTCGTTCCCGAGAGCATTTGATTCGATTCAAACCTGAATACAGAATAGAAATCGAAATAAATACCAGCGGTTAACTAAAGAACCTTTCGGTTTAGACTGGATGGAACCTTCCGGTTTATCAAATACTTTTCTTACTGATTATCCCACATCGGTTACATTAGTCAGAGACACTGAATCAAATGGACTATAAATAAGAATCAGAGCTTGTCTAGGAAACTCACGGAGCCGTGCAGCGATAACATAGCGGACTATTCTTTCGCCTTTTACTAAAGAATACCGTGTTCTCTCTGCTCGTAAGCGGCATACGCCTATTTTTGGAAAGGGTTTGTAAAAATAAAAACCCTCCATCAATCTTTCAGTATGAAACTTTATAATAAATTTCAACAAATTTAAACTTTCCATAACACATTTTTTCCTGATAGTATGTTCCTCTCACAACTGACCATATTAAGTAGGATTATCTGATGATGTATATCGACATATATGGACTTGTCTTTTGTCCCGCACCGTTGGATTATCTTGTGAGGGTTAATTCGGCTCAACGGAAAGCATGGTCATCATCTGATGGCATGACTCCTTGGTTTTGGTGCTAATGGAAATGTCTTCAAGCCCGGATGAGTTGAAAATTAATAACATACAAAACTCAGAACAGAGCAAATTAAATGAGCCGACCAAGACTGAAGTGATATTGTGATAAAAGAAAAGCTAGGGCAAACAAAAACATACATCTCTACCTTTTGGGTAACTTCTAGTGAAATCTGCGAATATAAGTTTTATAGAAACATAGTACTATTACGAGTAGTCAAGTTATCGGGTTACTCTCTATAATTATATATGGTATAAATTAGGTTATACATTATTAGAGTTCGGAGGTTGAACATTTGTCTCTCGTTACAAACTTCTCTTCAAGTGAAAACCTTAAGAGTCCTTACAACCATAAACACTTTTGTTAAGCCAATCTAAGTCCTTAATCTAAGTCCTCTTAGGCCAAAGCTTGTCTTGAGCCTTTGAGAATTTCTGCAAGGGTTATCTCTGCGGTAAAACCCTACAAATTTGTAGTCCAATATTTTTAAAAATAGAGAATTGTGGCATTTTTTTCTGAAACTTCAAATTTGTAAAACATGTATAAGAGCCTATAGCAAGTTAACCTTATTGGTAGAAGGCCTAACCAAGTGCTCTTAAAACCAGACGACCTACAAGTAAGATGAACCGAAGGTGAAAACAGTAAAAGTTACTAATGAATATAACTACAAATATCGTGGAGTGTTTCAATTTATCAATTGGATTTCTCTATCTTGGTCTATATGAACTCTTGTGTCTTTTCATCCTTCGCCAAGACAAAAAAAAACATAGGAATAGAGACAAATGTTATGTACACATGTGTACGTTTAGTGCCCACTTAGCAACAAAGGGCTTGTTTTCTTTGTTCTTACTCTATGTTTTGTAAAGATCCTAACGTTAGTATCCCACATCGATTGTATCAACACAAATCTAACACTATATTTACGTCCTAGGAACAATTATTGTTCATCACTTCAAGGTATCTTGATAAATTTGGAACTATACAGAGAAGATTAGCATAGTTTCTGCGCAAGGATGACATGCACTTTTAGAAAATATATTCAACAAAAAATTCTCCAAATTTTTTTTAGAAAATATATTCAAACAACTAGAAGATTTCGTGTTGATTTTGTTGCAAGTTTTTTTTTTCTTTTTAACGAGAGTTTTTGTGTTGATTTCACTAAGTACTTTTGTAATCAAGAATCATACTAGTAGTTTTATATTTGTATCTTCGATCTTAGTATCTTGTAGATCTATACTTTCTTATTCCATGGTTTCATAGAGGCTGTGATGAAGAATCCACGTTTCATAAAAGTTCAATTTATCTCCTCTCTACCGATTTCTTGTCATGCAAGACAGTCAGCTACGCGCATTTGTGTCAAACAATCAAAACCACGGTTATAAACTTATACGTTATGATCTGAACTTGCTTGTCTACAAATCACCAAATCACAAATAATAGCTAAGTTTTTCTCTTTTTTTTTTTCCCTGTGAACCATGAACAGTTCAAAGGCTAATTTTCCCATGGGCAACATTGAGGGACCGAATAGTCGAATACAGCAATAATTTATTGGTACTGCAATAAATAAAAAATTTCTTAAAATAAGATAAGTCTATATATACAAAAATAAAGCTAATGTTCCCAAAATAAGATAAACACAGATGTAAAGAATGATATTTATAAAGATCTTTTTTTTTAAGAATATTCTAGAATTTTTTTAATCCTTAGACCATTTCCATCAGTCTGAACCCCAAAAAGAGGTTCTTAAAATTAAAATATTATTATTTTAATATAATTTAATTATTTGATTTAATTTTGATTTATCAAAAAGATAAACCAATAAAAATTAGACAGCTGTACAAACTCTCTTACATGAGGTTTTTAGAGCACCTTCATTAAAAATTTATGGCACAAAAACGTATGAATTTAGATTAAAAAATAAATAAAAAATGGCTCAAAAGTTAACAACCGATTGTTAGCTAACATACCCAAGTGTGGAGTTGTTAGAGCACCTCCAATGGAGAGTGCTTAGAAGATGCTTAAGGTATAAATAGATTAAAAATAAATCATTAATGGGTGAATTAGCTTAGCATCGATGCTTATATTAGTATTTTAAGCAACCTTAAGCATCGACTATGTAGTCGATTTTCATTGGTCAGCTTTTTTAATTTTTTTTTCTTTTTTTTCACGTTTTTATCCTCTCTCTCTCTCTTCTTCACGGGAACAAAATTTCCCAAACTGTTTTTGTTCTCCTTCGATTCTTTTGATTCTGAGATTACCCAAGAACTTCTTCATGCATGTTTACACGAAAATCTTCATTGCTTCGATGGGAGATTGTTCTGAGATTTTCTGGGCTAAAAAGAGATGGTGGAAGACAAAACAGGTATTGGGTTAGATGAATTGATTAGAATCGATTCTTCTGAATTTGTTAGATGAATTGGGTTTAAACAGAGAAATATATCACAAACGAAATTGATTGTGTGTGATTTATCCGGATTATTCGGATTGATTTAAGACTGATGAATGGCATCGTTTCTTCTCAGGCTCAGGCGGAATCACCAGGAAATTGTTCTTCCAATGATTTGATTCTGCTTCCTTGATCTCTGAGGTAATGTTCTTCATCTGCTTTGAGTGTATAGTTCGATTGACAAAGATGGTTTATAGTTTTTTTTTTTGTGGACTCTTTGTTTGATCGTTTGTATGGTTTGATGGTTTGCTTGTTTGCTAGTTAGTTTGTTAACTCTTATTGTTTGCAACTGATGGTTTGTATGGTTTGATGGTTTGCTTGTTTGCTGGTTGTATGGTTAGATAGTTTGTTAAATTGTTTGCAAGTGATGGGTTTGCTCTGTACAAGGCGAGCCATGGTTTGTTTTAGAGAATGGTTGAGTTTTGTGTTAGGTTTGAATTAGAATTTGTGATCAATGCTTGGTAGTGATCAATGTAGAGGTTAGGTGAAAGCATTAGTATGACACTGACTGCTAACCTTCTTCTCTTCTATCTTCTCCTTTGTTTTAAAGCCTCCATTAAAAGAGAGGAGTGCATTAACTCTTATTTCACAATTGGTGCTTTAATTCTCCGACTGAGAGGTGCATTAACCCTCTTCTCTTATATCGGTGCTTTAACTCAACTAAACCCAACTAAACTAACTGAACTAAACCTTCTTCTCTTCTATCTTCTCCTTTACTTCTCCATTGTCTTCATTAACTCAACCTAACCTCTTCCTTCTTATCTTTCCTTCTTTTTAAAACTAATTCAACTAAACCCAATTAAACTAACTGAACTAAACCTTCTTCTCTTCTATCTTCTCCTTTGTTTTAAAGCCTCCATTACAAGAGAGAGGTGCATTAACCCTCTTCTCTCATAACCGCAGCTCTCAGTATGCACACAAGTTTTCATTCTCTTTCATTCTCTCTTATTCTCTATCTTTAATCCTTCTTTTTCCTTATTCCTTCTCTCTTATTCTTTATCTTTTTTCTTATAATTCCTTATAATTTTAACAGCCAGCGAAGAACAATATGGATCCTATGAATCCATATAGTGAGTCTGGCTTCCTTGATCTCTTAAATAGTCAACAAAATCCACAAATGCAACCTGTAACACCAGCGAATGTTGAACCAACCATTCAACTCGGTGAGTCAGAAGCTTTTCTGTTTGAGAGTCAATGGACCGAAGCTCCAAGTGAAGATGAAAGCACAGTCAAAGAACCTAGAAAGTCAAGGAGAAAATGGAGTCCTTTAGAATATCTTGTCCTTATAAGTTCTTGGCTTAACACATCTAAGGATCCCATAGTGGGGAATGAGCAAAAAGCATAAGCTTTTTGGAGTAGGATTGCAACTTACTATGCATCAAGTCGCAAACTTGCTGGAATGGAGAAGAGGGTGCCGCAGCATTGCAAGAACAGGTGGGCCAAGATAAATGAGCAAGTCTGCAAATTTGTAGGTTGCTATGCTTCTGCAACCTCTCAGAAAACAAGTGGACAAAATGAAGATGATGTGTTGAAGCTTGCAAATCAGCTGTATTTGAATGATCACAAAGCCAAGTTCACCTTGGAAAATTGTTGGAGAGAGCTTAGAAATGATCCAAAATGGTGCCTTTCTAATGGTAGTGGACAGCCTAAAAGAAGAAGGACAGATGAAGATTCTCCAAGCTCACATGTTCATGTTGGATGTGAAGGGTTGCGGCGGCCAGAAGGTGTGAAGGCAGCAAAGGCAAAAGCCAAGAAAAATAGATCATAGGCTTCCAATAAGAAAGGGAAAACGAAGTTGATGTCTTGGAGTTCCAAAACTTGTTGGTGATTAGGAAATAAGATGAAGAACTGAAACAGAAAACAAGCAAATATAAGATGTTGGAGAATCTGCTTGGAAAACAAGAACCACTTAGCGAGTTAGAAGTAGAATTAAAGAATAAGCTCATCAAAGAATTGTTTAAGATGGCTAAGTGTTTGAGTCTTTGTTTAAGTTTATGTTTAAGTCTTTGTATGAGTCTTCGGTTAAGTGTTTGAGTCGTCGGTTAAGTATTTGTTTGTAGTCTTTGTTTGAGTCTTTATTTAAGTGTTTCTTTGTAGTTCAATGCTATGTATGGGAAAACATGGTCCTCTTTGTTACTATTTTAATGGATCAGAAAGTTAGTCATGTTTAAGAAAAGTTAATCACTATGAAGTTTCTCCTATATAATTTTTTGTTGTTTGTTTTGATGCAGGACACAAAAATCAGATATGACTCAAACAAGTTGTGGATGAGAGAAGACCGATATTTTGGCCGATAGCCATTATTGATCAATGGTGGAGATTGTTGGGCCACATATTTATATGGGAGCCACATAGTTTGTTTTTTTCATCGGTTATGTCTTTTTTAAAAAAAAAATTGTATTCTATGGACTTGTAATTTAGTGCCGACATGAATTTTGGAATTTATGTTTTCTATTGTAAACCACATAATTTGCAAGGCAGAAACTCATTCATTTTTGCTTATATGAACCACTTCCTTCTTTATTTACATATCACTTCTCTCATTCTACAAACATATCACTCTTTTTCCTTTCCTTCACTTCTCTCCGATTACCTTTTTAATTTTCTAAAAAAAACTTTAATCCAAAATGGCTGGATCTTCCCATAATAATTTGGAGGAAATGTTGGATGAAAGATTTGATAACCTTTTCAATCAAGCGTTTGAAAATCTTGTCATGAATCATGGTGATCGCCCAAATGCAACAACAACAAAAAAGAAGATACATTGACAGAGATTGGGAACAAGGCCACATCCGCTTGTGGAACGACTACTTCCAAGAAGATGCAACATATCCAGCCCATATATTCCGTCGTCGTTTCAGAATGAACAAACATTTGTTCATGCGTATTGTTGATAGCCTCTCTACTCAAATTTCATTCTTTCAACAAAGAAGAGATGCTACCGGAAGACCCGGTCTAAGTGCACTACAAAAATGTACGGCAGCCATTCGTATGATGGCATATGGTTGTGTGGCTGATGCGGTTGATGAATACCTCCGGCCTGGTGAAAGCACCGCGATTTCTTGCTTGGAAAATTTTGTTGAAGGAATCATATATTTGTTTGGAGCTGAATACCTAAGAAGACCCACACCAGAAGATCTTCAAAAACTTCTTGATAAGGAAGATGAACGCGGATTTCCCGGGATGATAGGAAGCATTGATTGTATGCACTGGGAGTGGAAAAATTGTCCAACCGCTTGGAAAGGGCAATACACACGTGGATCTGGCAAACCATCAATCGTTTTAGAGACTGTAGCTTCATATGATCTTTGGATATGGCATGCATTTTTTGGACCTCCAGGTACATTAAATGATATTAATGTTCTTGATCGCTCACCGGTTTTTGATGACATATTACAAGGTAAAGCTCCAAAAGTGAAATACTTTGTCAACGGACGACGATATAATTTGGCATACTATCTCACGGATGGAATTTATCCTGACTGGGCTACATTTATCCAATCTATTCAAATGCCTGAAAGTGAGAAAGCAATCTTATTTGCTCAACGTCAAGAAGCAGCCCGTAGTGCTTTTGGAGTTCTGCAAGCTCGTTTTGCTATTGTCAAAAACCCTGCTCTTATTTGGGATAAAGAAAAAATAGGCAAGATTATGCGAGTTTATGTAATTCTTCACAACATGATAGTAGAAGACGAACGAGCTGGATACACTCAGTATGATGTAGACTCATTCACACAACTAGAAGCAACCAGGACTTCACAAGTGGATTTAACGTACGTGACAGATAGGCCTACAAATATCGGAAATCTGATGGGAATTCGAAATTCAATTCGTGATCAAACAAAGCATGATCAATTGAAAGCAGATTTAGTAGAGCATCTATGGAACAAATTTGGCACAAATCCAAATTACGGTTTATGATTAGCATTTCTATGTTTTTTATGCTTTATGATTTACATTTCTATGTTTAATATGTTTCTTCAAATATAATGTATGCTGGATAATATAATCAATAACATAATTATTATTTCAAAAATACAAATTCAAACTAAAAAAAAAAAAATTTCGTAAGCACTCTTTTTTAAGCATCTCCCATTGGACCCTGAAAAAAAAAACATCATAAGAGAAGTGCTTAAACAACAATATTTCAAAAATACTAATTTAAAATTGGTTAAGCACCTCTTAAGAGTGCTTACCAATGGAGGTGCTCTTAGGCGACGTAATCGCTTGTGATTGGCCATATTTTATTTTATTTATTTATTTATTTTTTTAGTCAAAACTCCAATTTTACAAAAAAATAAAATATCCATAAAATATTTTTAACAACCCAAAAGAGGGGTTTACTGCTGGAGATGCTCTTAAATAACAACTTTAACAACCTTCTCTCAGAGCATGTCCATTGGAGTATGACATCACGTTTTGGGCCCAGTATCATAGGCAAATGATTTAAAAAAAAAAAAGCCCAAATGTTAACAACCCGTTTGCTATTTAGCAGACTTAATATCTCGTATGTTAAGACAGGTGGCTGATGCGGATTGGTTAAAAAAATATAGGGCTTTTTCCGAAAATTGCCCTTCTCTTTCACGACTTGTCATTTTTCGGACAAATCCCATTTTTTCTCTCTTCTGCGGTTTCTCTCGCAGCCATCGGCGATTTCACTCTGGTTCTCGATTCCGGCCCCGATTAAGTCAGTTTCAGCTAGGATTCGACAGGACAAGACTGCTCAAGGTAAGCCTGAACGCTATCTCTTCGATTTTTTGTTTGTTCGGTCGAAATTAGTAAATTAGGGTTTTGTAGATTTGGGGATTTTTAAAATTTCATGTTCGGATCGATTGAAAATGGCGTTTTAGGTTTGAAATCTGTGTGTTGTAGCAATTGATACAAATGAATAAATCCGATTTGATGGGTTTGTGGTAGTTTGCTTTTAGGGTTTCTGCGATTTGGGGAAATCGGTTTTCAAGTTAGGATCCATTGAAATTTGGCTTAGTGTGGTGTGTGCGGTTGTTCTTGGAAGTGATACAAGTTCGATGATGGCAATATGTGTTTGATCCCTGTACTTGGATAAAGTTGGTTGATATCGGTTTGTGTTCTCGAATTTTGATCACTTTACCTGATCTTGAATCAGCTGTAGTCACTTGATATCTGTTCATTTCGAAACTTTTGTATTAATGGTTTATCGTTGCAAATGTTTATGAGTTATGTGATGAATGAATATTGATTATCGATGTTTAAGTATTCATTGTTGAGTTTTGTGGTTTAGATATGTTTTGATATGAATGTATATATGGCTGTTCTGTCTGAATTAGATAAGGTTAGTTTAGTTGTTTATATTACATGCTCTGACTACATTGATATCTGTTTATGTCAGATAATGCCGAGTCTCCCAAGTGACACCTCTTCCGAACCTGAAGAGGACCTTAGCTGGGCATATGCGGATGCCACGTTTGGCATCGCAGAGAAATGCTTTTGTGGGCGACGAATGATATTGAAGTCAATGACCGGTGCAGGACCAAACTTACCAGGCCGCAAGTACTATACTTGCCCAGACTGGCTCGAAGAGGTAATGGACATAATGTGTTGTTTTATGTACTATTGTGTTTTTTATGTACTAATCTGTTGTTTTGTTTCTGATTAGGGGTCCCGCATTCATCATCACCGCTGGCAGTGGTGGGATGAGGCGGTAACCGAGCAGCTCTCCATTGTGGACTCGACGCTAAGAGAGCAGAAGGAGATGCTGACAAGGATGGGTCGGAGTCCGTTTGATCCAACCATTGGGGAGATAAACGCAGCGGTCAGAGTCCTCCAAGCAGAAGTGGGTAGACTTAAGGAACAAAATGCTAAACAATGTGAAGGGTTTGTCACCTTGTTTTTTATTTTTGTTATTGCAGTAATCTCGTACTTGTTTAAATAGGTGTAGCTTGGGTTTAACTATGTTCGACTGGTTAACTATGGTTTATTTTTCTCCATACGAGGAGTTAACTATGACAATCTTGTTAGATTGTCTTTATTTACGGTACTGGGACAACAAAACTTGTATTGGTATGTTATGGAGCTATGAAGCTATTATGATATGAAGTACTCTATTTAATGAGTTGGTTGATGTATTGATTGTTGTGTTTGGTTGATGTATTAAGTTAGTTTTAATGCTTTTTTGTGAGGTTAATGGTGGACCAATCGAAATAACCAAGTAAAGCTTCGGGTTCATCATTATGTTAAGGTCAGTTTTCTCTCTTCTTCGTTTGCTTTAGTAGTCCCTTAGGATTGTGATAAATGCTTGATGACTTTATTAGGTAAATGTCTTTCATATTAATGCTCGAAAATTTAGGGTTGGTTTGTAAAAAGTAAATGCTTTGTGTTAAGCCTCTTCTTTCTATCATATCATATCAATGCCATAGTTATTACTAAAACCTAAATTTCTTCTATATTTTAAAACTTCAAAGACTTAAACTTAAACTTCTTCTATATTTTAAAACTTCAAAAAGACTTAAACTTCAAAATCGTATCCATCTTCTTTCAAAACTTCAACTTCGACTTCTACTTCTAAACCCCAACCTGAAACTCACTCATTTATGGATATCCCTAACCCCTATCAAAATGGTGAAGGTTTTGTTAACCTCTTAACAAGCCAGCTAGTTAATGAGGTTAATGCACCAACTATCGACCTTCGAGCAGCCGACCTCCCACATTTCAGTTCACAAGTGTTTGGGGAACCAACTCAAGGAGGCAGGAATCAGGCGGAGCGAAGGAAATGGACGCCAAAGGAAGACCTGGTTTTGATCAGTGCCTGGTTGAATACAAGTAAGGACCCAGTGGTTGGTACTGACCAGAAAAATACAGCCTTCTGGAAACGGATCGTCGATTTGTTCAACTCGTGTCCAGATCTAGTTGGTCAGCCCAGAAGAGAGGTTAGCACCTGCAAGCAGAGATGGGGGCGGATCAATGACCATGTCTGCAAGTTTGTTGGGAGTTATCAAGTCGCCACGAAGGAGAAGAGCAGTGGCCAAAACGATAACGATGTCATGAAAGCTGCTCATGACATCTTCTATAACGACTATGAGATGAAGTTTACCCTAGAGCATGCATGGAGGGAGCTGCGTTATGATCAGAAGTGGTGCAATACGTCATCTACTAAAGACAACAACAAAAGAAGGAAGTGTGGGGAAGGTCCCGGTGAGTCACCAAGTACCCAACTTGATAACGACAACGATGATGTTTGTGAGGTTAGACCACCGGGTATTAAAGCCGCAAAGGCTAAAGCAAAGAGACCAACAGCTGGGAAGGAAGAAGGCAAGGCCGTAGGAGATTTTCAAACCTTGTGGGACATCAAGAAAGAAGAGATGGCATTGAAAGACAGGATCTCCAAACAGAGATTGCTTGAAAGCTTTCTAGCAAAGCCGGAGCCACTTTCGGAGAAAGAGCTTACATTTAAGAATAAGCTCCTTGATGAATTGCTTAATATGTAACGTTATTTTAAATTGCTTTATGTTGATGTTGGTGAGTCGTTGTTGTTTAAGTCAGTTTGTTTAAGTTTGCTCATGTACTACTCGGTTAACTCAGTAATGTGATTTGTATTATTTTGTCCTCTTTGATGCTATTTGCCATTTCGTTTGTTTGTATGATGCTATTTGGTATGGGTGTATTGAGTTTTCTTTAATTTTTGCTTTTTCAGGTCCTCAATGATGGTTAGGTGGAGTCACTTTATGTGGTTTACGTCGTTGTGTGACCAGAATATTATCAACTTGTGGTTGTCATGAAAGTATTTTGGAATTTAGCACTTTAGATTTCACGAGATTTTATTTTGTGGATGTAGAGTAATTGTATTTTTGTGCACTTTGCAAGTTGTAAAACCCGTGACTCAAATACTTCTCATTTATATAAAGTCTTTACTTCTTCACACTCTTCACCACATTCTCAAAACCACAAACTGAAAATCTCTTTCTAAACTGCGTTCTCTCATAAATTTTTTTTCTCTATATAGCAAACACAAACACCAAACTATGGCATCTTCCTCAAACAATGATTATGATGATGATTTTGAAGACGCGTTTGATGGGATATTTGATCAAAAATTTGACGAGGCTGTCCAAGAAGTTCTAGACCGTCAAACAAGAGCAAGGCAGAAGAAGAAGCGTGCATACATTGAAAGGGAACGCGAACAAGGCCACAACCGTCTGTGGAATGACTATTTCGCTGAAGATGCAACATACCATCATCATCTTTTCCGTCGCCGTTTTAGAATGAACAAGGACTTGTTCTTGCGCATTGTTCATCGCCTATCTACTGAAGTTCCATACTTCAACAAAGAAGAAATGCGGCTGGCAGATTTGGTCTTTGCGGATTACAAAAATGTACGGCAGCTATCCGTATGATGGCATACGGTTGTGCGGCTGACGCATTTGACGAATATCTTCGTCTAGGTGCAAGTACTGCGTTGTTATGTTTGGAAAACTTCACTGAAGGAATAATTAATTTGTTTGGTGATGAATACTTGAGAAGACCCACCCCAGCCGATCTCCAACGCCTCCTCGATGAAGGAGAATCACGGGGATTTCCCGGGATGATTGAAAGTATCGATTGTATGCATTGGGAGTGGAAGAATTGTCCAACCGCTTGGAAAGGACAATATACGCGTGGTGCTGGAAAACCGACAATCGTCTTAGAGGCAGTAGCATCCTACGATCTTTGGATCTGGCACGCGTTCTTTGGGCGTCCAGGTACCTTAAACGATATTAATGTACTTGATCGTTCACCTGTTTTTGATGACATATTACAAGGTCGAGCTCCAAAAGTGCACTACTGGGTTAACGGAAATGAATATCGTTTGGCGTATTACCTTACGGATGGCATTTATCCAAAATAGGCAACTTTCATCCAATCAATCCCACTTCCTCAAGATCCTAAATCTACGTTATTTGCTACACGTCAAGAGTCAGTTCGCAAAGACATCGAACGTGCTTTTGGAGTTCTGCAAGCTCGGTTTGCGATTATAAAAACCCCGGCTCTTTTCTGGGATAAAGAAAAAATTGGCAAGATTATGCGAGCGTCAATCATTTTGCACAATATGATTGTGGAAGACGAACGAGGTACCCACAGTTTAGTAGATACAACACAATTTGATCAAGTTGAAGGAACTAGAACTTCACATGTAGATATGACGTATTCTACAAATATGTCTACAAATCTCAACAATGTGATCAGCGATCGAATTCAAATCTGAAATGAAGTCCAGGATACGAGAATGCATCTTCGATTGAAAGCCGATTTAGTGGAACATATCTGGACCAAATTTGGTACTTTTGATATTTAAATAAATATGTTATGTATTTTAAATATCTATAGTATTTATGTTTATGTTTATGATTTTTTTTTGTAATGATTCTATTAATATGAAAGTTTAAATTACATAAAAAAAATTTTAATTTGCAAAAAAAAATTAATTTTTTATTCCTAACAACCGTTATCTCGAGTTCACTAATGGAAGCCCAAATCAACCTCAGTATCTTCACTGTTCACGTTTGCAAAAAGTAATATTATTTTTATGTTATCAACCCATTAGTAGTATGACTAATGGATATGCTCTCATTTTTTTTTTCTTAATTTTAAATTCTATTAACAAAAACTCTAATGGAGATGCTCTATGTGGTATTGTTTCCTTAACAACATTCTTAAATAGCTGTTGGAAAGCTAGTGTCTCCAGACATATTCCCTAAATTAATGGGAATTAATGGAAAATATCTAAAAAGCTTCATAAATCCTTCTTAAACAAAACATTAGTAGTTTTAGTGTATATCTCTACAAAATTTAATACTTTGGTAGAAATAGATATACAAAAGAAGTCTTTTTAGGAAAAAAAGAGAGAGAAAGAGAGAAAGAGCCAATAAGGAAAAAAAAATATATGTAAAAAGAAAGAGAAACTGTACTTAATTAGAATTAGAAATCCGAATCTCTATAAAAAGATAGAATCAACCCACCGCCTCAAGATATATATTACCGATTCTCACGTTCAAAAATTTTCACTTTCAAAAGTTTTTCTCTTGCACCGTACATACACATCATGGAAGCTATTCCCGAGATTACGTACCTAATGGAACACAATCCTGAACTTCAAGAAACTGGCGAGATGGTAATCCACACAACATTCAACGGTTTGGTCGACATGGACCCGACAGTAACCCAGTCGAGATTCTCATGTTCGTTACCTGCCACAGAATTCATCGAAGACGAGGCATCTCCTAAAACAAAAGAACTCTACAACTTCTTGACAGAAGAACTGAGAGTCGATGAATTTGATGCTATCACGCTACTGCAAAAACTCATTCAACTTGCAATCAGTTTAACTTCCTCGGTTGAATTTTGTGCACATTACGCTTTGACAATGTGGTTGACCCTTAACGTAGTTCCTTTAAATCAAGGATCAGACCTCGATGACTCTCCATTCGAAGAGGTGATTCGAGCTTCATTAGATGATTATGAGAGGAATATCGGGTTTAAACCCGCAAGCAAGTTAGGATTAGGGTCCTTGAGTACGAGAATATACAAGCGAAGACCAAAGACCATCTTAGTTTCCGACAGGAAGACAAAACGAAAGATCATCTTAGTTGGTGAAAGCAAGACAAAACGACGAAAGATCAGCTTAGTTTCTGAAAGCAAGACAAAACGACGAAAGATCAGCTTAGTTGCTGAAAGCAAGACAAAAAAACGAAAGATCAGCTTAGTTGCTGAAAGCAAGACAAAAAAACGAAAGATCAGCTTAGTTGCTGAAAGCAAGACTAAACGAAAGACCAGCTCAATGTCTAACCATTGCACAATTTGTTTAGAGGAGTTTAAAGAGGGGCAAGAAGTCGGGACTTTACCTTGTGGTCACGAGTTTGACAATAAGTGTATTGAGAAGTGGCTTAAGGTTGGCCATACTTGCCCATTGTGTCGGTATGAGTTACCATGTGAAGATGATGATGAATATTCTCATGCAAACCATGGTGTTCTAGCTAACTAAATTACATTCGTACTTATATTCTAACCCTTTTTTTTCTTTCATATCAATCCACAGTTTTGAAATTAATGACTAAGATGATGAATGGTATACCATTTGTTCAGATTACATGATTTCACTATTTTTTATTTTTACTATTCATAGGTGTATACTACTTATTCATGTTTTCTCGTCTTGAAAATATGATTTATGTAGTTTTTACATTAGTAATGTTTTTTTTTATTTTACGTTTTCACTTTTTGAAAAGTGAATCCGCTATAGACACTAATTATTCTACGCTATATAAACTTCAACTTTTTCTGCTAACATTATTCAACTATTTTATTATTCTTCTATTCATGTTACATACATCAATTATCTTGTTATTTTTCTATTCATGTTACATACATCAACTATTTTGTTATTTTTTTATTCATATCACATAAGTTACTAACTTTGAATCATTTTATATAATAAAATAACTGAAAACATTCTATTACTCTATCAATTCTTAATTAATTTCTTTTAATTCTTTCCATTGACAGTTATTGAGTTATTATATAATTATGAATATTGATCTGACTTACCAGTGAAGGTCTAATTAAATATTTATTCAACCAATACTTTCAGCTTAGTGGTTTGTGGTTTCTCTATATATTAGTGTTGTCGTCGTTTTACAACACATATTTAAATCCGATTCATGCATGTTTTAACAAAAAACTTAAATAAGAAGAATTGGAAGAAAAAAAACACTTTGACTATATATATGTTCGTGAGTTTAAAACCTTATCTCAAAAACTTTGAGAATTTTAAGCTAATAATAATGTTAATTTTCTTTTATCTTTCATTATAATGAGTGTTTTAAAATATATATTAGTCATAATTATTTTATTTATATGTATATTAAAAAAAAAGAATTGAAATATGGGTTTAGATTGTCATTGACCTTTATTCCTCTTAATTCTTTAGATTTTCTCGTGTCAACTTTTCTTTCTCCTTCACCAACATATAGTCAAAGTGTCTTTTTTCTTCCAATGATCCCTAGTTTTTAACCTAAATAATCTAAACGGGTAAAAACCCAAAGTGGAATTTCATCGAACGGTGAAATTTCTCTCATCATATATCATACTAAGAGTGATTTTGGATGATCTTTTACCTTCAATTTGCTTGTTTGCATCTCAAGTCGCTCTTTTTCCCGCAAAAGTAAGGTCGGCTCATCACTCATGGCATAAACAGAGTAGACAATGGACTAGGACGTAAACGTTTTTTGACATAATTTTCCATTAGATTTTTTTTTTGTTTACTTTTAAGAAATATGGCGCATTTTTTAAAAAATAGAGTAAGGCCTTTCATGGGTTTGAACCGGCCCTGATAACATGTAAATTCAAATGACTTGATGGACAGGTAAAAAACTTCTAACAACATATAAACTCGAAGAAGACACAAGATAAGAAAAGAAACAACGACTTAAAAGTTAAAACTGATACAAATACGACATATATGTGCTTGGTGATTTTGTGTGTTGGATGATAGATAATTTTAAATTTTGGAGCATGCGTCTTTGCACACATGTGAAAAAGTCTTTTTGACATTTGTTCTTACTTGTAGTTATGAAGAAAATGATCGTCAATAAATATCTCTATAACATGTCGTTAGTAAGAAATATATGCACATTTGTATATGATGATTGACAATTTAAGGTCTATGCTACAGTTAAATCCAAAATACAGAGTAATAAATAAAAAATTTCCAGCCATCATCACAATGTGTTTGTTATTAGTCTTCTAATTACGTTACTTTCTATCTTCCCTTAAGATGGCTTCTTAGAAACGCTGAGATTCCTGAAACCGCCGTGCAATATCACAACTACAAAGAAGAGTGAAAACAATCATCAATCATCAATGATAAGAGAGACTGTAAAGACGATAACTTAGATACGAATATGCGATTAGCTTACGTGTATAACTTATCGCAAGAACATACAACATAGCCATTTGAACATTCAAATACGTCAATAGACTCATTGTCGCTGCAAAAGCAAGCGACGAGCTCTGCTAAAATGATCCATTACCACACAAATTACGCATCAAGAGAAGATCTCTCTTGATTATTAACAAGCAAGTTGTCCCAAAAGTCACCAAAGCTAGATAACTTCTCAACTAAGCATCAACAAGGTTTAAGTCTGCAAATCAAAGAACAAGGAAGAAGAAACCTCAATCTGGATATTTACCGCATTGTGCGACACGGACTAAGATCCGTCGGATCACGGGATGGCGATCAAACTCCCATCTGTCACTGCAGAATCTGAGTAGCTCCCAAAAGGCTAAGCTCGTTACAAACCCTAGCAATGCTAATGGCATCTCACACCTACAAAATGCAATGTGAGTTATAAAGGCTGAAACTTTAGAATTGTTCTTCCCTGAATTTAATCAACCAATTAAGGGTTTTTGGTAGATTGATGCATACAGTGCGCAAGTGAAGACTAGCGTAATTCCTGGCGAATCGCTTGACATATTCATGGACTCTGTTTCTAGCTTGATGAGAAGACGAAGGGAACGAGTAAGAGTCATAGTCTCCGAGGAAACGTGTGGTAAATGGCTGCGTATCTCCGGAGAAATCCTCGGCTGCGAGCTTCGAGAAAGGATTGATTGTGAGAAGAGACAAGACAGCTAGGAGCTGAGTCGAGAGAGAAACGGAGCAGCCGATTATTGGTTCAGCGTCGGCGGAGGAAGATAGTGAGACGGCAGAAACGGCGGAGATACGGTGGTCAAGAAGATCGCCGGAGTCTTAAAGCCGTGATTCGAAAACAGAGACTGGTACGCTTAGGGAGGGAGGGGTAACAGAGATACCCATTTTCTTGTTTGTTTGTTCTTTGAGTATTTATAGGTTTTTTTCTTTTGAGGAAAGTTCCCATTTTTTTCCTATGAAAAAGTGTTTAAATTCGACAATTTAGAAAGAAAAAAAGTGTATTCGACAATTTGGAAAATTTCACGGAAGAAGACTGAAGAAGAGAGGAAAAAAAAGGAAAGAGATAAAGAAGTAAAAATGTCAGCTTGGAATATCATCAAGCACCTTCCGTGCAATTACTTTCAGAAGAATCTCTCCCGCCATATCCTCAGACCTCGCCGTCTCTTCTCAATCTCTTCATCTTCGTCTTTCCCTTCTGTTACTGAGTCTTTCGCCGCACCTTACCTCTCAGTTCGTATCCACTGTCCAAAACATGTCGTCGTATGTATCTCTCTCATTCTCAGTCATGCGCATCCTAAGTGAATAAGAGTACAAACGAGATTGAAATTTTGTTTCTTTTCATCTGGGTTTTATTAGGATCCATTCTCAGAGGCTTTGTTGTCTTTTGGAGCGAGCTCAGTAGCTGTAGATGAAGACATCGAAGAAGACGACGAAGATGCGGCTTCAGGGTCCTCCCTTGCTTCAAAAGAGGTGAAAATGTGAAAACTCTGTTGCTTGGTTTTCTTTCTTCAGCTCCATTTCAAATTGAAGCATCATAGGAACGAATTTGCTCTGTCCCAGGAAGCTTAGCTAAGTCTAAATGTTAGAAAATTTTGCCAAAAGAGAATGAGAACTTGTTCTGAACTGTTTATGTAACCTCCGGGGATCAAAAGTCGAGCTTTTGCGACGATTCTTCAGACATAACTCGCATGATTTAGTTCCTGGTTTCTTAAAGCTTGATCGGTCTGTGTTCTTGTAGTCTCATCAATCATTGCTTGTTCTTTGGGTTTATTTGCAGATATGTATAGAATCAATATTTCCAGTGAACGAAGAGGTGAAAATGTGCATTTCACAGGCTGCAAATTCGATAGGCTTGAAAGAGATACCGAAATTCAAAGTTGAAATGGGAGATGAACTTGACTGGATAACCAAAAACCAGGTGAGTTTTTGAGTTAACAGAGGAGGGAGCATGTCAGTAAATTGCTTTACGTTCTGTTTCATTCAAGAGATCAGAGATGTTGCATAGTTATGCTCAGAAACTCTCTCGACTCAATGACTAGATTTGTTTGGGGCAATCCTATTTGAAGCTATATCTTTTTGGTTCATATTTTGCAGGAATTGTTTCAGCCTGTTGAAATCGCCGAGAGACTTTGGATTGTACCTGAGTGGACATCTCCTCCTGTATGTACTATTAACCATTCAATCTGAAACTATTTCATCATACTGACAAAACCGTTGCACCCAGTTGGATTTTCGTTGTTGTTTTGCCTTAGTTGGCTTAACAAAGAGCGGTCCTAGCTACTGAATTTGCAGAATATGAATCACCATCTTTCACCATTCTTTGCAAGGTCGCTGAGGCAGTAAACATAATTCTGAACCCTGGATTTGCGTTTGGGACTGGAGAACATCCTACTACTAAGCTGTGTCTATTGCTTCTACAAAGTTTGATAAAAGGTGGAGAAGCGTTCCTCGACTATGGTACTGGTTCGGGAATACTTGCAATCGCAGCCCTCAAGGTAATCTCACGCCTTTTCTCAGTCTTTCACAAACCAATCGTTACAACATAATCATCTTCATCTTACTTCAAATCTTCATGTATCCTTTTGTGTCCTGTTCGTTTAAAAATTGCAGTTTGGTGCTGCATCATCTGTTGGTGTTGATATTGATCCAATGGCAATAAAATCTGCAAATCATAATGCAGCTCTGAACAACATTCAGCTGGAGAAACTGGAGCTGCACCTTGCTCCAAGTGAGAATAGCTCCTCTGGGAGAGAGATACAACTGCGAAAAGAACAGTTTGATGTGGTCATTGCAAACATTCTTTTGAACCCTGTTATGGAATTGGCGGATCATATCCTTTCATTCGCGAAACCCGGGGCAACCATTGGCATTTCTGGTATCCTCTCTGAACAGGTACATAAACAGCTATCTCTATCAACTCTCATTACAATTAGTTATGCATGGTTATAGCAAGCGAGCCACCTGCAAAGTCATTGGAATCGGAAGAAAAGATTGTAAACTGACTTATTCAATGCCGCTTTTGCAGCTTCCAAATGTAAAAGAACGGTACTCTCCCTTCTTGGAGAGCATTTCTGTATCCACAATAGGTGACTGGGTTTGCTTGAGCGGTACCAAGAAAAGGGAGTTTATTGAAAATTAATCACTTCTTCAGTGTTATATCAGAAATGAGGCAAATAACATAAAGCATTAGCAAAGAAATGGCAAAATGCCTAATGCTCAGCAAGTTTAGTCGTATGATTATCAGACAGTACAAACAAATCTGCCCTAGAGGAGTTGTGTAAGAGGAGGCGACAACTACAGATTATATGAAACTTAACGTACTCGTCATTGTTGTATTAAAAAGATTTCAAGTCTATGATAATTTAAAATTTGTGTTGTCAACAACTCTGGTAGCACTGTTAAAACAGCCATTGTGTTTGGATTCTACACAATACAAAAAAACAAAAATCTGTCGACATAGACTATTTTCATCTCGGTGCTTCACCTCCTGAGTTGTCTTCTTCCCAGAGAAGAAGTCTTCTTAGGAATGTAGACCTTGTAACTCACCTGAACAAAAAAAAAAATCAAAAGAAAAAAGGAAATGTTTTGCTTTAACAGAGACGTTTAGGCTCATATAAACTTCCCTAAAACTACAAGGAAATCAATATTTCTTTTTTCAAGCATTTAACTTTACCTGAACCAGTTCTCCACCCCTCATCACAGTCATTGTTTTCTTTTCATACTGTGACTCATCTTTTGTTTCATCAATTGTTTTCTGTTCTGACTGAGACCCTCTCTTGATTTCATCTGATTGCTCAGTCTCAGCATGAGAAGAAGAGCTAACTTTTGTTGGTTCTATGTTTTCACCTCCACTTTTTGTTGCCAGAGCCAGAGAACTTTCCAGACAATTCTTGTCAATGGTACTGCCATTGATGCTCTCTGCTTCAGCATCTTGGCAACTAGCGGCTTCTTTCCTGCTAGCCAGACTTACACTTTCTTGTCCCAATACCGGTCTAATCAACTTTCGTTTAGTTGTACAAGAGCTAACACCGAAACTAGATTTAACCTTGGCACTATCACCGGCCTGTTGATCCTGTTGAGAGGCAAAATCAGCCAACCCTGTTCCAGGTTCGTTGACACTAACAACTTGTAAAATCTTTTGTGAAGACTCAAGATCTTTGCCTTCCGCAGAAACACAGAGCTTCTGCTCCATGAGACCATCGTCTTGTGACTCTTCAACTTTTCCAGATTCAGTTTGCAGAGTTTCTTCTCCTTCTGAAACAGAAGACACTTCTTTTCTTGATATTCCATTCTTTTGGGTCTCTCCACGAAATCTTTTTAAATTCTCTAATGCTCTTTTCTTTAGAATGGCTTCCAGGTCATCATCCTTCAAACTATTGTCTGGATAAGAAGCTTTACTGGTTTCTGATCTGATATCATCCTCAAATTCATCAAAGCGAGCACTTTCAAGACCATTTTCATCACCACGAGTTCTATGATAAGAGATTCTAGCTTCACCATCTCTCTCATCAGATTCACCATCATGGCCACCCCCAAAGTCCTCCTTTCTATCATCATTATCATAAGCATATGACACAACAATAATCGATTTAAGCCTTCGAGAGTTCTTCTCAGTCGTAACTTCATCTTCCACTTGCCAGCATTCATCAGGTTCACTTTCTTCCTCTAACCCATCTTTACTTCTTCTCCGCAAATCCTTAAGCTTACCAAGTCTTCCTCTGTTCCTAGCTCTTCTCTTCCCATCACTCTCACTACCATCATCGCTATCCCGAGTTGAGTACGAATCACTACTAGTGTAACTTGAACTTGAATCTCTCTTACGTCTCTTTCTTGAGACAGCTCTCTTCTTCTTCTTCTTCTTCTTTGTCCCTACATGTTCGTCTTTCCTCTTAGACCTTTTCTTTTTCTTTAAATGACGAATATCATCATCATCATCATCGTCACTTTCGCTACTAGAATACCTCTTCCGTGACCTCTTCTTCTTGCTTACTTTAGACCGACGCTTCTCTCTCCTGTGATCATCTTCTGAACTAGAAGAATACAAAGAAGAATCTGAACCGCTTGATTCACTCTCATCTGAGTAGTCTTTAATCCGACGAATCTTCTTTGATTTGTTTCTCTTCGTCTTCTTCTTCTTCTTCACCGATCGCAACTGCACAATAACACATTCATGATTCATCAAACAACGACCCCTAATTCTTCATGTAACAAAAGGTCGATACTTTTCAAAAAATCATATTAAAAGTTTCGATTTTTTCCTCATTGACCTAATTTTATATAGATCGGAGATAATGGGTAAGTGAAAAATCAATTCAATTGTTATGAAAAAATCCCAGTCTTCTCGAAGCCACAAAGAAATAGAGAGTACCTTAGAGGAATCTTTAGAGCGTTTAATTTGCTTTGAGGACGATGCGGATTTGCCCATTGTGTATCGCTTTCTCTTCTCCAAATCTGTTCTTGCAGGAACCGCAAAGAAGAAAAGAGATCCAAAGACAAAAATAAGAATCGTTAGATTTGTGAAGACACTAAATGGGCCTCTCACTTGTTATGTAGATTGAATTTATCAATTCGATTCGAAGAGAAGGGGCAAAAAAGGAACCTTAGCTTTTCAAATTTTCCTAATTAGTACCAAACGGAAGAGGATGTTTCCTGTTCTCTTTAGTAATTAGAATTTAGAATGAATGAAAACATTCACACAATAAAGACGAGAAAAGAAAAGTAAAAAAAAAAACTTTTAAAAAATGGCAAAATGCTAATTCGATGTTCAATTTTTAGATTTGTACACTTAGACAACATGTTGACAAATTACACCTAAACAACACTAGTTTCAACCAGATTCATTATATGATCATTGATGTAAGGGTTGAAATAAACTTTACAAAAATCTTAATTTTTTTATTAATTTTCTTCACCTTTGAGAAAAATTATGTGGACAAAGATATTTATAGTTTATGTAATTCTGAGTTTGATAGCAAGATTGATTTGGTTCTTTAGTTTCAAAAAACCATTACTGATTTGGTTTGGATTTGTGACTGCCGCATAACAAATAAAAACAGTGATAACTGTAAAAACAAATTTTATTAATTCAACTGATCAAAGCCACTTGTTCAACACAAGTAAAACTAAAAACCAAGAGACCATGAAAAAGTATTTGAGACAATAAAACAACACAGAAGGTTCCATACACATTCTTCTATTGAACTCATTCTACAGATTTTTACACTAACAAGCTCTGATCTTGACAAACATTATTTCCCACACAACAAAAAAAAAGGTAAGAAACTAAAAAAGCTAACATTTCTAAGAATCTTCTGTGTCGCTTCGAGTATCGATGTAAACCTCGGTCGATAAATCGATTTCATCCACGATCCTTCCTCTGAAAAGAAAAAGACGATTTGCAATAAACCCCACTTTATGGTTGAAACTATTGATGGAACCAGAGAACTTTACAAATTACAAGAAAAGATGTTACCTTTCCAGAACAAATTTGCCTTCTTTATACTTCTGAGCTTTCTCATGCGCTGATTCCTACAAACAAGAAAGCAAACAATGTAAACAATGAGAAAACGCTCCCAAGAAGAGAAAGAGCAGGTTTAGGTGAGATTTTACGTATTTCCAGCCAACATTCTGTCCACAACAGCAGCAGAAGATATCAGCAACGGTGTGCATACCCGAAAGCATCATCCTTTCCTCTAGAGGACCCATGCTTATGTTCACTCTGAGATTCAAATTTAACTTGGAATCAGCTCTAAATATATCCAACTCCATTGCAAATAGCTTGCATCAGAGAAATAAGAAAAGGGTATTAATGCAGAGAGACTGAAAAGTACTTAGTTTTGAGTAATCAGCAAGATTCAGAAAATGTAAAAGCTCAGAGACAATTTTCATCTGTAAGTTTACATGGCTTATATGTTTTTACGTTGTATATACATTTGGTCAATAGTACAACCGATTTTGTCCTAGATGTATATTAAAATACTGATGGCAACAGAACACAAAAGCCTAGCATTGTTAAATAGACTTCTACGGCTTGACATTGAAGAAACAGAACAAATACATAATATATATCGAGGAACTTTGTACTTACGAACGATTGAAGAGGTAAGCCTTTCCTCTACGGCAATGGAACGACTGCGAAAATAGATCAGTTAAAATAAGGTTTAACACTCTCAATGGATAAGATCTAACACACTCAATGGATAAGATTTAAAGCAAAACAACAAAGCTAAAGAAACAAGCTAAACATTGCCTCAACTTCTCATATTTTAAATGATATTTGTTCTTCTAATAACACAAGATTTTAAGTAGAAGTAACACTAAGAATAAATTCAGCTTGAAATCTCGAACCCTTTTCCCATCCAGCGTTAATTCTCCAATATTTATACCTTATTAAAACCAAAAGAAAAGCACTAAATATGAGAATTTATATCAGTAACTAAACAATCCTTCATTATTTTTGGTAATTTATATCAATTCCCCAAAATTCTTCCCTGCAGTCTCAACATCAGGCATATTTTCTTAACAATCACAAGTTTACTCAGTGGTTTTTCAAATTTTTGAGGAAGAAATGAGGATCAAATTGCTAAACCAAGAATGAATTAATGTGCCTCCACACAAAATCCACTAAGAGAACAATTTTTTTATATAAATAGGAATCTAACAATCTCAGAGAGATGTTGAATGATTTTCATAATTTCAAGAAAGATGAGAACTTAAAAACATCTAGAAGTTTTGAAGGAACTAAAGTACCCGAGAAATAAGATCATCGGGAAGAGCGAGATGGGTTCTGCAAAACCTGCATCTGTAAGATCTTCCCTCAAGCTCCACCGTGAATATCCTCCCCATTCTTCAGTGTTCTCTCTCCTCTGTCTTTGTCTCTCTCTCTCTCTACTCTGTTTCTGCTCAGTCACTTAAGAGGCCATATCAGTGATGAGTTGGGCCTAAACTGGGCCTAATTCAAACTTCTGATCGCCGAGAAAAGTCTTAAGCTGCTTTTGTTGACCTTTCTTGTTATTATTATTGTATATCGGATGTCTTGTTACGAGCGCCGTCGACCATTTTGCTAACTTTGCATCTTGACATATCTGCAAAAACAAATTTCAGTTCTTTTGCTTCCTTCGTCTCAAAGATAATATCGTTTTGTTCTTTCTATACAAATGAAAAATTATTTAAATTTAAAATAGTTGTTTAGACTAAATGGACTTGTTTATTCTGTAATGACATTTCTCTGAAAAAATAATAATTAAACGATTTTAAATGAAAAAAAAAAGTACATCAGCATACAATTTTAGATAAAGACTTATATATAAGGAAACAGTTTCTACACTGCGTGTTACAGTACATCTAAAGAGATTAATGAAACACCTTCAAACTGTTTTACTAGTCTTCAATATCATACGTACGCCCACTAAGTAATCAATAAATCTTTTTGTTTACTTACATATAGATGTACAACTTTATCAATGATAAAAAATATATATTTTTTCTGGTGAAGAACAAGTTTGGAATGTTTTTTTTTTTTAACATTAACATGTTTATATAGTGTTGATCATCATTCTATTGGTAGCCCTAAATAAGCCATTAAAACTCAAATTTTATCATAAATATTACAATCAGTCAAGTACTATATAAAAACATGTACATGCAAATATATATCATCAAATCATCAGACCATTCATCAAGACCCGTATCCCTATGCTCACACACAGCTGTCTTTCTTCTCGAAAACGTCCAAACCCTAGCTTTTTTCACTTTACTCCCAATTTTTCAATCCCTTTATTTTCTCTTTTCCAGCTTTGAATTTCTCTCGTTTCTTCACGGTTTTTTTATCTGTTCCTAAATAGATGTTCCTAAATAGATGATGTTTTAGTATTTTCACACTTATTAAGAAGCAATAAATACATATTTTATTAATTACTTTTTGTTTTTTTTTAAAAAACTATTTTGCTATTTTCAATAAATATATAACCTTTATTCACACTTTTCAATACTATTTCAGAAATTTGATATTTTTACAACCAATGTAAATTAAGTATTTTTTAATTTATAAATAAAATAACATTAAATACTTCTAAAACATCATCTTTTGTGAAACAATATTAAATCTTAAAACATTATCTATTTAGGAACAGAGGGAGTACCATTTAACATTAAATACAGGAATGATATATCGTCCAAGACCAAGTTCCGATCCCGTACGACGCGTGGATTGCCATATCCATGCACCACGCCCACTCTCTCCACTCATTAGTACGTATACACACACTGCATGCATGCGATCGTATCACGTGCCCGTAACTTCGCGGGCCAATTCCATCGACGGTAGTGCATTTGCCACTTGGCACGATGTGGAGCATCCAATTTTGTCGGGACCACAACCACCATCATCATCGTCGGAGTTTGATGTTGTTTTATTTAAAATATAATTTTTCTTTTCTTTTCGTCCCTCTCAGGTTTTGTTATTTGCTGCGAAACATGCATATTGCCATGTACTTGTATTTGAATACTTATGGTTCTTGTAATTATTGCTTGATATAAATAGAAATTTGGAGAATATTCTTGGTGGGAAGATTACAAATACTTGAAATTAGTTTTAGTCCGACAAAACAACCCTTATATTTACCTCTTTATGTAGCTAAAGCAGTATTTCTGTATGTATGCAGATACCATATATATCATTGCACCAATACAACATATATAGTACATATATACATATATATATTGGAGATTCGTCGTTGATCAGCGCAATAATGGAAAATCAATGTACATATATTTTTATCATTTGAAAGTATATATGTTTCTACGAACAAAAGAAGTGTATATGTGTATAATTCATAATACCAATGAAGGCTCCAATTTGTAATAAGTGTCTATTGGATTTCTGCCAAGTTATTGCAATGGATGGGGCGAATTTGTCAACTCTCACAACAAAACCGTTTCATTATGTCCACCATTATAAGTTCTGGTTTGGAACGGTGCAGGAAAATTAACATTGTTTTAATTTGTCCATTCGAAACGAAAAATTTGGTCCAAAACAAATTGTTAAACAGTTGGCTCAAAATGATTAATTCGATCTAACCCATTGCAACAATTCAAAATATTGTAAATTGAAAAATTCTGTTGACACATCATTAATTTGAAGTGATATAATTGACGTAATTTTGATTTTAAGTTAATCAATTTCAGCCTTTTTAATCACGTGATAACTCTATTTTTGGGCGTAATGACGTACAAAGTCAGACGTCTTTTGAAAAAGCGAAGCAAAAATTAAATCTTGTAGTCATTAATTTCAGATCAGCAGCAAAAAAAAAAAGGTTTACTAGTTAAAAGAGTAGGCCAGCTGAAGTTACTGTACTCTTTAAACATATACACATGTACATATAGTGGATAATATTTGTCAGTTCATCAGGTAAGCTGATTTTTTTTGTGTAAACTAGCTGTTTTTTATTTCTTACATTATGTTGGTCAATTTTTTAGCCAAAACCATTTGCCTTAAAAAAATTTGGAGACATCTCGACAGATGTAACCAATGGAAGCTCAAAACGTTAAGCATACATGATACATATGTATATCCCTTGGCATCATGAAAATTTGCCATTTAGCGAGACGTATATGTGAGTCTGTGACCAAAAAAAATTGTCTTATGACTAGGAGTATAGGTTGATGATGTAACAAGAGAAATAATTGATGATGGTAATGATGATGATGATGATGGTGGTACGGTGTTAAAAACATACATATATATGAATATACAATGTGTATACACGTGAAATAAAAACGCATAATGGTAAGAAACAGAGGTATTATTAATTGTGTCTCTTTCTAAAAATAGAAACATGAAAGCCATCCTTCTGAAAGTGAGGTGGACTGTTGTACAAGACCTGAACTTGAGAGTGGTCCGTTCGTCAGCATGCGCATCATAGTCATCATCCCGTTTCAATAGCAACTACTTCTTCTTTGTGACTATTTAATATTTTGGTTTACTCCAAGAACGAAGTATTTTAATTAAGTAATTAACAACATCCGAATTGATATTATATTTAATTAAGCCAAACCCAACATTGCTAGATGAAAATGACTGTAGCAAGTAAATACACCTAACTGAAGCTAGTTTTTCAGTTTTGATTGATAGACTGATTAAACCTGTGGATTATAAAATTACTTAGTTTAACAATGTGAAACTTTGTGAGTTTGTGTAAAGGTAAACGGCTGAAGCTATATTTGGCACCATACCTTTTACAAGTCAACATTAGCTAGAACAAACAAGTCTACATACACGTGTTACATTCAAGCATCTTTAATTGCATAAATTATTAGCCACATGTTACCTAATTATGGCAATCATCAAAACTCGGCGACCAACAATATTCTTTTATCATCGAAGATTCGGAATATAGTTCAATTCTGGAAACCTAGATATAACCGCCAAATCAAATCTGCAATAGCGCTTCAAGATGAAAACTAATGTACAAAAAGGCGACGGATTACTTAAATCCATTATGTCGGGTAATAATACGATTGACACAACTTTTTCACTGTCAAATATTATGGGAAATATTAAAATACGTTAAGCCATAAAAACTACAACATAATGATAACCATTACATAACGACGTTAAAGTTTAACTTATACATAACGTTTAATTAATAGTCCGGAAAACACTTATCTTGTGCACCTTATAATAAAACTAACACAGCCGGATACACTTAAAACTACATAATTAAACGATAACATGAACCTAGCTAGGGGCATTATTAAGCTCCTTGATACACACTTAGAAATATCCTAGAAAATAAAATAAAACCCTAATGGGAACAAAATTATTAGTTAACGCATCTTCTTGTAATTAGTAGTTCCATACGCAGTCAAGTCCACCATTAAGCAGACCGGCCTTGTTTTCGGTCTCTTCCGCCGCAGTCTGCAGCCAGTAATTCATTCCAGGGCCACCGTGAGAAGAAGTCAGATTCACGGAGGAGGTCATGGTCGATGCAGAAGACGATCCAAAGTAAGGTAAGTTATTGAAGTTATCTTGGAACGACCTAAGGTTAGATAGAGCCGAGACGTTTCTAGAGACGAAACGAGGAAAAGGGTCAAACCCTGACGACGCATCAAACGAAGGCGGTAGAAGATGGTTGAATGAGTCAACGTTAACATCTAAGCCCAAGGCAGTAGAAGTAGTGGCAGTGGAGAAACAGGACACGTGCTCGGTTAATGCGGTGGCTGTGGCGGTTGTGTTGGTGCTACGGCCGTCGTATGAGCAGCTGCTATCGGTGTAGCCGAGGGTTGTGGTGTGGTCAAGGAGAGGAGGGAGTGAGACGGAGGATGGAGAGCTTGGTTGCCCTCGGTAGTTTCTCGAGATGTTTGAGGGTACTTTCGTCTTTTTAGACCCACTGCTTACGCTAACACTAGCTCCTCCTCCTCCTGCTGAGGCTCCGGTATTGGCTAAACCGGTTTTCTTGAAAACCCTAGAGATCACCCATTCGTCCTGAGGGAATAAATTGAAATTTGTAAATATTTATGTAATGTTGAGAAAGTCAATGTTAGATCTTGGAGATAATGAGAGTGAAGATTAAAAAAAACCATGGTGAAAAAGCTTGCATAGAGAGAATGTACATTGGTTACTGCAATGAATATGAAAAACTTAAGTGAATTTAATAAATAAAAAATTACTGAGATTTTCATTAAAGATTTCTAGGTCAGAAAATCCTGGAGATGGGTTCACATTGGATTTGGGTTTAGCATAGAGATTTCCAAAAGTAGGGAAAGCTAAGATGGGAGAGAAAGTATTATTTTGTATGATCAAAACTACTAATAATTCTTACTTTAGGAAACCACCATTCTAATTGAAATCCCAATAAATAAAAACACCAGATCTTTTCTATTTTATGATCTATGATGCTCTCACTATAACCCTAATAAATAGCCATGCTTTTTCAGCCATCAATATTTAATGCAGAAAAAGGCAAAACAAAAACTCAACGTCACCGACTATGTCACTCTTGAACAAAAAAAATGGAAAGACTAAAGCTTATCATTCAAAGGAAAAACAGGATTTAAATATATTTAATACACGGAGCACAAAAATATATATATATATATATATATGTATTTAAAATACCTTTGAGCTTCTGGAGATGAAATGGTAAGAGAATTTGCCTTCAAGACGGTATTCATGCATAACCCAATTACTCTTCTCTCCTTTTGGAGCTCTTCCTTTGTAGAAGACAAGAGTCTTCTTCATCCCAACAAGTGCACATGTCTTTGAACTATAAATCTCTCTGTCTTTTCCTGTAGCTTTCCAGTAACCAGCCTCCGTTGCTCTGTTCGTTCTCAGTCCTGTCGGATATTTCCGGTCACGGAGGCTAAAAAAGTACCATTCTTTCTCTCCCATCTTAGCTTTCCCTAAAATACATGAAAAGTAAGAGACTTTCAGAACCTTGATTACAACAAGTATATGTAAATTTAGTTTTAGTTGGTTTGTGTTTTTTTATTACCGGGAAGTTGCCAAGGCTCGCACTTGTTGAGATCAACTTCTGCGATGGCACGGCTTGAGAAGCAACCGTCGAGGACCTTGCGGAGGAGGTAGTGAGTGATGAGCTCTTCGTCGGTCGGATGAAACCTGAAACCCGGCGGAAGATATTGGCTGTCTCCGCCGTGGTCGTAGTGGTAATATGGAATGTCCATGAAGAAAAGATCTTAAACTTTTTTGGAAAAGAGAAATATTAAACCCTAAGGAGCCTCAAAATGTTTTGGAGAGGAGAATGCATAAACATATGAATATAATGGATGGTTCTTGAGTAAGGACGTGGTTATATTGTGGATGGATATTGTTTATTTTGTTTATTTTTGTACATTGGGATTTGATAAATTAAAAACGGCGAAATAGAGGAAACTTTTTTTATATTGTAGTTAAAGTAAAGTAAATAAAAAGTCGTAGAGATAATAATTATAATAAAAAAGACAGGTACGTCTACTCTTTCATAGGAATCTGTGGTTTTCTCTGCCTTGTCTTGTAGTAAAGAGAGCAAAGCCAAAGCAGATTATTACATCATTATTTGTGTTTATCGATATATTTTGTTTTTATAGACTCGAGATTTTAATTTATAAAACGGAATTTAAATTAATCATGAAACGTCCGTATTTTTTCCTCATTAAATTATTAAAGAAACGAGGAATGGGCTCTTGTTATTATCTGAGTATGCGTGCGTGCATGAGAAAAAGTGCAGTGGTATTCTCTGTCAGTGATGAAAATAAAAGTGGATGCAGATTGTTTTTTTTATTTATTTATTAATCTTTTTATTTTGTCTACAATCTTGATTTTTTTTTATTATTATGCGTTTGGGATACATTATTATTTATTGTACATACAACGACTAATCGAAATAATAGTATTATAGTAATGGACACATTATTAGACATATACACTAGTTATTTGGAAAACGAAGAGTTTCCATTATATTTTTAACAAAAAAATGGATATTATATCGATAAGGCTGTTTCAAATCTTGGAGTGTCAGTACAGTACATGATTAATTTATCAAAAAAATTGACAGAGACTTCGTTACTACACGCCACCACCTTCTCCACCTTTCACCTCTCTCTCTCACTATCTTTTTTTATCTTGATTTTGTTTTCATTTTTTGGGTCTTGTGATGAGTTTTTTAATTATGTTTAGGGCTTCAAGTTTGTAGGATCAGCAAGATAGGATCAAATTCCATTTTTGAGTTATATGAATTTTGTCATTGCAGCGTGATTTATGATTTAAGATTGAACAGTAATTGAATCAAACAGTAACAGACTTACATGTATACCAATTACCACATCAAAAATGATGCAGCCTTTTTTTTAGAGTTTTCTTAATTATATATATATATATATATATATATATATATATATATTTTGTTTGGTTATACTAATAGTTTTCGTAGAATATTCTATATGTACATTTTAATGGTAGTGATCAAAATACAATACATCACATTTTCATTTGGTTGGATTTTGTTAGATGCATACTTATAAATATTATTGAAATATTACTGATTCAATTAGTTTCTATTATGCATCTAAGGAAGTGGCAATGGATTGCATGTTAAAGAAAAGTTTTGCTAAAAAAAATAAAGTTGAGCTCAAACAAAATGGCGAAAATTTAACTACTTCTGTTCTTTTTTGTTAACATTTTTACACCATCAACCTCAACGCGTGGATAGTCTAAAGATAAATTAACGTTCGACCAACCAAACCGTAATATGTTGCGACTAAGGGCATTTCCAACCTACCTCTATTAGATTATGTTTTAACCCACCTCTATTTTCACTTCTAAAATAGAAATTGCTATTTTTTCTCCAAATATAGAGGAATTCTATTTTTCCCTCTATAATAGAGATGAACTTTTTTATTTGTAAAATAATCCTTTAACTTTTAAATTTTTTTATTTATGCAAAAAGTATAATTTTTTTATGAATATAAATGTGATAATTTCGGTTATAGTTCAAAAAAACATATTGTATTGTTAAATATAAAAATTCTCAATGAAATTAAACTACAAAAAATAATTGCAAATTAAAAATACATAAAAATAAACGAAAATTAACAGCAATTTTTTTAATTTATGAATTTTAACTTTTAATATTATTATAATATGTTGAAATTTTCATAAAAAGTAACATAAGTGGGATTAATTTAAAAATTTTAGTAATCAAATGGTACTATCACTATAATTTATAAAAACTTTTATAAACAGTAAAATAAAAGATTAATTCACAAATTTTATTTATCAAAGTTAGTAGTATTATAATTTATGTAAGTTTTTATTAAAAAAAAATAAGTGAGGTAAATTCATAAACTTTATTAAGAAAAAGTGTTAAGAACAAATAACAAATAAAATATATTGAAAATATTCTTTTTTAGAGGGAAAAATAGAGGTAACTATTGGAGACAAATGCACCTCTATTTTAGAGTTTTTCTATTTTAGAAGAAAAAATAGAAGCATCGGAAATGGTCTAAGGGAGGAGATGTGATTATCTCAGTTCATATAATCGATTATCAATTGAATCTAGCTATAAAGAATATATATATATATATATCCAATTGCTTTTCAGAAAGTTTGAAAAGAGAAACTAAAAAAATTCCATCTCTTTATTCATCTTTTTCATACTTTCTGCTTTCACATGCAACACCATGTCTAAATCAAAATCTAAAGCTTCTAAAGCTATCATCCTCAGACTATAACAAACATTTTTTATCGTATGTAGAAAAGTCAGCTGGTAAACTTAATCGAAACGTTGACGTGGTTTCGATTGTTGAAAAAAAAACATTTACGTGGTTTCGAGATATGAAAAAGTTTTGTAATGCATGTGTAAAAGTAATAATTATACATTAAAATCATTATCAGAGACATGCTAATACTATTACACCTGCTACTACTGTTTCCCTAATATTTATTGCTGTCTAGAAATTTCAGGTCTATCTATATTTCTGTTTAGACATATATCAGCAAATGACAGTAACTAAATCTAATTAATAAGATCCTTTCATGTCTTAAATTAAACTAATATATTTATACATATACACAACATACTAAGTAAAATAGTACAAATATTAGGAGAACAAAAATTAATACCAAAAGGCAAAAGCTATATATGTGCAGATGCAATAGCATATTAGCATTAAAACTGTGATTTAAAGTATATTATCTAAGAAACTGAAAACACGCTTCATATCATGCGCCATAGTGCTAATTGTCTAAAATCGAGAACAAAGGTCCTAAAACTGAAATGCTCAGCTTGCAATATTGATATCGAATTTGGACAAATTCTTAAATTTGTTTTCGTATATTTTGAATTATTCCATTAAACACATATTTTTTCAAGTTGATTGTTTTCCTGAGCTTATTTTATTGTTTTGATTCTACCTAAAATATTCCATTAAAATAGAAGTGTAACAAGCCTGACTTTCAAATGCTCAAAAGTCAAAACGCGTAATTGGATTTGCATTTTTTCCACAGAAAAAAAAGTGCATACCATAAGTTTTTTTTTGTTTTTGAATATTTTCTGTTTTCTCTATCATTTATTACCAACATTTGATTGATTTTTAAAGAGGTGAGGCTAAGGGTATGGGGTTAAATTTTAATAAGTGCAAAAGCAAATGAACATGGCAATAATAAAAATATTTGACGTATGAAGGCCAATAATAAATAATGATAGCATAATAAATGCAGGGGGGTTAACACAGTATTTAGCAAACAGTAGAAATTCCCTGGTGACCTACTCAAATGAGTAAACTAATAGCCCAATCTATGTTTAATTTTGTATGTGGTCGATATATTTTTATCAAATAAAATAATTTGCAATAATGGTCTGAGAGAGGATCTTACTTCAGATAGTCTTTGCCAAAAACAAAAACCAAATTATTTGTTTTCTCGATGGTCAAGCTCAAGCTGTCGAAGAGTAGGTGATGAGAGTAGCAGGTGAGATAGAATTATGTCACTACATGAACTCGGTCTTCTGTAATGTCTATACTGTATAACTTAATTAAAATCTATATTATATTATTCGATGATATATGTAATAATTATACCAAATAACCTCAAACTTGTTGGACTTATTTTATTAAATAATCAAATAAGTACAGTTTTCGTTAAGGGATGCATATTAATGTCGTACGCATTGACAAAACTAATTTTATCTTATTAATAAAATTTAAGCATTTTTAACGTGTTATATGATTCATAATTACATGTTACGGACATATACACATATTACGCATATACTTTTAAATATATATAAAATATAATTGTTATTTCAAAAAGAAAAGAAAAAATACATAGGTCTACATGACTACATCATGGCTGGCTGTTCTGTATTTTATAATAAATTTAATCAAAAATATGATGTTTCGTCTAATAACCATGCTATTTGATTATTTCTGTTCAATCATGTATAAATAAATCAAATGAATATCATGGAATTGTAACACATAACAAGATGTTGACTATAAAAAAAATCATATGGTTAAGAAGCATTATTGTTCACAAACATCAATAAAATGCCTACATGTTACTATAGCTACATATTTCCAAAGTTCATAGTTACTTTGAATATTGGCCCATGAATTGACATATTCATTAGATTATTTCTGTAAATAAAATTTGTGGAGATATTTGTGATTCTCTTTTTTTTTACCCTTTAGATTTTTACTATAGTCTTGCGTTGGTGATTTCCTCTTGGTCCCCTTTGATAGCCTTACACCTAAAACCTCATAGCTGTTGATGCAACGTCTCTCTTTTTTCCTTTTCTTTTGTAAGTTGATGCAACACGTCTTCACTCTTCAAAACCATATACTACAAGTACAATCCCATATATACATTTCAATTATATGTATATTGTATAGAGAAATGCTATACGTACGCAGATAGCAGAATTTGCGTATTTTCCAATATTTTTACTTTCATTTCTTAAATTGCACATCTCCTACTACAAAGAAAAAAAAGCAGCAGGACTGAAGTTACTTACTTACTTGGATTGTATTGTCTATCGAGTAACGTCGAGTTCGTGGTCCTTTCTCTTGTTTATTTATCTTATTTAAGACTGCATGGAAATATATATTTGTTGACATCAGATTGCATGCTTATTTAACTTCAGATTAATCCGGTTTATTTTATCTGTAATAGACAAATAGTATAGAACTAGAATCAATATCGGAACCATTCCAAATATGGAGGCTAACCGGTACTTTTTCTGAAACTGCTCCGGGTTGCAGTATATCTTTAATTGGCTATACTTCTTTGCTTTTATTTCTTAAAATTAATTTTTTGTTTAACCTTTATATATAATTATGTAATGTTTCAAATATTGTAGGATGTACTTTATTTATGGGAAAATTCCTGAAAAATATACCAACTTATTTTTCTTTGGACGTTTAATACACAAACTATTTTGGTTGGATGAAATATACACAGATTATATAATAACTGAACTTTAATACACGATGTTTTGAATTCCGAAAGTTTGACACCGATTCTCTTAACCCCGTTAATCTGTTTAACAGATAATATTAACACCGTTTAGTTTTCAAAAACACCGTTTAAGGATAAAAAAAAACGTGGGTTTATTAAGAGAAAAAAGACACTAGATACCCTTCTACTTTTTTCCCCCAAATCAAACTAAAGAACCCTAATTTGAGTCTTCTCTCTCTCAACCTAAAATCGAAAATGGAAAGCCAAAATTCAGGGTCAGATGCGAACTCTCTCTGTCAGAGCTTTAACCAGAAGAATGATGGTCCTCTCTGTCACTGCAGCAGACCGACTTGGATGTCTAAATCATGGACAGACGAAAATCCGGGGAGAAGATTTTTCAAATGCAATGTTCATGGATTTTTGACTTGGGCAGATAAAGAGAAGCCAAATGGGTGGCAGAAGGTGAGTTTATTGGAAGCCCGAGATCAGATTCGTCGGCTAAAAGAAGAAATTAAAGATCTTAGAGAAGTGAAACAACAAGGTTTAAGTGCAACCACAGGTGACTCAGTCATGGTGAAATCGGAAACATGGAAGAAGAACTATGAAGAGATGAAGAAGCTTGAACACGAAGCTATGGCATCCAAAGAAAGGGAAAAATTGCTCCGCCAATTTGTGGTACTTTCGTGGGGTGGATTCATCATAGTTACGGCTATGATCATTAAAATGTCGAAGACTTAGCTTTGTAGTTTGAATGTTAAGTTGTTCCTTTCTGTTTGGTTTTAATGGTTTAAGTTGAACTCTTGTGTTGTTGTTTGGAATCCCTTGTAATGGTTTTTGTTTTGTTGAATGCATTGCCAGTGTTTTCTAATGCATCTGAAGCTTCACTAGAGGTGTAAAGGAAAGAAATGAACAAAAATTGAAAAAGAAACCAAACATAAGAACCATAACAGAGTGCATACATAGAAGCCATTACCGAGTGATACATGCTTAAAATAGCATTTTGTTCCAAAACAAGAGTGCATAAATATAAGTCATAACCGAAGAAGGCTGTTGCTTAAAACAGCATTCACCTCCAAAATAAGAGAATTAAGTCCAAAAACCACACCAAACAAAGATAGAGATGATCCTAAAAATGTTAAACCAAAGATAGAAATGATCCTACAACCAAGGAGCGCGAGGAGGTGGTTGTGATGATGAAGGAGCTCGAGTTGGTACTTGTGATGATGAAGGAGCTGGAAGAGGTGGTTGGGACGATGAAGGAGCTCGAGGTCGAGGTGCTTGCGATGTTGAAGGTGCTTGGCTTGTTGAAGGATATCGAGGAGGAGGTGCTCGTGGAGGTGGACCAGTCATATCAACTGCCCTTGATCCCCAAACGTCGAAGACCTGACCCGAAAATAGAGTAATGTAACACCCATAACCTCTAGGAATAGTAGGTTGACCACAACCTCGAGGACGGTTTCCACGGCCTCGCGGGCGACCTCTACCACGCCCACGGACTCCAGAATTTGCTGCAGGTGGAGCAGTTGAAGGCTGTTGTTCGGAAGAAGCTTGTGTAGACGTGGAAGCACCTGGTGTTGATTGGCTTGCAGCTCTCCTCCTTTTGGGTGCATTTTCGATGCTCCATGGATCAACCTAGGCAAAAACCAATAGAACCCATACACAGCTTGTCAAAATGAAATAGAACTATAAGTTCGATACATAAAACATACCACAGTAGTCTTCCGAGGTCTTCCTCTTTTCCGTTTAGGAGCTGTGTTAACTACAGGTGCATTCTTACAAGTCCCTATGTTATGGCCAGTTTGCTTGCAGTTGCTACAGGTCATAGTCCTTCCCCCTCTTGTGACTTTGGTAGGATTTGTAGAAGACTCATGTGCCTCTTTAATCCGATCATACTTTTTGGGTCGTCCAGGCATTCTTCTTTTCTCAGGGATTTGAATCGGATCTTTTCCTGTCTTTTCCCACATTCTATCTCCATTTACGGGCTTGATGTTGTCTTTGTAAGTATCTTGCCACTTTGATGTCAAGTAGTATGAATCCACAAAGCTGAAAAACAAAAAAACAAAATGCCTTGTAAATTCAGTTAACATATAAACAAAGCTGAAAACAAAAAACAAATAATACCAAACATTACTTACTCTTCTGGATCACGGTTATGTTCGGTGATGACATAAATGGCATGACGGCAAGGAATTCCGGTGAGATCCCATTTGTTACAAGCACAATGCTTGTCTGGAAGACACACCTCGTAGCTCTGATCATGCTCTAGCACCTCATACACGTTTTCACTACTTGTGATAACTGTGCAATACTTACTGTCTTGGCGGTTTTGCTTGAAGATCTCCATAATATTGGGTGGAAATTTAGTGGCACACTTCGAAGTCTTGACACGCCTCCGGGCTATACGCTTCATAGCTAACCTCCTTATCTCCTCAAGCATGTTTATGAGTGGCAATTTTCGAGCTTCTTTGATAGTTCGGTTGAAACTCTCGGACAAATTATTACAAACATCCTCACACCTGGCATGATTACCAAACCAAGCCCTCGACCAAGTCTTAGGATCTATTCGCTGAAGATCTTTAAATGCATCTTCATCAAAGGCCTTCAAAGCATCCATATTGTAGTTATGATCACCAACCGATGAGCTGTATGCTATTGCCCAAAAATAATCCTCATACTCATGTTGGCCGTAAACTTTCCTCCAGTTGGCATATATATGTCGAGCACAATGCCTATGTTCTGCATTTGGTAGGAGATCTACAACAGCATTGATCAGACCTTTTTGTTTGTCAGAGATCACCGTGAATCCATTCCCCACTCCCAAGTCAAGGTCAGTCTTCAATTTGTCAACGAACCACGCCCAAGAATCGTTATCCTCTACTCGAACAATAGCCCAAGCTATGGGATAGATTCTGTTATCAGCGTCTCTTCCGACTGCAGCCAAAATCTCGCCCTTCAACTCCCATTTCATAAACGACCCATCAAGCCCAATGATTGGTCGACAAGACCTTTTCCAACTATTTCTCAAATTTGCAAAGCAAATATAGAACCTATCGAAGACAGCCTTCCCATCAGCTCGCGGAAGAGTAACAATCTCTGTAGTTACACCCTCATTGCTTCTTCTAAGTTCTGCCTCATAATCCCACAACTTAGCAAATTTCTCCCTTTGAGTTTCGATTACAAAATTTAGAGCAATTCTTCTTGCCTTCTGACATATCCACTTGGATACATTGAGAGTATATCTCATCATGATCTCGTCTTTAATGTCTGTCCATTTCAGACCAGGCCTTCTCCTCGCTTCATCCTTGTATAACTTCCCAATTATCCCTTGTTTGAGCATCCGAGCTTTACTGCTCTTCATATGAGTATGTCCATCGACTTAACTCTTCACCATCCATTTCTTTATCGGCTTCTCGACTGAGCAATATATACGCCAGGGACATGTCTTATTCGTACATATTGCTCCTAACTTATTCTTCTCCCACCGACACAGAATGACGTCAAAGTTAGTTTTCAAGACATACCTTAGTAGTTGGTCTTTAAACTCTTCACCACTTCTGAAAGTCTGCATTAACCACAGGTAAGGTTCCTTCTCGTTACTGTATGAAGCTCTAGATTTCTGCGTTTCCTTTCTACTGAAATCTTCCCATTCATCGTCGGTATCCACAGCAGGTTCTGGTCTGTCAGCATCCTTACATTGTCTCTCCATTTCAGCTTCATCATCGAATGCAGACTCCACATCAGGTTGTCCGGTATTGTTGTATACTTCCCCGGCAGCTCCATCACCTTCACCAAACACTTCACCGACAGGTTCAAGCACTTCCACGATGGCTCCACTAAATCCACCAAACACTTCACCATCACCAACATCGTCTCTAAGCCTGATTTCTTTAAAAAACTCCTCAACCCTTGGATCATCTGCTCTTTCTTGCACAATTTCTTCTTCTGCTTCCTCAACACCAGCATTTTCATTTGCATTGTTGTTAACATCATCATCATCAGAATCAGACTCTTCTCTCTCATTTTCCTTATCATCAACGGCTTTGTTGTTAACATCATCATCATCAGAATCAGACTCTTCTCTCTCATTTTCCTTATCATCAACGGCTTGTAGAGCACCAGCATCACGCCCTTTTCTCTCATTTTGATCACTTTGCGGAAGTACCACTTGCTCGAGGAACAAATCAATTTCCCCTCCTTTCATAGCTACAGCACACATTTCTAGGATCTCTGCATCAGAACTGAGATAGAAGATAGCCTTACATGATTCCATTTCTGCCTCTGGGAGCTTGTACCAAACTTGTTCCACCGCACCACCTCCTAACCCGTGCTCTTCACAGAATTCTTCAAAAATCGACCATGTCATGTAATCTGGATCAACCACTAACCTTTTCTTCACGGATCCTCCCTCGTATGTCCACTTACTCTCACTCGAATGCATAAGTCCTCCATAGTACAGATTCACCTTGAAAGTGTCACTGCAACATTGAAGATAAAAGGGTAAATCAAAGCAAATTCATGCATCAATCTAAACCCTATAACAATATCGAACCAGAAAACACGCACACGACATCAAAAATCGATTTCCTACCTCATTGTCTCGAACTGTTCGTTTCACGACTTCAGGACTTCGTCTCTTCTCGGTTCTCTCTAAATCATATCGCGTCGACTTTGAATTCGTGGATGGATTTCGATAATGTGGATTAGGATTCGTAATTCGATTTGGGGAAAAATCGATTTCGGTTTCTAGGGTTCTTTAGTTTGATTTGGGGGAAAAAAGTAGAAGGGTATCTAGTGTCTTTTTTCTCTTAATAAACCCACATTTTTTTATCCTTAAACGGTGTTTTTGAAAACTAAACGGTGTTAATATTATCTGTTAAATAGATTAACGGGGTTAAGAGAATCGGTGTCAAACTTTCGGAATTCAAAACATTGTGTATTAAAGTTCAGTTATTATATAATCTGTGTATATTTTATCCAACCAAAATAGTTTGTGTATTAAACGTCCAAAGAAAAATAAGTCGGTGTATTTTTCAGGAATTTTCCCTTTATTTATCTAAAGGTGAGTTATATTTTTGTGCAAACACATGTGTTGAAAAAACAGTTAAGATTTACCGGATCGAGCCTTTATAACGGACTGAAATGGTTCGATGTTCATACATAATGGCTCTAAATGGCCGTATTTAACCTTATCGCCAGGCCCATTTATCCATTGGTCCACTGGCTGGTTTGAGACTTAACCAAATTAATTTGAGTGCTGTTATGAGTGAGTTTTCTTTTGTGACATAATCGACCGAAAATAAAACTTTATCAACTTCTTCAACTAACAAAAAAAATATCCTCGATTTAATTTTTTTCGGAAACTAGTATATAACACTATATCATAGTAAAAATCAAAACAAATAAATACCCTTATGATATAACATTGATTCGATGAGTTGTGATCTTCTTGATTCGGACAGCGATTAAGAGACGAATACGAATGGCAAAAATATTTTCGTATTTGGTACGTAGGAGAGGGAGAAGACAAATGGAGCTTACGAACCAAAAGTACGACACGTAAAGATTTAGAAGAAGACGTGTGGTGAATGTAATCTCATCTTCATAATTTTTTTTTTTTTTTGGTTTTATCTTCACATGCTTTGTCTTATCATACGTGTACATTTAATCAGTTCCAAAGTCCAAACCAACCATAATAAAATCTTTTAATCGTATAATATCTTATCTACCATAAACTTTACCAAAACAAAAAAATCCTTATCTACCATAAAGATAGTGAGGTCCATTGATTTTGGAAGAATAGTGAGTCTATTTCTCTTTTAAGGTTTTTGGTTTCAATTATATTCCCAACGGTCAGATAGAATTTTTTTTCTGACGCAAGGTTATGCTTAGGACATTCAGGGGCATGGCGACCAACAGGCTTGGTTTCTAAATCTTATCCATCCAGTCCACTCGATTGGTCCGACTGTGATCTACACTAGAATTAGATAGTTTGAATTAGGTTGTATTATTGGTTCATTTTAATTTGGATTAACGTTCTGTTTTTTCACAAGAACTATTACTATGTATAACATTAAATCCCCACTAAAATTATGATCAAATCGTTTCAAATCCACACGAAATCAAAGTTGAAATCTATATCACCACAAAATAAAAGTTCAAAACCCCAATCCCCATAAAATTTGATTTTTGTTGATTTACTATCTACCAATTAATATTTTAATTTGTTGAATATTCTTCCAAACCAGAAGTTTTGTACCACTTCTAAACTTTTTTTTGGTCGTCGGACTCACATTACAGCTATTTAACTTACAACTATAGTAGATTGCTAAGTGGTCATACCAATTTTTATCATGGCTTATAAGTTATACCTTAATACCCCACCATATCTGATATGTCCAACATGCGAGATTGATGTATCAAATCAAACATATTTTCCAGAATCTTCTAGTCATTTATCGAGTTTTTTACAGATTTTATGTTGTTTTAGAGGAAAACGAGCAATTTGGGTTTGCAACAGAGAGTTGAAAGTACATTGTACAAAAGTGTCGGTTGACAAAAAAAAAAGGTGCAAAAGCTTCATAAATTTATCATTCGTTGAAAGATTTTCCATTATTGAATCAACCTCAAATTCGGACACAAGACATCCACATTTTATTAACATTTTGTTTTTCCAATCGAGAGAATGGTGAATATCTCCAAACCACACTTCATTTTGGATTTTTTTTCTTTCTAATTGTCTTATTTACTTTTGTCAGTTTTATAAAAATAATTCTATCGGATATAATACCTAGTTTATTTTATATAATTATATTATTACAAATATAAACGATGATTATTCTTTTCTAATATTTGTAATAATATAAACTAGAGAGGAGGACTAGTTGTCTGTTTTTGTGTTATTACCTTATTTCAACCACTCCTCCTAATAATAATATTATTTATCAAAGAGAAAAAACGAGTGGTGGTAAAGTTGTTAACCACTTTATTTTCTTATTTCTTTCTGCAATCTGGCAAATCTCACTCTCAAGTCTCAACACATATTCATATCAATACAAAACCCCTTTCTTGTTGCGAGTTGCACCGAAAGACTCAACCAAAATTGTATCGAGAAAAAAATAATCAGAATTAAAGAAAAATGGAGAATGGAGGATCGACGACGACGACGAGCACAACAACAATCACGATTAAAGGGATTCTGAGTTTGTTAATGGAAAGCATCCCCGAGGAAGAAGAAGAAGGAGGAAGATGCGCCGCGAAGAGAGTTATATCGCTTGGAATGGGAGACCCAACTCTGTACTCGTGTTTCCGTACAACACAAGTCTCGCTTCAAGCTGTTTCAGATTCTCTTCTCTCCAACAAGTTCCATGGTTATGCTCCCACCGTTGGTCTTCCCCAAACTCGAAGGTTATTTTCGTCTTTTCCTTCTCTCTCTCTCTCGGTCTTTTTTAATTTATTTTTTAATTTAGTTTAATGGGAGACACAAACACTTGGTAATTATTATTATTTTTAAAAGACCTGTTAAAGTGTTAAAAAAGACCTGGACAGTTGACAAAATTAAAAACGACCTGGATTATCAATAAATGAATAATTATTTAAAAAATAAATTTGCTTTCCGAATCCGAGGTCATAAAATAGATTTTTTTTTTTTTTGGATTATTTAGGCTTTTAGTTTGTTTTTACACGGCCTAGGGATTGGAAAATTGAACCGAATCTTAATTTACGTGTTGATCTGATGATTAGATAGGCAAGAAAGAACCAAAAAAAATCTGAAACTTGAAATTGTTTTTCATAGAAAATCACATGAATGATAAATTTTCCTAGAAAATCATCTCTTGTCTGATTTTTTTTTTTTTTTTTTGACGTATCTCTTGTCTGAAATCTAAATACGAAAACAAACTGAATTGAAGTACTCATTCATTTTTTTGTGTGGACAAAACTATTCCTTCAATTTTCAGATTAGAGATTTTCGTTAAACAATTCTTGTCTTGAAGCTTTTGATTGCAAGGGAGTGTTTTAATTTCTGAATCTCTATAGAAAAGACAAAAAAAAAAGCAAACAATAAGATCATTTAACCAAAAGAAAAAAAAAACAATAAGATCAATCAAAACAGAGTAAAACTAACTTGCAAACCAAGTCTCACATTCTTGTGTAATAAAACAGGGCAATCGCAGAGTATCTGTCGCGTGATCTTCCATACAAACTATCGCAGGACGATGTGTTCATCACATCGGGATGCACGCAAGCAATTGATGTAGCATTGGCAATGTTGGCTCGTCCTAGGGCAAATATAATTCTTCCAAGACCTGGTTTCCCAATCTATGAACTTTGTGCTAAGTTTAGACATCTCGAGGTTCGCTACGTCGATCTTCTTCCAGAAAACGGATGGGAGATCGATCTTGATGCTGTCGAGAGTCTTGCAGACGAAAACACAGTTGCTTTGGTTGTTATAAACCCTGGTAACCCTTGCGGGAATGTCTATAGTTACCACCATTTGATGAAGGTTAGCTTTTGACGTTTGACATGAGTAAGAAAACAGAACCAATGTTGGTTGTTGTTTGGAGTTCGATGTATACAAATCTGTGTTTTCTTTTGTGTGTCTTTAGGTTGCGGAAACAGCGAAAAAACTAGGGTTTCTTGTGATTGCTGATGAAGTTTACGGTCATCTTGCTTTTGGGAGCAAACCATTTGTGCCAATGGGTGTGTTTGGATCAATAGTTCCTGTGCTTACTCTTGGATCTTTATCAAAGAGATGGATAGTTCCTGGTTGGCGGCTCGGGTGGTTCGTGACCACTGATCCTTCTGGCTCGTTTAAAGACCCAAAGGTTAGTGATCTCTTTCAAAATCGGCTATATAGAGAGCGTGAATAAACCATTAATTACTGGTTGAACTTGTTCATTTGGATCAGATCATCGAGCGGTTTAAGAAGTACTTTGATATTCTTGGTGGACCAGCCACATTCATTCAGGTATATTTATATTAGTTAGATTCAAAAATCAACTTCTATTGTTTCTGATGATCTTCAATATAATTGTTCTTGATTGTGTTCCATTAGGCTGCAGTTCCCACGATTCTGGAACAGACGGACGAATCATTCTTCAAGAAAACGTTGAACTCGTTGAAGAACTCTTCGGATATTTGCTATGAATGGATCAAGGAGATTCCTTGCATTGATTCCTCGCAGCAGCCAGAAGGATCCATGGCAATGATGGTGAGTATATAAAGAAATTTAGAATAATGTAGACATCATAAAAAGAAATGTTCTTAAGTTTAATTTCTGTATGCATTTTGTTTAGGTTAAGTTGAATCTCTCGTTACTCGAAGATGTAAGCGATGATATCGACTTCTGTTTCAAGCTAGCTAGAGAAGAGTCAGTCATTCTTCTTCCTGGTAAGGATATTGCATGCTTCAATCTCCTATCATGGATTTTTACATTTTAAGAGTCGTTTTTTTTTTTTTTTTTTTTTTTTTAATATATATATATTCTTTGTGTGTGGATGGATGTGGCTGAGCAGGGACTGCGGTGGGGCTAAAGAACTGGCTGAGGATAACCTTTGCGGCTGATGCATCTTCGATCGAAGAAGCTTTTAAAAGGATAAAATGTTTTTATCTTAGACATGCCAAGACTGAATCTCAACTCTATAGTTGATTTCTGATATCTGGTCTGGTCAAAATGTGATAACAGAAACAAATAAAGTTTAGTGTCTCTTTTCTATTTATAAGGTTTTTTCTTTCCATTTTATTTTTCTATTTATAGGTTTTGATATAAAACAAGCTTATTGTAATAAGGTCAACCCTAATTAAAAAAAAAAATATGTTGAAAAGAATATTTATAAACGTTTTTTACACAAATAGTTTTGAGCAGATATGTAAGTTTAAATAATTGTTGACGAAACGTGTGGAAAGCGTTATCGGAATGGGACCAAATATCAGAATGTACATGTACGTAAGACAGTGAATCAGTGATGTGAGAGAGATCTGAAGAGAGGTACCAAATCAGCATAACCAGAAAGGTGGATTTGGGGTTATCACTAAGAGCAGGTCCATCAAGGGGGTCGTCAAGTTTTTGGCACAGGTTCATAGGTACATTGTATTTAAAAAAAAAGAAAAAATGCTTAATTCTGATGAACCGATACTTCCCGTCAACCCTGACGAACCCGTATTCGAACCACGTGGTAGAAGCGAATTGGACGAAAAAATAGCGTAATTTTTCGTTTCTCTCTCTTCTCAATTTTCCCTTTCTCTCTCTTCTCGTTTTCTCGTTGTTCCTTCCACGACGAAGGATCCAAGGATCGAGCCACGGTGGAGTTTTAACTCCGCCATATCTTCTCCGTCACCACCGGCGTTCTTCAATTAAATCGAGTGATCTCCTTAATCCACCATCCATGGATCGAGCTTCGCTCCTCATCATCCTCTGTATATTTTTCGATCTGACCGCGGCTAATAAAACTCCAGATAAGCTCAATTTAGCAGTCGAATCGCCGATGATTTTCCCGCTCAGCTACTCCTCCCTTCCGCCGCGAGTCGAGGATCTCCGCCGCCGTCGTCTCCAACAATCTCAGCTCCCTAATGCTCACATGAAGCTCTACGACGACCTTTGTGCCAACGGGTTTGAATTTCGAATAATTAGATACTTGTTTGTAGAAGAAGATGATCTTCAGAAATTAACTCATGATGTGGTGAAATCAATTAGATTCAGTAGCGCTTTGATTAAGGTGTAAGGAGAGTATTGAGTTTGCTTTAGTTCTCCTCTTCGATGAGTTTATGCTTTGCTTATCTCTGATTAGGCGTGGAAATGGTTTTCAGGATCCAAAGTTTCAATGACTGATATGGTGTTAATGACTGATGTATTCGTTTCCCTGCAGGATCATTCTTTTTGTTATATTCTTCAACCAAGTGCTTGTTCTTCCAATATGAGTTTCTCCAGCGCTGCAGTTGGTTCAAGTTAGTATCTTCCTCTTTTTTTTTTTAGCTGCGTGCTGATTCGTTTTTGTGCAAGTTCAAAAGGAAAATATCATGAAAATAAAAAATAGCCCTTCCTGTGTTTGAAAGAGGTAGTGGTACTTGTTTGGGTGTTGTTGAGATTGTCACAACAACTCAGAAGATGAATTATAGGCCAGAAGTTGAGAATATCTGTAAAGCTCTCGAGGTTTCTCTCTTCCCTTGATTCTTTAGCATCATCCTTTATTACCATATTTTGTTTGTGCATTGTAGCCTAAAGAGGTTTCTATGTTTGTAGGCTGTTAATCTAAGGATTTCAACGAACCTGAAATCTCCAAGCAGAGAGGTTTGTAAAAAATGCTCTTCTAAACCAAATCAATTGTTAACACACACATAAACAATGACTTCCTGTCGCTAAACGTATGTATGTCCATTGTTTCAGTTTCTGCAGGTATATAACCATTTCTACCATGCCGCATTACCTGAGGTATCAGACTTTTTGACATCGGTGGGACTTGGCGTTGATATTATTGGAAGCGGTTAGAGGAGGAAGGAAGCTTTCTGTAGAGGTGGAACAAAGGATAATGTCTTCAGGTATCATGCTTGTGATATTCCTTGGATTGTTTCTCATTGTCAATGACACACTTAGTTTTGATTTCATCAAGGAAATGTTGTAGTTATCTCTAATTTTTTTACAAATACAAAAACAAAATTTGGTTACAAATACAAATAAATTTTGTTACTAAAATTAAATTTTCTAATTTTTTTATTTATTTATGTTGAACTTCATTTTGGGGTTCACTAATGGAACCTCAAAAAACCACAGGTTCTTCCCTAAACTTAAAACAAAAAAAAATAGTATTATAAGCTGATGAACCTCTAAGAAGGGTTTACTAATGGATATGGTCTAAGAGCAGCTCTATTAAAGATTTATGATAGGGATTTATGAGGGTATATTAGCACAAAAACATATGCAATTTTATTTTAAAATAAATTAAAAAGGCTCAAATGTCAACATACTGTCTCTTAATTGGCTGTAGAATTTTTTTTGTTTTTGATTGTAAAGCTCATTTTTCTCTAAAGTAACAGAAATATTAATAAAATAAAGTTAATAACTCCAATGGCAAGTTGACTGCTGGAGGTGCTCTAAAGAGTGAATTGGCCTAAAAAATGTTAAACTCATAACTTTCAATTGAAACAAAATAATTATATATCCTGTTCAAACTTTTAAGCTAGACTCCGTGCGAGTTACTGTTTTGAAATAAACTATAGAGGTAAGGATAGTAGTGGCTACAGAGATTAAATGGTAAATGTCGATGGTAGCATTGATAGAGTTACTGCTATTATTTTTTTTCGCAGTGATTCAGCAAAATGATTTAAGCCTTTAATGATAGATATTTACCATTCTTAGCGCTGGATTAACGCCAAAACAAAAATTGGCGCTAGAGGTTAATGTATGTACAACTGTCTTTACGCTTTTGAATCTGATGTTGGGAAAAACAAAACTCAAAACTACCACATAATTTTATGGTATATAATGTGCTAGTGAAACACTGAAACTTTTCTTAAAATTTTCTTTATCATCATTTGTGATCTAATTTTTTTTGTTTTCTGTCTTCGCCTCTTTAAGCATACATTATTAACAAATATAGGGTACTGTTATTTTTTATTAGAGTAGTTTAAAGATTATAATAGTAGTGGCCTAGTGGGCAAGGACAAGCCCATTCTGTTGGACATATCAGAATCTGTCAAGGCCCAGCATATGTGGTCGTAATTCGTATAAGATCGTTGTCTACAATATACAACAGGACGTATCTGAAAAAGATATAAAGTACTTAACTATTCTAATATTGAAATTCCAAACTGAAAATGAAAGAACTCGTAAAACAAGATGCATTGTCCCAAAAGGAACAAAATAAAGTTTATACTTTGTTTGTATATTATTTTGTTTAGATGATAATGTTATTAAATTTAAGTGGGTACGATACGACCAGACCACGTGAATACATGCATGTATTTGAGAAGAATACTTGTTAATCAACTAATTAATCAGAATATTTAATTTCTCTTAGTCCCAAATTCTTTCTTTTGAATAGTACAGTGGGTCCATAAAGAACAGTTAGTTGGGCCTTTGGACCCCAAAGCTTTGATTCCTGAATGACCCCCCTTCCAAATAAACGCCTCCTATCTCGTGTTAATCTTTTTATCCATTCAAAATACAAATGTAGAAATTTGAATTTGTTTTTCACTCAAAAATCATTCAACCATGAATTTTTTTGTTCTATCAATGCATTAGCAACTTTGACTATATAAGTTATGTCTTTGTATAGTCTTTTTCACTAGATTATTGGTTTTCAATTTATACTAATAAGTTAGTGTACTACTATAGAATTATATATGTTCAACCTATAAACTAACGAACTATTTGTTTCGAGTTAATTTTGTTTGCTTGTGGTTTACATAGAACACCTTCAATGTTTAAATGTTACCATATGCCTATATATATTACACACCCGTACGCACAACGTTGTACATAGCACCAGAAAGCAAAAAAAAAAAAAAAAGAGAGAGAAAAATGGAGAATTCTCTGAGTCAGAGCAGAAACAAGAAAAAGAGGCTAACGCAAGAGCAAGTTAGACAACTGGAGAAATGCTTCACGTTGAACAAGAAACTCGAGCCAGATCTCAAGCTTGAACTGTCGAACATGCTAGGTCTACCTCAGAGACAAGTCGCAGTCTGGTTTCAGAACAAGCGAGCCAGGTCCAAGACTCAGTCTCTAGAGCTCCAACACTGCAATCTCCAGTCCAAGCTCGAAGCAGCTCTCTCCGATAAGGCAAAGTTAGAACATCAAGTTCAGTATCTACAAGATGAGCTGAAGAGAGCGAGGAATCAGCTTGCTCTGTTCACGAATCAAGATTCTCCTGTGGAAAATTCTAATCTTGGTTCTTGTGAAGAGAGTCATGATGATCAAGTGGTGGTCTTCGACGAGCTTTACGCTTGTTTGATGAGCAATGGACATGGATCTTCACCAACCTCGTGGGTCTGATTCTGCTCTGACACAAAAATTGTTTCCAACATTCAATCATGTCTCCATTTTATCTTCATTTGATCGATTTCTTGTTGTCTGAATATATTTACAATCTGTAACTAAAGGAATTTACTAATACAGTTTGTGTGAAATACGAAAAGTGATGATTTTCTTTATTTCTTGTTAATGGTTATATAAATATTAGAATCAAGAATTAAATTGTTGAACAACAAGAGAAACCCACTACTACTTATGGTCTGGTTTCATATACCTTACTGATCACATCAAGCCATTTCATTCAAGATTTTGCAACTTGTACTAAACTCTGCAATGATTATACAAAACTTATTGGTGTAACCGGTCAATAATCCAGGACTAACCAGAATTTTCTACAGTTTGGTATATGTTTCCTCCTCAACAAATTCCCTAACTGGCTATCTTTGTCCATCACAGACATGTTCACATTGCTCAAGCTCTCCTTCGAGAAGTCTCCCGATTTTCCTTCTCTTTTCACTTCCACCAAAACCTCGAGTTCTTCGGTCATTAATCTAGTGTTGAGAGCCTGATAATCCAAATACGGAAGCAAGACTATTTGGCGATCACTCACCAGAGACTCCCACATTGATTCGAATCCGCAGTGGTTTACAAAGCAGCCTATTGATAGATGAGCCAATATCAATGGTTCACAAAGCAGCTTAATGACGGGTGAGCCACTCTCAGCGTCTGAGAAAAGGGTGAAAGACGATGCGGTCTGGAAGAGATTGAGATCTTCAAATTGCTTATGAGATTTCTTGGGGAGCAAGAAACTGACTCTATGAACTTTCTCAGCTAACTTGTTGGTTAGACGCAACTAGGCAAGTATGGAGTCATATGACCAAAAGCAAACCATGGAAACATGAAAGCATGAAACATTGACCCCATTTTTGTTTCCCAAGTTGTCGAACCACAAGAACATTTTTTTTGCCTACATGAGAGAACCAAAAGAAGAAGTTAGAAAAAGCGTTCGTTGTTTTTGATCTTCTTCTATTTGCTTAAATGTTCAGTGATTTAGATATTTTATTCCTCCACGGCTCCACAGGACACCCTTTTATGTATTTTGGAGACGGTGTATGTGAAGGGCTGTTTTAAGGTTAGTTGTAATCCTTTATGGAGAATCAGCAAAAAGTGACTGTAATTTTTTTTGTTTTGAATAATTAAGAAGTTTTGGGCTTAGGGTCGTACGTTCTCTCAAGGCCTAGTATGTATGTGTTATGGTTCCGTTTTAAGAGTCAGTCGAACCAACAATTTTTAGAATTAGTGGGTAAATTAGTTCTATGTTAATTGATTATTGAATTTTTTCTAATTGTGATTTAATATTCTTATTTTAGACCATGATCACATGTAGCTAGTGATATGTACAAGTATCGTCATTATGTCACCATCCAAATTCAAATCCAGTAGAATGCGTATATGTGAACAGAGTTAACAATTTTTTTTTTTTTTTGTAATTTTTACTATTGTTTTTAATTACTATATATTAGCTATATCAAGTTGTATCAACCGCTTCAAATCCAAATAATTGTTTATCAGATCTAGCGTATTCAAATATCTTGAAATTTAGGTATCCCTTTCATAGCTGATAGCCACTTGGCCCACTTCTACCTATCTAGATTTTTTGTTGTTGTTGATTAAACTTCCCCTGTCTTTCATAAAAGGCCGAACGGTAACATTGGTTTTGGCTGTCAATAGTTAATATAATGTTTGTTTTTACCTTAGTTTTTTTTTTCTTTCTAACAATGGTTGGTTATTACCTTAAGTTAATTCATACATATAAATTGTTATTTTACATTACTGTTTTCTAAATTGAAGTAAAAATTAATTATAAGATTAATAAAGAGTCTCTACTTATATAATCGCTAGTTTAGTAATGTCTGACACAAACTGTAGTACCAAAATTAATTAGTCAATTTACTTTTAATTTATTTAGTCTAACACAACACATATCAACGAGCTTCCGTATATGTTTACGAGATTCTATGTAATAATTAACTAAAAAAGACAACGGGAAAAGTTGCACACTTAAACAAATACAAAGGCTTCTTGGTCTTTGTTTATCATAGATATATAATCAAGGGATCTAAGGTCGCCAGCGATCAGGGACACTAATTTTTAGCGACCAAACCGCTAAATGATAAAATTTTCTTTCTTTTTGTTGTTGTTGTTGTAAAACCGCAAAATAACCTTAACCGTAAGTTTCTCTTCTTCGACAACATCTCCATCGAGATCAAACTCATTACTCAAGTAAAACATTTCATTCAAGATTTGTATCGTTGACTAGTTTCTCCAAAGTGTCAACAAATTTATCTGTATAACCGGTTAATAATCCAGCACTAACAACAACTTCCTTCAAGTTGGCGTGGCTCCTCCTTACCCGGTTCCCTACTTCACTATCTTTTTCCATCACAGACATGATCGCACAGCTGAGGTTTTCTTTTGAAAACCATCCTGTTTCTTCTCTTTTCACTTCAACAGAAACCTCAAGTTCCTCGGTCATCAATCTTGTGTTGAGAACTTGATCATTCAAATATGGAAGCAAGACTATTTGACAATCACTCATAAGAGACTCCCACATTGACCCAAACCCGCAATGGCTCACAAAGCAGCCTACTGATGAATGAGCCAATATCAATGGTTGCTGCACCCATTCTCCCCAAACCACTCCACGACTCTTAACCCTGTCCTCGAACCCTTCTGGTAACGCTTCTTGAATCGTCTTTGCGCCTTTTGGTGGTGTTACCGCCACAAGAAACGGTAAACCAGTGAGCTCCATCCCTAAACAGAGTTCTTGGAATTGGTCTTTCTCTAAAGTGATTTGACTTCCCAATGCACAGAACACTACAGAGCCCTGTCCAAACCCGCTCAGCCAATGACTCCATTGATCTTCAAGTGGTTTACTCTTCTCTGGCTCAGGAAGCATTGGACCCGTCAAGAGAACTTTCTTCTGGTATTGACGCTCGATATAGTCACAGAATTTACCTTCGATTTCTTGGCATGTTCTAATCGAAATGAAATCGCAGTTCATAAGACCTGTGGTGACCCGATTGTAAAACCTCTTGTAGTAAGTGGAGAAGGACGATAAGGCGTGAGCATCTTGTTCCCGGTACAACACCTTTGATGAAGGATAACCAGGTGGAGGAACTCCTAATTCACCACCAGGTACAAGGTCATGAGCTGTACAGTTAGCTGATATCACGTTGTACATCATAGTCTTGACTCCATGTTCTTTAGCCATATCAGGAACCCAATGAGCAATGTCGAACAAGATTAGGTCCGGTCTTAAGGCACGAACCGCTGCTTCGACTTGATCGCGTGATAGATCCATGGCTATGGACAAGAATCTCACCAATGAGACAGGGATATCAGAGGCAGTCTCGGCGCCAGCAGGGAGGCCATCAACAGGAAAAATAGTAAGAGGGTGAAAGACGATGCTGTCTGGGAATAAATTAAGATGTTCCAACTGTTTCTGAGCTTTCTTAGGCAGCAAGAAAGTAACCCTATGACCTTTCTCAGCCAACTTGTTGGCTAAATGCAAGAACGGAGTCATATGACCAAAAGCGAACCATGGGAACATGAAAGCGTGAAATTTTGGCCCCATGATGTTTCCCAAATTGTTGAAACAGAAGCAAAACACAAATCGTCAAGGAGAGCTAAACAAGTAAATTTTCTTGTGTTTCAATCATAAGCATCTTTGCTTTTCTTCTTTTCTTGGTTAGAATTTTCTGTGATTGAGACGCTCCTCCCCCTCTAAAGACATCCAATATTTAGCTTAGATATAATGTGCATGTGCAAGATCGTGTGAAGGGTGTTTTATATTAATTAGTATTTTGAGATAAATCATTGGTGGTTGATTGATTTGGTGCATTAGGTTAATTATTTGTTGGAGTTAGTGGGGAGGTCGTGAATTGCATGTTCCATGTGCCTTTTGTACTTATTAGAAACTTTGGGGTCTAGTTTCGCATTGCATTATTTGTAGAGTAATCTAATCTCTTCGAGAGAGATTATATATATGCGATAGAGACTAGCTAATATCAACAACTGCAATAATGCAAACGTATTATTTCAGTGTACTACCATTGCAAGTCTACACGTACGCACTAGGTTTAATAACAATAATGATTGTCAGATTGCCGGAATAGTGAGAGCATCCTTAAGAAATGCTGAAGTTGGAGTACTGTATTTGTGACTGTTTGTGTTGTTTGCAGGACAATGCTAGATTAAGAGGTATTAATATTTCTTGTCCAGAGGCATTATTTACAGTGGGTTATGGCTAGACGCATATTCTTTTCAATCGAAATTGAATTTACATAGCAACGTATATTTTAGGGATTAATCTCAATTTTGGCATGTGAGCTATAGTCAAGTAGTAAAAGCAAAAGAAAAAAACAAAAGAAATAACAGCCTAGGTTTACAGGAAGAAATTTATATGAGAGACTATTCAAAATTATATTTTGAATGTCAGAATATGTTATATATATCACACACTTACGAGTTAGAGTATTCAAAAAATTTATATAACATATTCCCACTCATTCATCAAGATGCTTCTCACGTGACCTTGGCTTGATTGAATATCAACATGATTTAAGTACCGATTCAATTATTTTAATGGTGGTCTTGTCACATAACTAAATAGTAACGCAATTTTTATGATGATATAATTGCTTATCTCAAGTATATATTCCAAATCACATTTGAACTTCGAGACTGAATTTCGTAGTTCGGATCAAAAACAAAATAAAAGAGGAATGATATGTACGTTTGATATCACAAAAGTGGGTTGAATCAAACGCGAAATGGAAGATAGGTACGGTTTTGGTCCAAATCAAAACCAAAACGGAATTTTGATTAACAAATGGTAGAGGTTCCCATTTAAAAGCTTTATAATTAAAAACACAAGAAATTGAAGTAGAACAAGGAAAGGTGCTCCTAAACACTAAGGAAGACCATTCTCCATTATTAAATAATTAACTGAAAGTAAATAAAGAAAGACTCAAAGACTTTTCCGGTTCGGTATAAGCGTCTTGTCTCGGTATGTCCGGTCAGCCTTACTTTCCCATCAAAATCTTTTTTCATATCAATACAGCTTCGAGCGGTCTTCCACCCTGGTGATAATACTTGAAGTAGATCTCCGCATAGTTCTTAATTGTTTTGTACAACCTTGGTCTTGCCTCAGACACAAGCCCCTCTACAGGTTGAATCACTTGTTCTGCATGGGGAAAGCAAAACGTTGCCACAGATATCCTTTCCTTTTCTCTGTTACTCACCACTCTATGAACCGGGCTCTTGTATACTCCATTGCTCATTATCTGAACACGCATGAGAGATTATGTAAAATCTAAACCTCAAACTGAAGATGCATTATTTGTAAAAAGGTTTTCTTTTTTTTGTTTGAATAAATTTTACATTCAATTAAAAAATAAATTATACGTCACATCTACACCAATCAACCTTCCAAAGTCATATAATATATACATGATTGATTACCTGAAGCACGTCTCCTACAGTGACCAAAATTGTATCAGGGATGATTGGAGCTTTATACCAATTCCCATCTTTGAGGAACTGAAGCCCTTCGACATTTTTGTCGGGTAAGAGAAGAGTGAAGGCCGAACCATCAGTGTGCGGTCTATGCGCAATAACCTTGTCCGGCCTCGGACATGGTGGATACATGTTGAATCTTGTCTCCATTATAGAATTTTCTCCACACATCTCTAGAAAGCAATTCTCTTCTAACTTCAATGACCTAGCCATTCCCTTGAAGAGTTGCTCTCTTATTATCTTGAGTTTCATGGTGTATTCATGTAAAGTTTCCCTGTAGAAACAAGTATTAAAATAAATTAAAAAAAATCAACGTAGCAAGATTCTCTTATTATCCTTTGATTTTAATCACCTGAATCCGGTTGGGATTTCTGGCCAGAATTTAAGCTCTCGTAGATCTTCAGGGTATGTCCTGAGGTGCAAGCGGTCCATCCAGTCGAGAGCTTGATCATTTGAAAATATGGTGTCGTTTCCATATCCTTGGTAACCACCAATCTCTCTCGCGTACTTCTCTTTCTCTTCGGTCGGAAACGCAAAAAACTGTTTGGTTTGTGCGTAAACCTTGTCGAGTAACGCTTCTGTAACCCCATTATTCATCACCTAGTTCAACGAGAAATCAAATTTAATTATTTCAACAAAACATGTATGTGTATATATATTTTATAGAATTTTATGACTCTAATAATCACAAAGAGGGTCAAACCTGAACAATACCCCATGTAGAGAGGGCAGAGTGAAGTTTACTCAACTCTTTTTGACCTTCATCAGAAGAAGAGAAGATAAGGCTAAGATCAATGGCTGAAATCTCCATCTCCGGCACCAAACCGTTAAGAGGTTGACCTTCACCGTCGTGGGTGGGTGGGTAGAAGTATCTTTCCGGTAGTCCTTCGCCGGATGCAACCAACTCTTGGACAGTCTTTAACTTTGGCATCTCCATTAATTGTTTGGGAGGATCTTCGTTTGATATATCTTTTGGACAGAGAAGAACTCTTATATTAATAGACTAAAATGGTCTTGAATTTGTTCGTCCGTATGGTATTTTTATAGGCAAAGGTAAAACTATTTTAATAGTCAGAGAAAAAGCAAAGTTGAAGTTAACGCAGGACAAAAAAAGCCTTTTAATACTCAGAGTCGGAAGAAGCACTCGACAAAAGATCATTGCATGCATGGGAAATACTTTTTTTAAAAAAAAATTAAGAGTTTTCATTACAACGTTGGTTTTGTACCTTTTCGTATAAGTAATATTTGACTCATTGAAAATTTCTTTACAAACGTGTTAAAAAAATTATATTATTCTGATTTAGTTGTCTTGTCATGCACGAACTTAATTTTTATAATTTAAAAGCATTTCATCAGTGTCTTGCAAAAATCATGAATTTTTGAAATCAAATGTATTCTTAATCCAAAATTTAACATAAAATTGTAAAGAGTTTTGAAAAAAATTCTCAACTATAAGACACATTTTTTTCATGCTCGTAAGAAAGTTGCAATTTGGTATCGAAAATTCGCAACAGATATGTTTGTCGTCATAGTTTTGCCAAAAATTTGTTATGAAATTGGTTATTCATTATTGCAAAAATATCTCAACAAAATATCACTATTTTTCTTAGAGTGAATATAGTAAAAACATAACTGATAGAAGTAAAATAAATTATATTAAAATGATTTTTTTCTTTAATTTTTTTTTTATTTTAATACTTAAATAATGAGAAAACGTGTCTATAGATTAATAGTTTAATTTGACATGCTAACCACTTACATATTTATATAATTAATCTTAATATATAATTGTTTGACATGTTAACCACTCTCATACAGTCATACTTATATAATTAAACTTATAACAGGATACTAGCTTTGATTTTTTTTTGTCTATGTTGAACGATATAATATATTAACGAGTTGATGAATTCGTAGAAATTAATGGGTGTAGTATATGTCAAAAGGGCGTAATATTATGCAAATTTCTTCGTGGAACCTGAAATGAAGAAAAACAAATGCAAGAAACTAATTACTTTATTTACGTCCTTATTGCCTTATTAAAGCATCTCCATCAGAACTCCTTAACAGATTTTTGGCACAGTTTCATAGGTGAGTTGAATTAAAAAAAAATAAAAAAATTTATATTTTCTACAGATCGCTCCTTATTTAAGGAGCAGAAGAAACGGTCTCTTAAGACACATGTCTCACTCTGATTTGTCGGAATTATTTGCTCTCACTCTCACTCACACGTGTCTCTCTTATTTGCTTCTTCAACAGATAATATATATTTTTATAAACCCAAATAAGAGTTCACTAATAGAAGGAAAAAACATAAGTCTCTTCACTATTCTTAACTTTCAAAAATATTATTAAATAATTGTTAAAGATTCCATATTGGATTACACTAGTGGAAATGCTCTTAGTAACAACTCACAAGTCACAACAGCTGCTACGATTCATTATAAAACTTCGTGATCTTATTTCTATTTGTAGAACTAAACAAATGTCAATATACATCCTGTTTAGATTACTAAACATAGAGCTAACACTTTATTCACGTCCCCGGGTTCGAAGAAGCATTTATGCTCAATTTTGGCCAAAACGAGTAAGCTTAAAATTTACATAGCTCCAAAACAGTTTGTTATAGTTAGACCTAGACGCATCTTCTTCTTAGCCGTTGTTGAATGTAGGATTAATTTCGATTTTGGCATGTGAGCGTTAGTTAAATAGTAAAAGTAAAAAGGAAGAAAAGAAATAACGGGGAAATCTTGAATATTCCAAGTGTGGGAATTAATCATGGTTACTTGATTTAATAGCGATGCAACTATTTTTATTTTAATGATGGTCAATCGTCATATAACTGAATACTAACGGAATTTGTATTGATGTTGTATTTAGTTAGTTGTATTCCAATTCACATTTGAACTCAACGACTGTATGTATAATTTTTATATTTAGTTTTAATAGAAATTTGATACCAAAATTCGTGCTCCGGATCAAAGCCAAAATAAAAGATGAATGATATGTACGTTTGGTACTGCAAAAGTGGTTTTGATCAAAACGCGAAAGGTACGGTTTTGATACCACGAAATGTGGTCAAAATCTAAACCGAAACGGAAACTCTGACACACAAATGATAGAGGTCCCATTTTAAGCTTTGTTATTAAAAAAAACACAAGATTGCATTTAGCAGATACTATGCCTTTATTTTTTGGCTTTTCTTTTCTTAAATAGGAAAATCATACAAGAATCTGAAATCATAGATTCATAAAAACAAGGAAAAGTGGAAAAGTGGAGATGGGTGCTCCTAAACACAAGAAATTCCAATCTCCATTATTAATGATTAACTGAACGTAGATAAAGAAGAGTCAAAGAGACAATATATATATATATATCTCCGGTTCGGTCTAACCGTCTTGTCTCGGTTTATTCGCATCAGTTTACTGATTACAATTATACCATGTTCAAGAAAGTGCTAGGCCATTCCTACACAAACGCATAGTTGGGGTCCAACCGATTTTTGTGCGGTTTATTCCCAAAATACAGACCATTCCCACACAAAAGAGTTTATTCCCAAAGAGAAATGCGCAATAATAAGTTAATAACATTAAAACCATAGAAATGCGCAATATTTTTCGACTGAATTGGAAAGCATTTAACAGCACATAGAGCAATTTTCTTTGCTTTTGCCTTGAGAATTTTTTAGCTCACACTCAATTTGATTTGTCTTCTTCGCGATCTTCTTATAAAGTTCCTCAGAACAGAAATGATTTGTATGTTTTTTATCATTCAAGATTTGTATTGAAGACTAGATTCTGCAGTGCTTCTATAAACTTCTCAACATAACCACTCAATAATCCAGGACTAACCAAAATCTCCTTCAATTCGATATGGTTCCTTCTCACTAGGTTCCCTAGCTCACTATCTTTGTCCATCACAGACATAACCGCGTCTCTCAAGCTCTCCTTCGAAACCCATCCTGTTTTTTTTTTTTTTTTTTTTTTTTTTTTGAAAAATCATTTCATTTCATTTCCATCCTCCCAACAACTGGACATCATTTAAAGATTACATCAGAAGGAAAAAAGAGGCTAAAAAGCAGAGATTAAAAAGAAACTCAAGTGAAGCAGCAAGGTCGCTACAAGCGACGAAAGGAAGGATAATATTACTACTGGAAAAAACGAAACCAGGTGTGGATGAAGGACTCATAATCTCTTGGGATGGAGGCGGCGGTTCTTGGGATAGACTTTTTCAGAAGATGTGCTCGATCTAGACCCGCCAGCTTGGCTCTGATTAGAAGTTGAATATCCTTGATTAGGATGGAAGAAGTCCTCAGGGTCGATGAATGAAGACGAGAGTTTCTCTCTTTCCACAAGAAATAAACCACGGCCTGGAGGATGAGCTTCAGAATGGAGTTGACCTTTGCAATACTTGAAGCGGTTTTAACCCAATTGACAATATCGGTGAAAGAAGAAGGAGGAGACAGGGAATCATGCCTGAAGAAGGCGAGCCACACCTCCGAGGAATAAGAGCAGTAAAAAAAGAGATGATACTTACTTTCCGAAGCAGCATTGCAAAGGAGACAAATTTCTGGAACATCTAACCCCCAATGACGAAGCTTGTCTCTTGTAGTTAGCCTGTCCCGCATGAGAACCCAAAAAACGAAAGCATGCTTTGGAATCCTCTCCTTGAACCAAACACAAGAGAACCAATTCACCGAAGGAGGAGAAGGATTAAGCGCCTTCAATGTTTTTTGTGTAGAGAACTTTCCCGGCGGTTCTGACTCGGAGTTGCGCCAAAGGTAAAAGTCATCTTGAAGGGCCGAATCATCCGGGACAGTTGAAAGCATGCAATTACGTAGCAAAACTAAAATCGGGTGCCGTCCCCTAGAGATACTCCACGAACCGTTAATGAAAACAGATGAAACCTTCGCGGAGGAATGGATGCCAGAAACTCGAGGCCTATTTGCGCCTGTGATGGAGATAAGAGGACCCAGGGAGGTCCAGTTATCATACCAAAACAGGGCGCGATTACCATTTGTAATTTGACAAAACAAGAAGGGGCGGGCTAAATCTCTCAGCTTCAGAAGTCTTTTCCAAATCCGACTCCCATAATGCTGAAAATCCGAGTGCCAAAACAGCCTGTCTCTGATAATCATCTTGTTAACCCAGGCTACCCATAAAGAATCATTTGACGAGAAAAGCAGCCAGATCAACTTTAACCCATAAACCTGACATATGCTCTGTAAACCTCGAAGACCCAATCCACCGGATATCTTTGGAGAGCAAACAGAGAACCACGCAATCTTCGCCATACGAGCGGAACTAGGCGCACCACTCCAAAGGAACGCATTAAGCATTCTTTCAAGTGAATCGATGCACCCCTTAGGCAAGGGGAAAATAGCTGCCCAAAAATGAATTATGCTCGATAAAACCGACTGGATAAGTTGCAACCGCCCGGCAAAGGACAAACGCTTTACTGGCCAAGCGGAAATTCGAGCATGCACTCTATCAATTAGGGGCTGATAATCTTGGGGGCTTAGCTTGTGAGGCATAAGCGGTAAACCAAGATATCTTACTGGCAGTGATCCTCTTTGCAACCCAAAACGAGTAGCCAAGGTGATAGAGGAAGCCAAATTATTCCCATCCAAAAACAAGCAAGATTTCCGGAGGTTTAATGCCAATCCTGAGACCAATTAGAAGGAGTCTAAAACGCTGAGAATACCTCCAAGAGATTCCTCTGAACCATCAAAAAAGATGAGCACATCGTCAGCAAAACTCAAATGCGTTATCAAGGGATCCAAACGCAAAGGATGGGGCGAGAATAGATTTGAAAGAGCAGCGATGTCTAGATCCTTTGCTAAAATATCCATCACCAGTACAAACAAAGAGGAGGAGATAGGATCGCCTTGTCTGAGACCTTTCTTTCCAGGGAAAAACCTAGCTAACTCTCCATTCATAGCCACAGAATAGAAGGGTGACGAGATGCACACCTTAATCCACGTGATGAAGGCTTGGGGAAGCTCGAAGGCATTAAGGATATTCAATAAAAAGCCCCAGTCGACATTATCATAGGCTTTAGTGAGATCAACTTGAAGACAGCCTCTAGATGTAGGTCCATCCTTGTGAAAATCTGTAACTAACTCCGCCGCTAAAAGGATGTTTTCGCAAAGCAATCTTCCTTTCACAAACCCAGCTTGGTTTCGCTGAACAGCCACTGAGGAAAAACTCTTGAGGCGCAAACCCAAAATATGAGAGATGACCTTATATACGGTGTTGCATAAGGATATGGGCCGGAAATCCCCAAGGCGACAAGCACCTGGTACTTTAGGGATGAGCGTTATGACCGTTGCATTTACTTGGCGAAGCATAATAGAGGAAACAAAAAAGTCTTTGACAGCAAGGATCAGATCCTTCCCCACCAAATCCCATGAAGAAGTGAAGAACTCGACCGTGAACCCATCCGGCCCAGGGGCCTTATTCTTTGGCAAGGCAAAAACTGCAGCTCTAATATCCTCGTCGGAGGGAATACGTGAGAGACTATCAGCCAACGGAGGAGAACAACGAAAGGGATGGATGCTCTTAATATGATTTACCGAGTAAGGCTGGACTTCAGAATTAACTGTCCCCAGAAAATTAGAATAATACTGAGTAATCATCTGCTTCATAAGACTCGGGTCTGTCACTTTGACGTCTAGATCATCACGCAGGAAATGTATGGAGTTTCTAGATAAGTTTGCCACTACTGATTTGTGGAAAAAACCCGTATTAGCATCGCCTTCAGCACACCAACGGATTCTGGATTTTGCTCTGAAAAAATTTTCCTCAGCCGAAGCAAGAAGGTGCCAAGCATCTTTTGCTGATCGTTCTGCTTCGAACAACGCAGGAGTTGGATTAATAAGAACTTCACGTTGAATGTCTTCCAGGTTTTTAAAAGCTTCCTTAGTCCGAACCTGAATGTTGCTAAAGCTGTTCCTGTTTAGAGCCTTGCAACAAAGTTTGGCGGCTCTAAGCCGTTGATAAAGAGCAAACATGGAACTCCCTTGAATGAGAGGACAATGCCAGGCAGATTGCATCAAGGCTGGATAATCAGGATGAGATGAAAAGAATGGGAAGAAATTGAACCTTGCTTTCCTTCTAGAACCGGAATCAGAGATTGTAACCAGACATGGACAGTGATCCGAGTTTCCAAGAGCGTCGAAAAGGGCATTGGAGGTTGGAAAAACGTCTTGCCATGCTTCATTTATCAATGCCCTATCCAGTTTTCTTGCCTTCGGGTTGGAGGGGCTCTTGTTTGTCCAAGTGAAGAAGCAACCTCTATTTGAAAGATCGAACAACCCCGACTCAGAGATGCATCGCTGAAGGTCACCCATACCTTGAAGAGAGATCGTAGCCGGAGATAGGGAATAGGTTTCCGCCAAAGACAAGACTTGGTTGAGATCTCCCAAGACAATCCACGGAGAATTCTGAAGAAGCGGAGACGAAGCAAGCTCGGAGATAAGATTCCACAGGGGTCTCCTTTGAATACTCAAGTTCCTCGCATAGACAAACGCCACTGTAAAAGATTGATTGGTTGAGGGATTGAAAATACCACAAAGCATTAGCTGATCTGTCTTCAAATACGTAAAAACAGACAGAAGGGTGTTCCATATGACAATAATTCTTCCATTATCATCCGCCTCAAGATGATTCGAATCGTAACTCCACGCCTGAAAGTTGCGATGCATAAGCTCTTCTAAATTGTGCTGCTTCACACGAGTTTCCAAAAAACTGCCTACTAAAAGCCTATTAGATAAAATCCATCTTTTTACCGATGAAAGACTGGCATCTCCATTAAGACCGCGTATATTCAAGCAAAAACACTTCATAAGAAGTCAAAAGGTGGTAAAAACCATCCTGTTTCTTCTTCTCTTTCCACCTTTACAGAGACTTTAAGTTCCTCGGTCAGCAATCTCGTGGTAAGAATCTGATCAGCCAACTGTGGAATAAATACTATTTGGCAATCACTCACTAGAGACTCCCACATTGACTCGGACCCACAATGGTTCACAAAACAACCTATTGATGGATGAGACAGTATCAATGGCAATGGTTGCTCCACCCATCCTCCCCAAACCACTCCACGTCCCTTAACCCGCTCTTCGAACCTTTTTGGTAGCGCTTCTTGGATTGTTGATACGTCTCTTGGTGGCTTAACAACCACTAAAAACGGTAAACCCGTTAGCTCCATCCCCAAGCAAAGTTCTTCGAATTGATCATTCTCTAAAACGACTTGGCTTCCCAATGAACAAAACACTACTGATCCCCTGGTTCGAACCAGCTGAGCCACTGGCTCCATTGATCTCCAAGTGGTTTAGTCTTGTCTGGCTCAGGGAACATTGGACCCGTCAAGAGAACTTTCTTCCGACAATGACGTTCAATAAAATCACAGAATTTACCTTCCACTTCTTTACATGTCCTTATAGAAATGACATCGCAGGCCATAAGACCAGTGTTGAGTCGGTCAAAAAGCCTCTTGTAAGAACTCGTGAAGAGCAAGTAAACGCGAGCATCGTGTCCACTCAAGACAACCTTCGATGAAGGATAACTTTGTGGAGGAGCACCACCTAACTCGGCATCAGGAGCAAGAACCATAGCTATACCTGCTGCAGATACGACATGGTAAGTCACACTCTTTACTCTAAACTGTTTTGCCATTTCAGGAACCCAGTAGACAAAATCGAAGAAGATCAAGTCTGGTTTCAGAGCAAGAACAGCAGATTCGACCTGATCCCGTGTGAGATCCATAGCTTCGGATAGGTACTTCCTTGAGGAGGTTGGGATATCTGAGGCTGTCTCAGTGCCAACAGGAAGGCCATCTACGGGACGGATAGTAATATGATGAAAGACTATGTTGTCTGGGAAGAGACTGAGATGTTCAAGTTGCTTCTGAGCTTTCTTGGGCAGCAAGAAAGTGATCATGTGACCTGTCTCGGCTAATTTGTTGGCTAGATGCATATAAGGAATCATATGACCAAAAGCAAACCACGGAAACATAAACGCATGAAACTTTGAGTCCATTTCTTCTACGAAAATTGTCAGAACAGAAAGCTAAACAATCAGATATTTAAGGTCTTTTGGTTAACCATTGCTTTAATTGGCTGTTCTTGTCTGTTGACGGATACGTAATTTATTATATGTGTGGCCATGCGGGTACGTATAATAAGAGCATCCACCTACTACGTACTCCATACGATAATTTTAGCCACCTACCTAACCAATAATGCTAAGTCACTTTTTTTATGTTCTTTCTGTCCATATATTTTTCCTGTTAACTCTGTATTGTAACTCCTCGTTGTCATCCTCTAATAGGTTGAATTTTCCGATCTTCTCATAAAACATGACTTTATGAGTATCGAAGACATTGAATTTATTAAAAAATCCTAACACTTTCCTCGCTTGGAAACACGTGAAAGCATCAAGCATCCTACGATATGCCACGATCAACACGACACGTACAAGTTAAGAGATCCAACAGGCCGATTCGTTATACATATTTGCTCGAATCGAATTAGCATAAAAGTCCACCCATATGACGTCATTGTGGCTAACCAAGATTATTAAAAGTAATTTTATTGATGTATCTTCTCTTCTAGAGTAGTTTCTCCAATGCTTTTATAAAGTTATTGACATAACATTTATTAGTCCACTACTAATGAATATATTATATATATTAAGTGTATATATATATAGAGAGAGATATTTTCCATTTTACATATTCATTATAACCAGTTTTCCATATTTCATATTTTCCGTTTTAGATTTGCAGATTTATTCATGTCAATAAACATTAACTCCTAAACAGTTCGACAAAGTTTTGCAACATTAATGCGAGATATGCTACATCAAATATCGCATTAACACTGATTAAATTTTCCTTTTATAAAGATAATCTCATTCTATTTTCGGAATGCATTTATCAGAGTTTCCCCAAATCACTTTGACAGAAAAATGCGATTTTAGGGTTTTGTTAAGAATTTGATTTGCAAAATCCTAACCCATAATGTTGATTCACGTTACTTACGTTCTTCAACCCACTGTCCATATTTATTTTCCTGTTAATTCTATATTGTAAGTTGTAACTCCTCGTTGTCATCCTCTAATAGGTTGGATTTTCCAATATTCTCATACAAAATGAATGATTGAAAATCCGAACGCTTTTCTCGCTTAAAAACACGTGAAAGCATTAAACATACCACGATATGCCTCGACCAACACGACATAACACAAGTTAAGAGACAGTATACATATTTGGTCGAATCGAATTAGCATAAAAGTCCACCCATATGAGTATATATATGACGTCAATGTGGCTAACCAAGTTTATTTATAAGTACTTTATATTGATTTTTTTCTCTTCTAGACTAGTTTCTCCAATGCTTCTATAAAGTTATTGACATAGCCATTCATTAGTCCACTACTAACAATAGACTCTTTCCATTTGGCGTGGTTCCTCCTCACTAGGTTCCCTAGCTCGCTGTCTTTGTCCATCACAGACCTGATCGCACCGCTCAAGCTCTCCTTCGAAAACCATCCTGTTTCCTCTCTTTTAACCTCCACCGAGACCTCGAGTTCCTCGCTCATCAGCCTGGTGTTGAATATTTGTTCACCCAAATGTGGAATAAAAACAATTTGGCAGTCATTCACAAGAGACTCCCACATTGACCCGAAGCCACAATGGCTCACAAAGCAGCCTATTGATGGATGAGCCAATATCAATGGTTGCTGCACCCATCCTCCCCAAACAACTCCACGTCCCTTAACCCTCTCTTCGAACCCTTTTGGTAAGGCTTCTTGGATTGTCGATGCGCCTTTTGGTGGCTTGACCGCAACAAGAAATGGTAAACCGGTGAGCTCCATTCCTAAACAGAGTTCTTGGAACTGATCCTTTTCAAGAATGATTTGGCTGCCCAATGCACAATATACTACTGATTCTGGTTCAAATTGTCTCAGCCAGTGACTCCGTTGCTCATCTAGTGGTTTACTATTGTCCGGATCAGGAAGCATTGGACCTGTCAAGAGAACTTTTCTTTGAAATTGGCTTTCAATGAAATCGCAGAATTTTCCTTCCATTTCTTGGCAAGTCCTTATCGAAATGACATCGCAGTGTGTAAGCCCTGTCATGATCCGTTCGTAAAACGTAGTTCCATCACCAAATGGATAAGAGAGGAACGACAAGGAATTGGTTTCTTGCCCTCGAAGCAACACCTTGGACGAAGGATATCCCGGCGGAGGAACAGCTAAGTCATCTGGACTACGACCCGGAGAAAATGAGATTGCTACACATGCTGCAGAAATCGTTACGAAATTCACACTCTTGGCGCCATACTCTCTAGCTATTTCCGGAATCCAATGAGCAAAATCGAAGAAAATGAGATCCGGTTTACTCATGGAAACCCTTTCTTTGACCTGATTGCGTGTTCGATCCATAGCCGAAGCGAGGAAACTCCCTAAGGAGATCGGGATATCGGAGGTTGTCTCGGCTCCGGCAGGGAGTCCTTCCACAGAAGGAACGGTAATAGTGTCAAAGACGATGCGATTTGGGAACAGATTGAGAGGTTCAAGTTGCTTCAGAGCTTTCTTGGGTAGCAAGAAGGTGATTTTGTGTCCTTTCTCAGCTAGTTTATTAGCCAGATGCAGAAATGCAGTCATGTGACCAAAACCAAACCATGGGAACATAAAAGCGTGAAACTTTGATCCCATTTCTGTTTATGTTCCCCTGTTTTTCTTCTAATCTTGTTCTTGGAGTTCTCGTGTTTTTGTTTATATGATTTCAGTTGCTGCGGACCAGGAGAGTATAGTAATTGAATGATTCAAGTTTGTTACGAATATGCCAAATCTTTAAGTTCGTATTAAAATCTATTTTTAAGTAATTTAGGATCTATGATTTTTTCTTGTAGATTTCCGGGAATTAGCCCCTAATCTACTGCATAATTACACAAAATTAATAGCAATAATCAGAAAGTGTATATGTCAAGATAAGCATGGAATGTCATGATCTTTGCAGTTTAACTTCCCAAAATGTCATGCTCTTTGCAATTTCCTTAAGATTAGGATGTATTTTCAATTTCAATGCAATAATTAAAACTAGGTAGTATAGACAATAAAAACTTAAAATTCTGAAACAAATATATTACATTGGTGTAAACTATATCGATATATAGAAATAAAACTATTTTCATAACAGTAAAGAGATAAAATTGTAATATATAATGTTATATAGTGCATTTTGCAATTAGCATAATTAAATTAACTCTATCAGTGATGAAAAGAAAACTATGTATGAATAAGATTTATGAAGATTTTTAGAGTTTAAGATTTTATGATTATTGATTTGTGGATTTTTATATTCTTAATAGATTTCACTATTATTCGTAAACAAATTATAACATTTTAAAAATACATTGTTATTGGTTTAATGATATTTATAATCTAATCAAAATTCATTGTTATTCAAAAAGTTTGTATTTTAATGATTCTATAATTCTATTAAAATATATTGTTATTGCCTTATTGGGATAAAGATTCTTTATAATTTAACTCATAAATCTTTTTTTTTTCAAAATAGTGCATAAAATCCCTTAGATTCTTAAAATCTGTCACAGTAAAAATATTTTGTAAATTGTCTAAAACGACAAACCCTCTGAAAATTTTACAAATCCAATAAAACTCTTGAAGATTTGACTAATCTCATGACTTTTAAAATTAACCAAAATCTTTATAAATCCAACTCCCAATAACCTTCCTTCGCATAAATAATAGGAATGATAAAAAAAAACGAATAATTAACTTTTGAGTCGATTACAACACTCTCGTTAGACTAACAACAACTTGGTATTTGTTTTGCAAAGTCATGATATCCACCTTTATTTTTCAAATATTCTTCAAAAGTTTTAAATCAGAGATTGAGTTGGAAACAAAAGAATTATGAGAAACAAAGATTATAATTAGGTCAAAAATACTATATTAAAAAACACATGGGACAAAAGTCTTTTTTAAAATGTCATTCTCAATTAATAATAGAAGATTTGTGATTTCCTTTTTTTTTGTTACAAGATAGAAATGTTAAAATTAATATTCTAAAAATTGTATTTTGTAGTAACTTAATAAATGAACAATGACAGTAAAAATGTAAAATATAATAATTAGCTTCCAGAAATAATGCCCTTAATCAGCTAATCATATGGGACTTACAAAGAGCATGCAGTGTGCTTAACAATCTATCTCAATCCAAATCGAAATTCAAATTAAACCAAACCAAACCGAATTAAACCGACCCAAATCCAAATATTCAATCATTCATGAATCATGATTTCACAAGATTAATCAAGTTCTGTTCAAACTTATCAATATAACCATCTGAAAAACCAGAGTCAATATAACCATCTGCAAAAACCACAAATTCTTACAGAGATTTGATTGAACATGTTTGAAGGATCGTATAAGAAACTAATGATCCTACAATTATATTGCCTTACAAAACTAAGTGCACAATTATTGACCAACGTAATTTTGATATACCTTCTTTCATTTTTTTGTATAGTAAATACATGTTGGGTTATTGTAATATTTGAGCTAATAATCACATTGAGTATATCCCACATTCTACGGCTTCTTGCAGCAGCGGCAGCGAAAAAGACAGCAGAAAAGGTGGAAAAGGCCGAAAAGGTGGAAAAGGTGACGATTTCCTCTGTAGCAATGGAGACGGAGACTGTGACTAGGACGAATAGTAAAGATAGGAAGAAGGACAATAACAAGGCCCAGCGAACAGCCCAGGGAAGCTTCATTCGGCGAAGAACAAAACTCCTCTGGTGGTGGTGGAGGACGTGAAAGTGGAAACAAAGAAGACTACACCTTGGACTCCTCAGACGTTGGCTCTCCTCCATACCTTCGTGAAAGAGGATGAGTTGGAAAAAGCATTGTTGATTTCTAAGTCCACTAAGTGTTTGAGTGAAGCGATTGAAATGGAAAAGACGAATGAAGAAGAGTCCAATCGAAGCTGGTGGTTCCGCTGAGAAATGTTTGAGTCTTGCATGAATCATGCTTAACAATTAAACATATTTATGTCAATTGATTGTGTAAACTTTTGAATAATTTTTTAATGATTATACATCATCTTTTCTAATAAGAATAAATTTTTTTTTTCATCATGTTCATTTTTATCTTGTTATATCTGTTTTTTCAATGAATATATCATATTTATTTATTTTAATGATTTTTGTATGATTATATTCAGTTTCATCATATTCATTCTCACTTCTTCTAATTATAATTAAGTAGACAAAACAAGTACAATTTAATACATACAAATTTAGAAAAATGAAATAACAAATTGAACAACTCAAAACTAAGAACTTCCACATTAATCTATGGCAATTGCAAGTTGAATATACAAAATATATTTTTTCTATCATTTTCGCATAATATATTACATGAAATTATGTGAAAATATATTTTGCATATGTGAAAAAAATTTAGATGAATATTAAATCATAATTATTAGTTTTTAAAATTCTACGTGAAAACCCTTAAGATTAAGTATATTAACATAAGTAGCATATAATTTTTTGATAGATAATAAATTAAATTTGTAACTTAAATAGTGATAACGTAAATTTTAATATCATGTTGGTTTTTTTTTGTTAATAGAGATTTTTTAATTTTTTGTAATGTATTTTCTTAACCATAATATTAGAATTAAGAAACTTTATTTAATTTACAATTTTGAGATATACAAATAAAATTTAATCTTTAAATACTGATGTAGATGCCTTAAAACTAGCCATTGATTTTGGTTATGGGCCACCGATATCAAAGCCGATACTAACTTAAATTATAGCGTATCCATCATGTTATATATACTCCTCTCAGTTTTCATTATTTCTGACATACAACGTCCGTCTTCTAAGGTCTAGCATTTAAAAAAAAAATCATCCACGTCTTTTTTTTAAATTGATATATACTATTATTTTTGCATTTCCGTAATGACAACCTACTATTTTTTATAGTTCATACTTCGCTGATTGAATATTTCATCTCTCGCCTTACAATAGTATTGTCAGGTAAATAAAAATTACCTTTTTTATATTCAATTCGTGCTTTAAATGTTTTTTTTTCTGCTTCTAGACGTTCTTCTTATGTGAATATATTGCCTAATAGTTTTTTCTTTCAAAAATTTTATGAATTTTCTGAAGCGACTAGCAATCGTCCCCTCTGTGATCCCAGATTTTGCCATATCACCTGCCTCCATCTTCAATCGTTTTTACAGAATATGAACATTTTTCTGCTGATGTTTACAACGATAAATTTACAGGTTGTTTGAAGTGTAATTATGACTATCCTAAAGCCATATCGTATATGTATTCTGAATTTCCGATCAATTAAATTTGGGATCGTAAAAATGTCAATGGCATCTCCGTCTTTGCGGCAACTCTAGACCGAGTATTATAGCCAACTGTAACTCTAGCGCTGGTGAAGCCTACTACTTGAGAGTTTCATTGCATGTCGTTCGCCATCCATGTTTTTATATGGATATAAAAACAATTAATGATGTTGTCCACCCTACTTTCAAATATGCTTGTTGTGATTTGGGTTTAATTCACGATGATACCGAGTATATCGAAGCTAACTATGAGGAAGGCCAATGGGTTCCCACTCCTCTCTTCGAATGATGTACACTGCTTTGTTATGCATGTTCTATGATGAATCCCTTTTGTGTTTGGAGATTCATTCAATGTTTTTTAGTATAAGTTTCGTCAATTCTTTGCATTGTCTTTGATTTTTTTCCTTAATTATAAACTTCTTAGATTTTTCGTTTTGTTTGGATTTTAATTACTTTCTCTAATGTACTTTCTAGATTTGATAATCATCAATAAAAATAAACGATTAAACAGATTTTTGATTAGTTTTTGCTAATTAATAATTTATGTATTGTTCTTATTTTTACTCATTCATAATTGTTATTTATTGTTATATAACGTACATATATTTTTTCCTGATAAATCATATCTATTGCTATTACTTTTATTCACCTATAATTCTTACAACTTTAAAGTAGAAGTATAAAGAAGAAGATGTAGTTGATGATAAGAACTCAAAAAAAGATGAATTTGAATAAAACCATGCATGGAGAATAAGAAGCAGATGAGAACATGAAACAGTAAAGAAGAATAAAGATAAGAAAAAAGATGTTGGTGTTAATGAAGGAACCGGAAGAAAAAAAATGAAAGATGAAGAAAACAAAGTAAAAGAAGAGGAAATGGGAAAAGGCATAAGAAGTAGAGAATAAACAAGGCTAATAAAAATTAAAAAAAAAAAGAAGAACTGAGAGAATACGAAGATGATGAAGAAGAAGTCAAAGATAATGATGAATATGAAAGAGAAGGGTGAGGAATAAGATTAAAAGATATATAAGAGGAAGAAGAATAAAAAAAAAGTACAAGTCAAAGACGATGAAGAACGAAGAAGAATAAAAATATGAGGAAAAAGAAGATGAAGAAAACAAAAAGTACAAGTCAAGATGAAGAAGAAAGAAAATATGAAGAAAAATAAGATGAAGAATTTGGGGCAGCAAAAAAAAACAAAAGCCTTAAAATTGGAGACTGAAAAAGAAGAAAAAAAAAGAATAAGAAAAAATATGAAGAATAACTAAACCAAAAGATAAAGAATATGAAGAAGAGTAAAACAAATCAAAAGAGGAAGAAGAAGGAGAAGAAGAAGAAGAAGAGAGTTAAACCTTATACAGACATAACCTTATACGGACATGATATGGTAGAGAGAGTTAAACCTTATACGGACATAACCTTATACGGACATGATATTAAATCTATGTTAGTTTGTAGTTTCTGTGTTCTTATTTTATTATATTTGAAACACGTCGTACTATAAATGTAGTGATCTAAATCTTATGATATATATATATATAGTTTAGGAAAAAGGGGGAAGGGAGAGAATGAGAGAGAAATATTGAAAGAGAAAGAGAGGGAGAGAGAGAGAATGATAGGGAGGGATGCATGGAGGGGAAAGAGAGAGAGAGTTAAAGTTTTCCAGTACATGTATTTGATTGATATAAAAGACGAAGGAAAATAAGAAAAATATCAAGTCGGAGAGAACGAAGAATACGAAGGTGATGAAGAAGAAGAAGAATAAGTAGAATAGGAAAAAGATGAGAAAAATATGTAGAAAACAGTGAAGAAGAATAAGATGTGATAAAAAAAATTAAAGAATAAAAAGTAAGAAAATACATATAGAATGAAAAGGAGATAGACAAAGAAATAAACGAAAATGAGAGAAAACTAAAAAAAAGTCGTGAAAGAAGAAGAAGAGATAAATGTAGAAGATGATGAAAAAAAATATAAGAAAAAGACGATAAGAAAAACTGAAAGATAAATAAGAGGAAAAAAAGATCAAAAACAATTATGTGGAGATGAAAAACACCTCTTAGTTCAATTGGTCTGTAAGTTCAATTACTTATTTAGTAATATTTTTGTCTTTAATTTTGGATATATATATATATATATCTTAAATAGTTATTTTAATTATTTTCAATTTTTCATTTATAACATCAAAATCTCTAAGCCTGCACAAGGTGCGGGCTAACACCTAGTTTAATCGTTAAATACTAATGTAGATGCCTTAAAATTAAATAATATAGCTTTAACTGTTATTAATGATAGAAAAAATTAATACTCTAAAATTTGAATTTTGTAGTAACTTAATAAATGAATAATGACAGTAAAAATGTAAAATATAATAATTAGCTTCCAGAAATAATTCCCTTAATCAGCTAATCATATGGGACTTGCATGTGCAAGAGCATGCAGTGTGCTTAACAATCTATCTCAATCCAAATCAAAATTTGAATTAAACCAAACCAAACCGAATTGAACCAACCCAAATCCAAATATACAATCATTCATGAATCATGATTTCACAAGATTAATCAAGTTCTGTTCAAACTTATCAATATAACCATCAGCAAAACCAGAGTCACTCAAAACACATCTCCACTTCTCATGATTCTTCCTCACTTTCTCACCAACCTCACTACCTTCCTCCATCACACTCTTCACAGCAACCTCCAAGCTCCGCCGCGAGAACCAACCATTCTCTTCCCTCTCAACCTCCACCGCCACCTCCATCTCTTTCGTCATAAGCCTCGCGTTCAATATCTGCTCACCGTGCTGCGGCACCAAAACGACCTGACAATCACTCATCAAAGACTCCCACATCGATCCAAACCCGCAATGGCTAACGAAACATCCTACTGATGGATGGTTCAACACCAAGGGTTGCTGAATCCAACCTCCGTACACAATGCCACGTCCTTTAACCCTCTCTTCGAACCCTTCCGGTAACGCTTCCTCGACGGTTTGTACACCAGAAGGAGGCTTGATCGCTACAAGAAACGGTAAACCGGTTGATTCAAGCCCTAAACAGAGTTCTTGAAACTGATCTATCTTGTCTACAACGGGTTGGCTACCAAAAGCGCAGAAAACAACCGAACCGGGGTTGAATTTTGCTAACCAATCCGCCCATCGAGGCTCTAACGAGGCCTGATTCAGTTTGGATCCAGGGAGAACAGGTCCGGTTAAGTAAACCGGTTTGCTGTATTGGCTAGCGATGTAATCGCAGAATTTGCCTTCTGTCTCACGGCAAGTCCTTATAGCGATTGCGTCGCAGTTTCTCATCGCTGTAACTTTCCCATCGAAAAACGAACCAATCTCCTCGTGCCTCTTCCACACGAACCTTAGGTTTTTTGCTTCGTGCGCAAGCAAGATGACTTTTGAAGATGGATAACCTAGAGGTGACCTAGCCAACTCCTCCAAAGATATTTCCTTCCCATCAGTGAGCTCACGCTCGGCGGCAGGGACAAGAGACAACGCGATCGAAGCAGCGCTCACAATGTTGTAGCAAACCGTTTTAGCACCGACCGGTTTAGCAATTTCCGGTATCCAATAGGCGGAATCGTAAAAAACCAAGTTGGGTTTGATTGTACGGAGAATAGTATCGACCTCTGGTTGGGTTTGGTTCATTGCAACTGCAAGCAAATGGGTCAAGAAAAAGGGGACGTCGGAGTTTGTCTCTGCACCGAGAGGGAGCCCTTTGACCTGAGGGATGGAGATGGTGTGAAAAGTTATGAGATTTGGGTAGAGATTAAAAGGTTCGAGCTGGCTTAGGGCTTTCTTGGGGAGCAAGAAAACGATCTTGTGACCTTTCTCTGCGAGCTTGTTGGAGAGGTGAAGAAAAGGAGTCATGTGGCCAAAGGCTAGCCACGGATACATCACAATACTCATCGATCCAGAATCACCCATTTTTTTGTACTTCTTTTTCTATCAAAATTTCTTTATCAAGTTTTTATTTTTGTTTCTGTTTACTATGTGTGTTTACGTATTTTGGTTAATAAATACAAACCACGTATTGGTGGGTTACTCCTCGTGGTGGCTATTAGCCAACGAAGTGACTGGGAAAGTATAGCCGCCTGGTAAGTGCAAACACGTGACGAGATGTTACCGTATCAGCAACAAAGAAAAAAGACAAAACCGGACATGATTTGGTGAGTTATGGGCTTTAAAGATTCAGCCCATTTTTGATCCTGCAGTCAACGATATTTATTTGATTTTTTTTTGTTAAAGACTACAACTTGAGTAACTCTACTTGTAACACTTAAATTACAAGCTTGATTCGTATATTGTCATAACGAATGACTCTCAAACTGTAACCCTCAGACTAAATTTAGCGTATTCATTCGTTATGTTTATGTATAAATTGTTTGCTTCTTTAGGCACCAGAGAATGTATATAGAATCCAAAAGCACTACTCTTATCGAATCTAATCGTGGATGCAAAATGTGGCCAACATATGCTTCCCTCCTCTTCTAACAGAGAGTTGTTTACGCATCGATGCAGCCACGCCTACGCACAATTGAAGTTACTAATGGAAACTATCATGGAAAATACTTTTAAATTAAGATTATTACAACTTTTACTTCATTTATTTAAAGAGTTCAAGTGTCTCAATGAATTTCTCTCTATTTTCATACCATTCAAAAATATAATATAGTGTTAGAAACTCAAATCATAGACCATTAACACTTTATGATCGCACGATCATAGATGTTCCACCAAGATTAATTAAGGCTAAGGCTTAACACCAACGGTCTCTCTCAAGTTCCGAAGCCACATAATTCTGCGTCAAAAAGAAAAAGGATTCCTTCTCATTGGTCTTATTGCAAGAATTTATAACAAAAATTATTGAACTAAGAAAATTGTAAGGTTTTATCCTAACGGGAACCCTTTCAGAAATTCACTAAAACCAAGCACAAGCTTAATTAGGCCTAAGAGGGGAGTGGGTAGTTTTCAACCAGCAGTAGACGCGCCACGGTTAGAACCTCATGAGTTTCATAAATCGAAAGCATCTTTTTATATATATCTAAACCAGACCTATCAACGTGACTAGTACTTCCAATGTGGGATTAAGGACTTAGCTTGACTTAACGAAAAGCGTTCATGGGTTGTAACTTTTACGGACTCTAAGGTTTTCACTTGAAGATAAGTTTGTAACGAGAGACAATGTTCAACCTCCGAACTTTAACAATGTATAACCTAATTTATACCATATATAATTATCGAGTGTAATCCGATAACTTTGAAGATACTGCTTAGTCTATAGGCATATGCTTTTATTAATGCAAATGGACACAGCTTCATCACCAAGGCAACAATCCGTTTTTTTGAATATATACAACATCTAATTGTTTCACAAATATTTTACTCAATTGTGCCAAAATCAGATTGTGATTCGCTTTTTGTCTTCCTTTAAACCACTTGTAATCAATGGTAATGGGCTTCAGTTTTGAAATGTTTTCAATGTGGGACAGAGTTAGTTTACGAAAATGCATATCGACATTTGTAAACCTATACTTGACTACTCGTAATAGTACTATGTTTGTATAAAACTTATATTCACAGATTTCATTAGAAGTTACCCAAAAGATAGAGATGTATGCTTTTGTTTGCCTAAGCTTCTCTTTTATCACATCAGTCTTGGTCGGCTCATTTGAACTGTAACAATTTTGTGTATTATCAATTTAACTCATCCAGGCTTGAAGACATTTCCATCAACACTTAAACCAAGAGTAATGCCATCAGAAGATGATAATGGTTTCCGTTGAGCCGAATTAATCGAACGGTGCAGGACAAAAGACAAGTCCATATACATCAGATAACCTACTTAATAAATAAATGGTCAATTGTGAGAGGAAGATATACTATCAGAATTCTTTAGTAAAAGGCGAAAGAATAGTTCGCTATGTTATCGCTGCACGGTTCCGTGGGTTTCCTAGACAAGCTCTGATTCTTATTTATAGTCCATTTGGTTCAGTGTCTCTGACTAATGTAACCGATGTGGGATAATCAGTAAGAAAAGTATTTGGATAAACCGGAAGGTTCCATCCAGTCTAAACTGAATGGTTCTTTAGTTAACCGCTGGTATTTATTTCGATTTTCTACTCTATTTTTGGGTTTGAATCAAAACAAATGCTTCTGAGAACGAAGACTGATTTGAATCGTTTGATCCAAACTTATCAACTTCAACGTGGTTAATTTTCTTTGTAAAGACACAAGGTTGACATAACGGACGATTCTTAAAATGTAACTTATATTGTAAATGTTCAACTTGAGTTACACTACAAAATTATATAATCCTTTTGATACCATAATCAGCTCACTCTCTTCTATCAAAATAAAAATAATGAACAACAAGTGGAAAGGGAGGTAGGACTCCAAACGCTTCTCTCCACTCGTGACTGTGTGTGCCACTACTCTATTGACGTGGATGCTAGCTGAGGTACAGGCCACACCTCAATTCCCTTCCATTCTTGGTTCTCCGGTCAATCTCACAAAAATATTAGTCGTCGCTTTCTAACGGTGAAGATTGCCTAAAGGAAGTATACAAGTCCGTTTTACGGAGGCGGTAAGTGTTGGTGCAAATGATAGGTTGACCGAGGAAAGAATATCCCTGTTAACACAAAATGTTATTGTTCTCTTACAAGATGATCGAATGGTACATGACAAGAAAAGTCCATGCGTTTCGAAAAATCCATCCATCAATGGTAAATGTGAGAAAACCACACTTCGAATAGCTTCGTTTAAGATTAATTTTAGGGAAGATTACTACACTAACCTTAGAAAGTATCTATATTACTGGTTCGACGCACTTTTATTTTTTTTACAAAACTAACCTAGCATACCCAAAACACCCTTTTGGCCTTTGTTGAAAAAAACCTTATTACGAAAATGCCATTACTTTTTTAATGCCACGTAGGCAGATTCTGGCGCTAAAAATTTCATAAGTCTACCAAACTTTGTGGTAGACTTATAAAATTTTGGTCAACGCAGAAATTTTGTTGGTAGAGTTATTAGGACGATGGTAGATTTATTCAAGAGTTGGTAGAGTTTTTAAATGTTGGTAGACTTTTCTTGGTAGAGTTTTGACGATGAGAGGTAGATTTATTATGTTTCGGTAGATTTGTTGTTATGAATGGTAGACTTGTCAAAAGTTTTGGTAGACTTGTTAACAAAAACGTTGACTTTCTCGCATAGTTGACTTTTTCGGTAGATTTATTGACAATGAAGTAGATTTATTTTCTGAGTTGGTAGACTTATTTCCTTTAGCGGTAGATTTATGTGAAAAAAGTTGTCAATACGTGCGGTAGACTTATCTGTTTCATGGTAGAGTTATATATAATTGGTAGAGTTTTCGCTTTTGAGGTAGATTTGTTTGACTTGTGGTAGATTTAATTCAGTTAAAATTCATTCCGGTTAGTGGTAGACTATATGTTACATGAGGTAGACTTAAAAACTGTTGGTAGATTTATTTGTTTTGTGGTAGACTTATATTTTTAAAAAATTTCATTCTGATTTGTGGTAGATTAATAATGACATGAAGTAGACTTACAAGATGTTGGTAGATTTGTTTGTATGTTTGGTAGAGTTTATGTAATCTGGTAGACTTATCTGCCGTATGGTAGACTTGTTGAAATAACAATGTGGTAGATTAATTAAGTTTGGTATTTACAGAGTTAACCTTGATCTGGTAGACATATGACATGCTTATTGTAGATTTGTTTATATGGTAGAGTTATTTGTCATGGTTGAGGTAGACTTAGTATTTAATGTTTGGCAGACATTTGACTTTATGGAGTAAAATTATTTTTTTGTCCAAAAGAATTGTTCTATCTACAAAAAAACCTACTGTTTGGTAGACTTATGGTTTCAGTGTTGTACCTCTTGCAATTTTCTTCCATATGGTAGACTTATGGTAACGGTAACCATAAACCGTTACCAACGAACCGTCGCATATGGTAGACTTATGCATTTTCCAACGAACAGTCGCATCGATTTCGAGAACTTCTATTGACTCGAGTCGCTTCGATTTCGAGAACTTCTATTGACTCGAGTCGCTTCGAGTTCTCATGTGAGTTCTCTATAAATTCCCTAAACCTAGACGATTCATTTCCCATCCCTCTAAACCCTATGGCGAATCTCGAGTCGCTTCCTTCTGATCTTTTGTACGAGATATTGTTGAAAATATCTTCAAACTCGTATGCGGATCTTTGTCTTGCAAAAGTTTCGTCCAAAACACTTAACAACATCTCAAACGAAGCGGGTTTTCTTAGGAATGTTGATTTAATCAACATTATGTTGCCGTGGAGGTGGGATGTTCACGGAAGGGTCGGTGCATTCTTCAGACGGTGCTTGGCGGCAGGAAATCCATCCGCACAATTGCGAAGAGGTTTATCGCTGATTTTCTTCGAACATAACCTCCAAGCAGGGTGTGATCTCATTCGAATGGCATCAGACAACGGATTTCTCATGGGTAAGTACTGCCACACTATGTTACATCTAACCATGGATGGCACATCAGAGGTATTCAACTCTGTCAAAGTTCTCTCCCGGGAAGATGCAAAGCAAATGAGATTGGCAATGGAAAAGATCTTCATGCCTGCGTTCAATTTCCAGAAGCCCGAGGAACTGGTGGAAATGATTTTCGAGGCTTATAAAAAGTCTTTAACTACAAGGATTTGTGGTTGTCTCAAAGTACCAGACATGCAATGGATGGGAGATGAATACCTGCTAGAGACGTATGGGGATCAACTTTGTGAATCCTGCTTCTGGAAATTGGAGTGCCAATTTCTGGTGGGTAGTACCGTCGTTTGCTATGGATTGGCCACGTTGATTGCATCAGTAGTCGTCAAAAAGACTTCTGTTTAGTTAAGTAGATTTGTTTTTATTATGAAGTAGACTTATGAAGTTATGTTGTGTTATTTATGTTGTGTTAAGTAGATTTATGTGTTATTCATTTCGAAAGCTATTAATTATAACAAATCTACCAAAAATAATAGTAAGTCTACCATTCGTTCGACTGAAATTGGGGACATGACAAGTCTTTTACAACAAATCTACCAACAATATAATATAAGTCTACCATTCGTTCGACTGAAATTGGGAACATGACAAGTCTTTTACAACAAATCTACCAACAATATAATATAAGTCTACCATTCGACTTAATATAAATCTACTAAACATAAGGAAACAGACTTGTACTGGTTTTCCACCTGCTTAAATGTACTGTACTTTAGTTGGTAGAGATATAAACATTACAAGTACATATGTTTTATTAATGGTAGACTTAGTAACCTATATGGTAGATTTGTTTGTAAATTGTTAGATTCAATATCAATGTGGTAGACTTAGTTATCGGGCAGTGCGATTTTACTTTTTTGCCCTGTATGTATTGTCTAAAGTACGGAACAAAACCAGAGTCCATCTTCAACCTCTAGGTTTCGCCGTCGAGCTGTTAAACTTGGGATAACTCTTGATTTTTTCCTTCTACTTCGATCTTCTGCCTCTTATCCACTTTTATATTCATGGATCAAGTTGTTTTGGTTTGTGGTAACTGGGTTTTAAAGAAAACGAGGTGGGTCTTCATCGTAGATCAGTCCAGGAGATGTAGTTTTATAGGGATAGACCGCAAAACGTCATTTGCCGATTTGGTTGAAATCGCATATGAAGATTTTGGGTTGGATCAACATCTTTATGAGCTTCAGTTCAGCTATATGTTGTCGTCTGAAGTCCGGCGGAAATTACCTCTGGATACACCTCCTGTGTTTGTTGGTAATTCAAGACAGCTGCAGAGTTTTTTGCATCAATTCCAGAACGAAAACGAAACGGTTCGTTTATGTGTTGAGATCAAAGAAAAAGTTCAGAAGGGAGTTGTTGATGAAGACGAAGATCGAGATGCATGTCCTAGTCTAGTCCCTGAAGAACAAGTGCGCCAAGATCGTCCGCAAGAAGGTGTCGAAGTTGGACAAGACGAAGAAATGCATGATGAAGAAGAGGATTTGTCAACCAGATTTGATGGATGTGAAGATCCTGATGGTGCAAGTTCCGATGACGAAGAGTACGGAAGACGTGAGAAACGTCCAAATGGTGAAAGTTCAGATGAGGAGGAGTCGCTAAATCTACCACCGAAGAAAAGGGGACTGACTACAATTCCCGACTTTCAAAGTCTAGAGCTTTCATCTTTAGACTTAGCCGTTGGCCAGCGTTATGAAACAAAAGAGGACTTCGAGATGCGACTCAAAATTCTTTCCATTGCTCACAAATTCGACTACAATGTCGATCATTCGAGTAAGAAATTGCTAACTGTTAAGTGTTGGGTAGATGGTTGCAAATGGAGGGTTCGCGCTTCAACTGTTGGGAGCAGCAAATGTTTTTGGGTTAAAACTTATACTCGAGAACACACGTGTTCTGTGACTGTGCGATCACAACGCACCCGCCATGCAACCCATGAGGTTCTAGGCCGTCTATATAAGGACTTCGTCGGCGGTGTTGGCCCAAAAGTCTTACCAAATCACGTCGCCGAAGCTCTGACCAAACGATATAGTATAAAGGTATGTGGTAGAGTTATATTATTTCTTTGGTAGAGTTATTATCTCTTTGAGTAGACTTTTATTATTTTGGTAGAGTTATTCGCTCAATTGGTAGACTATTTATTTTTTGGTAGAGTTATTAGCTCAATTTGTAGACTTTTTTTAATTTTTGGTAGAGTTATTAGCTCAATTGGTAGACTTATATAATTTATTTGGTAGACTTATATACTTTATTTGGTAGAGTTATTATCTACCATGGTAGAGTTATAATTTTTGTGGTAGAGTTATTATCTTATTTCGTAGACGTCACTATATTATTTCTCATTATAAGGTTGACTATTGGAAAGCACATCGGGCCCTAAAGTATGCTCGAGAACTAGTATCAGGGACGTCTGAAAGTGGTTATGAAGATCTGCCTTCATACTTATATATGATTCGGCGAGCAAATCCGGGTACACTAATCAAGCTAGAAGTTGATGAGGAAGATAGATTCAAATTTATGTTCCTCTCATTTGGCGCAAGCATACAGGGGTTTCCCTTCATGAGGAAAGTGGTAGTGGTCGACGGTACGTTTTTACATGGAAAATACAAAGGTACCCTACTACTCGCCACCACGCAAGATGGAAACTTCAACATTTTTCCCGTAGCCTTTGCTGTTGTTGATACTGAGAACGATGAGTCTTGGGAATGGTTTTTTACACAACTACACCGTGTTATTCCTGATGATGAAGGACTTGCCATTATTTCTGATAGGCATAAATCCATAGGAAATGCTATAGGGAAGGTTTATCCTCTTGCTAGTCGGGGTATTTGTACATATCATCTCCATAAGAACATTATGGTGAAATTCAGAGGCGCTGAAACATTCAAGCTTGTTAAGAAGGCTGCCACTGCTTATAGACTTCTCGAGTTCAATGCCCTTTTTGCTCAGATTCAAGAGGCAAATCCTGCACTGCATGCATACTTGGTGAAGGCAGATATTTGTATGTGGAGTCGTGTACACTTCCAAGGTGATAGGTACAATTTCACCACTAGCAACATAGCGGAGTCATTAAACAAGGTGTTATCTGCTGCAAGAGGTAAGCCTATCGTAGGACTAGTGGATGATATAAGGAGTCTCCTGACCAGGTGGTTTGCTAAAAGACGTGTGAATGCCAATAACATGGCTACCACTCTAACAACGGGCGTTGAAAAGTTGCTGGAGGTAGTCACTACTTTACCTTGTAGACTTTCTATTATTTGGTAGACTTGTATCTGCTATTAGGTAGACTTTCTATTATTTGGTAGACTTGGCACACTTATCTCTGCTATTTAGTAGACTTTAAATTATTTGGTAGAGTTATTACTTCTATGTGGTAGACTTATATAACTTATGAATAATTCCTTGCCGACAGGCTAGAGTTGAAGATGCTAAACTCTTACCTGTGCAAGAGATTGATCAGCATCGTGCAGAGGTTTTAGGCACAACATCTGCACATGTTGTCAATTTAACGGAGAAAACATGTACTTGTCGACGGTTTGATTTGGATAAAATTCCTTGCGTACATGCCATAGCCGCCGTCGATAGGAGGAAGTTGTCGCCGATCTCTCTTTGCCATCATTACTACCACACTAGTTACTTGCAACAAGCGTATGCTGTTAGTGTGATGCCAAGAGACGTAGCACTCCCTGTGCCAGATGAAGTAGCAACCAAAATTTGTCTCCCGCCTGATGTTCGCAACCGACCTGACAGGCCAAAGAAAATTCGGATTAAGGGTGCGTTCGAGGCCGCCATGGCGAGTAAACGTCCTCGGAAGATCCCCAAATGTGGTAACTGTGGCCAAGGCGGACATAATCGCCTAACTTGTCGAGCTTAGTTGACAAATCGAAAACCTTGTATTTGTACTATTATAGACTGCAATAATCCGCTTGAAAACCTTGTTTTATGTACTTGTAAATCTGGAACTTGTTTTACCTAAACTCTACTATTTTACAATAATAAATCTACCAATCATGCTATAAATCTACCAATACTGCAATAAATCTACCAATCATGTTATAAATCTACCATTCATGGAATAAATCTACCAGTCATGTTATAAATCTACAAAGCAGGTTCTTTTTACAGCCATGGGCGATTCGCTTTAAATTCCAAAACACAAGCGACGTCTAAATTCCAAAGACCACCAAAGAGGCTGGCTATGAGTAATAAATCGGCCAAAACACAACAAATTCCAAAACACAAGCGACGTCTAAATTCCAAAAGACCACCAAAGAGGCTGACTATGAGTAATAAATCGGCCAAAATACAACATCCGATACCAAATGTCTACCAATTAGTTTGGATCTGAGTATTAAATCTACCAAAAAACGATCTCAGATCCCAAAGGTCTACCAAACGAAGATCTCAGTTAGCGGAGTCTGTCTGTAAACCGTACTTGTCATCAAATAAACTTCGAGGGTTAGGATCAGACATCCGGGATTCTTCTGCTTCATGTACCTCATCAAAAATCTCAGCTGCGTATTTCATACGAATGAGAGGCATGTTGCTATCTTTCAGCTGGTCCCATTTATGGCACAAAGCCCAAACACTCGATGGTCTTCAAAGTAAAGACGCCACAATCACCTGATAACAAGTACCCGATAATTAGTTAAAAGTCTACCAAATAAAAATACCAAATCTACAGAGCTGCATTGCACTTGTCTGTCTGTTTAGTGCCGCGGTTTTATACATGTAGATATGAAACTGCCCCTCCTTCATACCCTTCTTGAGCTCCGGTGGTGCCATATGTTTCAACAACAGCGGAATCATCCTCGCGTAGGGCTTCACAGACTCCTCCACCTCGCCTTTTCTGTATAAATCTGGAATGCAATCAAACACTCGGATCTTTTTTTTGGGAATGTCGACCTCAACGGCTACCCAATGTTCGTTGTTCACGTTGTGGGCGATATACACGAAATCAACATCTGTCCCCCATTTCTTGTGTGTAGGCAAGTAATGGTCGTAGTGACCGTTGGCAACGTCCAAATAACCATCACTGAATAGCCAACTCTTCTCGTTTGGTAGAAATTTGTTTCGATAGTCTCCACACCAAACTCGACAAAAGATAGGATCAAGGAAAGCAACTCTTCCCCCTTTGTAAGGAGATGGATACCGCATAGACCGTTGCCGGAACATGTTTAATCCTTTTACGATATGCTGCATTAGGTAATGAAACAAATTTATATAAGTCTACCAACCAGCTTTATAACCAAATTTATATAAGTCTACCAAACATAAAAGATACAAGTCTACCAAACATATTGACAAAATCTACCATTTGTTACTACATAATAGAATACAAGTCTACCAAACATAATGACTAAATCTACCATTTGTTACTAAAAGTCTACCAAAGTAATTCTATCATTAAGTTTCCAAAGTCTACCAAACAATTTCCAAAGTCTACCAAACCTTTTGAAACTAAGATCGGGTGACTGATACGACCACATACCTGATCATGCAACCACCCATACTCCTTTCTAGGCCAGCTTTCTTTAGGGGTCATTAGTGTCAGGTAAAATTCTCCTCCTGCATATGGACACTGCAACTGTTTTTCCCTGAAAAATGACATAGACATACCAGACTCCGAAGTAAGTCTACCAACATACCTAATAAGTCTACTATATAAAACAAATAGGTCTACCAAATCAAACAAGTAAGTCTACCATGGAAATTTAAAACTGACTTACGCTTCAAAAGCTACGTAGCGGGTTAGATTATCCAGTATTCGACTGTCCACCGCTTCAAAAGGATCATACCTCCAAGGAGGGGGACCTGCTGGGTCCATGATGCGTCTCACCACTGAGTTACCAAGGTAGGGTGAAACCTGGGTCGGTGCAAGGCTGCGTCCCCTTTTTTCCTTCTCAGCAGGTGGATTTTTTGCATGTTCCACCAG